TTTCACAAAAACAAAACAGAAGTGCTAATAAATAATACATTACAAGAGCTTGCACTGTTACTCTTTACTGTTGATGCACTGCCCTGCCATCTGTCGTTAAGTCGGGGTTGGCGAGGATCGTCCGACTTTCCGAGTCGTAAATCCAACTTCAGGACAGTGTTCCAGAATTTCTGACTTTGAGCTAGGAAATTCTGACTTCTGAGTACAACTGGAACGTAGCTTTATTCATCTTGTCATTTCCATCAATAAATGTTCAGTTCCTTGTGAATTGTGACAAATGTTGAAACGTGTCCTTTACTGGTAATTAGTCCTACAAGGAGGCTGAAATGAGTATGTTGCCATTTCAGCATTATCAGAGGGACAATCTATTTTTTGTAGCTGCAAAACTACCTTGCACCCACAAACAAGACTGTAAACATAAATAACAAAAAAAATAACAATAATAAATAAACAAGATCCTATAAATCCGACCTGAAAAATATTCTCTCCCTTGAGCATTTCTAGCATGTTGTATGTTGAGTTTGTTTTGGTGTTCAGCTGTGACAAAACACGGTCTCCTCTCTTCATTGCCCCTCATTGTTCCTGTGCAAAAGCGGCTCACTTCAGTCTAGTCTAGGTCACAGCTCATATCAAAGGACTGCTTGGCAGACCCATACTGGCCTTACGCAGGCTGATAAAACAACCACTCATCTGTAAAATCAACAACAATCTTTGACTCCAATGTGACCTTCCTATCTGCTTAAACAAGCCTACACTCGTCCAGAACACGTCCAGAACAGCAGAAAAAGGGCTGGAAAGTGGGCAACTGCTTAAACCTTGAAGAGTTTTGTAACTCTTTCGTAACGTAAAATCCTCCTCTCTAAATATAACTGATTAAAAAAACAAAACAAAGCCATGATAATGGAAGCAGCATTTCCATTTACCACGTTTAACTCACAGGACGGTCTACCATGAGAGCTGCTGTCCCCCAAAATCATTCCCAAGCAGTCAGCCTGACTTCTGCACCCCGTGTCAAATGTGAAGGAAAAAGATGAGGAAGGAGAAAAATGAATACATCCTCGATTTAAATGGCTCATTTCCGTGGGACACTACCCTGAAGCCTTGGGCCTGACATCAGTAAGAGACAACTCCTCAACCTTAAACCTCCATTAAAACATCAACACACACTCTCTACAGGAATAAGAGATGGTGGTATGTCTAATCTGATTTTTCAGTTTGAGAATGACAGGCAGGCAGGGTGGCAGAGCAGGTGATATTCTGGGGCAAATAGCTGAATGTATGATGAGCTATTCACATGGTGGATTGTGTCTGTTTCTTTGTGTCTGTGCAAATCAACTGTGAGAATCCAAAATATGTTATTTCTAAATATTACAAAGTGATGCAAAGTTAGATTTATGATTAGTTTGCAGAAGTTGTTCTCTAAACTTCAGACTTCCACTGGAGCAAATGTGTTATTGGCCTTAAAAATCATACTCTTGACATGTAGAGGGTTTTAGGAACATTTGGTCTTACTGTTTATTATTTATCAAATTTTAAACTATAGATAAAAAAGGTAAGAGGGAAACAGGCATAAAAAAATCCTGACATATTTACATACTTAGAGCACGTGAGCTGATCAAACTTCAGGTAAAAGATCTCATCGACACACAACTGCATCATTTTACATCTTTGAATTGATTAAAAAAAAAAAACATGAAAACTCTGCATCACTTCTTCCAAGCTGTAGTAGTAATGGAGCTAACTCCTGGTTTACATTAAAACCACCTTCTGGTTCAGTAACAATTTTGCGAGTTCACTGATGCACTTTTCTCTTAGCTGCAAAGTTTGACATTTTAATGTTGTAAATTTTGATTCATCTTAAACATGCAGGTGCTGTAATAGACTGTACAGAAACTACAATCATTAATCAAACTCACCAACAAAAACATGCAAAGAAGAATCCATACCTGCGCTGAAATAATTAAAAAGTGGTTGACAACTTATGACAACACAATTTAGAAAAGAAGAAAGAAGTATTTATTTACTTATTCTTAAAAATCAGCAAAGGAGGAGGGTCATGAGATGCAGCTGAGAACCATTGAAGGTATTTTTGATGTTCGTCTTAAGTATCGGCTCTTTTTGTCAAACCACGTTTTTGACAGAGTAATTATACAATATCACATGAAAACAAACTTTTTTAAACCTGCCTGAGATCAATTAATAAAGAGGTTGGAAGAACATGTGATACTGAGGTGTAACTGTTTATAGTGATAGTTATTGCAGCGTTATGCTTTACTGTGCAATCAACTGTTCTTGTGTTTATGTTGAAATAGAGGGTGAAGTAGTAGTTTTGTCCAATAGCCATTTATCAACAAGTGCAGTACAATATTCTACTTTTACTTGGTTAAGATAGTTGCAGCCTGTCCCTACAGTGGAGTTGTAAGGCAGTATGTAAAGATGCAGATTTGAGATTTTTCTCTACACCACCTGCCTCCGCTGCTCTTCAGTGTCACCCTTTAACAGCCTGTGCTCCCCCTGTTGTTTTCACGCCACCCTCTTTCTCCTCACAATGATGTTATGTACACACACCTGATGCTTAATATTCACTGACAACACAATGGAAAAAAAAGAGAGGAATAAGGCTCATGGAAATTGTCTTTGATCAGTAAACACTGAATGAATTAAGCTATCAGACAGCAAATAAAGAAAAAGATTATGTGTTGCATTAATTATAATTATATAGAGTCAGGAAAGGCTTTTATTTTACAGACTGCTTACATGTGCAAAGCGTGTATAGTGCATACTCAGTGTCAATCAAGTCGGTCTCTGAGGAAGAGTTGCTGTGTAAGGTGGCGATTGTTGCTAAGGAAGGAAATCACTATCAGCATCCTATTTTCATAAGAATGGGCTTCTTTAATTAGACTTAACCAAATGAGAGCCTATATCTAAACAATAGAATGATTTAGCAGCTTTGTAAGTGTTAGAAGAAACAAAAAAAGAAACCATTTTGATGACATATGGGAAGAAAATTAGCTGAATAGAGCAAAAAACTAAGCAAATAGAAGGCAGATTAACTGGTTTCTAAGCAGAAAGCAGATATGTGTTGTCTTTGAAACTCTCATGTTATTCAGAAGTTCAAAGACACTGGAGGCTGAAACTGAGACGGACTTTGGTGCACAAAAGGAACGAGGAGAGAATGGGAGGAGAAATGTCAGCTCGCATGTTGTAAGTCTGGTGTTTACGTACGTCTGAGAGAGGAAGAAGCAGAGAGAAAGATCGAAGATGAAAAGCAGAAAGAAAAAACCTCTTTCCTACTCTTTGAGTTAATGCGCTGCTGTGCTTTCTCATCGGATGTGCGCGCATACTTGTGTGTCTGTTTTAATTTCTCCATTTGAAGGTTAATTAACGCTTGAAGTAAAAGCTACAGGACTGCAAATCAAAGACAGTAAACAGTTTTCCAGCCACCTCAGGGGATTATTAGTGAAATAAATGAAAGCTGCTCAAAACAATTAAAATATTTGAAAATGTGAACTTGAAATGAGCAACATTTTTTTTTTTCTGTTTTCTCGTTTGTCGCAACAAAACAATCAAGGACAAGGAAAATAAACTTGAGCATAAGTGTCTAAGTATGAAACTGAATGGTACTGAACACATGTGAGCGTAATAAAACACTAAGTATGCTACTCTCACACTTTTGAAATTAATTAAGTAAATGTTTGAAATATAGAAAATAAAATATATCAAAATTAGAAACAATAAGGACTTTAACACTTAAATTAAGGTGCAAGGAGGCAAGCAACCCAAATGTTGCAAATAAGCAATTCAGGCTCTTCCAAAGAAGTAAGGAAGTGCAATGTTGTTCGTCTGGGGGGCAGTATCTATGTTTGATTTGGGGCTGTGCCGTGTGCGTGTCAACACCCTGAATCCAGCAAACCAGAGGGATATGAGCTAATTAAGGAGGAAGACAACCAAAGGGGCAAAACTGAGGGAAGAAATCAAATTACAAGCAGCAGGGGGATTAGTGAGACTTTTTTAGAGTTTAGCAAAAACATTTAGAAAGACAGGGGATGAGACAAAGTGGGACAGGGACTGCAGAGTTCGAGGGACATGAAGAGGGCTTTTGTGCAAATTGATTTGGAGGATTTTTCAGACCACGTTTGCATCAAATGAACCCCCTGCTTTGTTAAATATGTTCAGCTGCCTTGTTTTAACGTGTACGGCTCGTCTTGTTTTCCTGTCGTTCTCTCTGTCTCTTTCTGTCTTTCTGCCTTCTCTTGGATCTCTCGGAGGACCTGTCCCTGTCTCAGCCTCGGTGCTGCTATCTGATGGGCAGCGGGCCACTGTTTTCATAAACACAGTTTTTGGAGGGCGAGCATACATACATAAACAGCAGCACCACAGGCTGCAGTGTCAGATCTCCTCTAAACCTCTGTCACTCACTCTGCCCTTCTAAAAGCCCCATCAGTCGGTGTTTGGGTCAGCCTGACAGTGTTGGGGCTTTCAGATGGTTCCCTAACTGAACCAAAGCCATGTTAGGGTCCCCATAAAGACACCAGGGCCCCGCTGTCCCTGCCTATCAGTCTATGATTAACTCTATGTACACACAGGGCCATTACAGTACACACAGCAAAGACCTCAGGGTATAATAAATACTCTTTAATCCGATAACCTTGCATTTGCCTGCAAAAGAAAGTTTTTGAGGGTTTGAAATGGGACTTCAGCATATCACTCTATGCCGTACCTCAAATGCTGGAAACAGATTTTCTAAATTCATTAAAGAAACATTTGGGGGTTTCTGAAAGCCAACATCCTGAGGTCCTCAAAACCTGTTTAGGTTTGTGTGGCCACCAAACCTCAGTATTGGGGTGCAGTTGTCCCTTTAGACACATAACACAAACAAAACTCTATCCACCATCTCTACAACGATCCTGAAACTTTGTTCTAGGGAAGGGCGCAAGTATTTTCCTGTGCGTGACGGGTTTTTTTTCTCCAGAAACAGGTAATATGATGATCAATCAATGTTGCTTTCGGAGTTTGGAGATTGAAATAATAAGCCTAAACTCATTACCGCTCATTTCTACACTTATTAAAAACCCCAAAGCCTTTTTGTACCTTTCTATTTTTGTTTTCTGACTTCCAACTTTAGTGTTTCTGTTTGTTCCCATCACTTATTTAGAATCATTTTTTGACAAAAACGCTCTTCATTTGTTGAGAGACCAGTTAATAAACGTGGTGGAACCATGACAGAGCAATAAGTTGATCTTAAATCAGATTTCAAGTCTTTAAAGTTGCTGATTCAACTTCTTTAGAAACAAATAATGGAGTATATTTGATTTATATTCTTGACTAAATTGGAAACCCGAGGCATTCTAATCTTGGATGTTTCACGGAAACCATAAAATCCTACACCACAATGCTGTTGCTGATCCTTTTTTTTAAAAGAAATTTACAGATTCTTTTTAATGTGCGCGTGATTCTGTATGCAGCTTTAAAAGAAATAATATGTTCAACTTATCTTTGGCTCAGTGGAGTCAGCTGCCTGACCACAAACTCACGAGGAAAGAGGAGTTTCTATGTTTATAACCGTCATGTTTGGGGAATAATCTAAACATAACATCTACCTCTGGGTTTTAGTGAGCCAAATGAATCCCCCCCAAGGCTTACTCAAGACTTTTGATTAAATTGTATAACAAGCATGAAAATCCAAGAATAGTTGACATCTCTTTGACATCTTTTACAAGGTTATCCTGAGTGGAAGTGACTTTTCACATGACCCTACACATCACATGACCCCACCAGCAGCGATTTTAGTTGGAGCAAACCCCCAGTTTTAGACTTTCCTCCCTGCAGCCCTTCAGTCCCTCAGCAGTAACACAATGCTGAAAAGGGAACAGCTTCAGGCCTTCCCTTCAAATTCATTATGATGTCGGTTTAACATAATTAGTGGGAACATTTTTGTGACTGCACAGAAACTGGAACCAAATCCCTGCAGTTTAATGTATTAAGACTCTACCCCAAGCTTGAAGGCTAGCATGACAGAAACTAAAACAAAGAGGAAAACGTAAGGACACAATTTGTCTCTGGAACAGGTGATTAATAATTTGGTGCCTAAAGCTAAATTTGATTTTGAATTGCAGACTTTAGGCACAGGAATGTATTTTGGCTCCAGAGTTTTTCTGATTTCTGCAGATTTACTAGTAATTCAGTGAAACTTAGTTGCGCGCAAGTGAATCATCACAGTCTGCAGTTATCTAAAGAAAATAAAGCTTTAAGTTATGCTTTTGAACAGCTTTCTGCACACAATTGCAGCCGAAAATCCCTTTTAAAATAAACTCAACACCAACCTTACCATTACTGCTCAAGATAATTTGTAAACCAAGGCAACACACCATAGAGAAAGTCTTAACTGGCTGCACTGGAAGCTGTAAAAGTCTATTATCTGTCTCATAGGATACGAAGGGCAGACAATGACAAACAAGGTCCATGTAGGGCTGGGCGATATAAAGATAATGATATGTATCAAAAATTAATTTCCCTCAATATCAATATAAAACATGGTCAATATGCTTTTTGATAGTCTGCATTCTGCCATGTTTTGGTAGACTATATAAATAGCCAATGAAAAAGGAAGTTGCTCTGGGTCCGCTTCATGCTGAACCAATCATGTGCTGAATTAGAACAGAGTAGTAAACAACTGTGTAGTAGCAGGCTGCAGCTACATGCAACCATAGCATTTTAACAGGCGAAGCCAACAGCACTGTTAAGAATAAGAGTAAGAGTAACTTTATTATTGCCCGAAGTGAAATTCAATTGTCTGTTGTCCCTATCTGTTGGTGAGAAAAAAAGAAAATTAGTGCTACCCCCGGCAGAAATGTAGGTGAAGGCTGAACAAATGGCGACATTGTCAACAACACTGGCACGAAAACGTCGGTGGTGTGGAGGTAGTTTGGTTTTTTGAGGTCGGACATGAAGCAGAGTAATGTGCACTGCAAATTATGTCGAGTACATGTTCTCACAGGAGCAAGGAGCCCCTGGCATCTGTGCAGCCGAAACAGCCGACCATCCGCTTTCTGTAGCACAACGCCTTACAGCAAAACGTGGAAGAGACACAAAGACCTCACAGATGCAGTAGCTTATTGTATTGCAAAAGACATGCTACCAATAAGCACTGTTATATTTTATTTAAGAGTAACAGGGAACATTTAAAATTGACAACTGATTTTTTTAATATTGTGACATATATTGATATCAACTGATATAAAGAAAAAAAATTGTGATGAACTTTTTCCCATATCGCCCAGCCCTAGTTCCATGATTGTTTCTTTCACACCTACACCCCTGAACTTTTCTGGAAACAGTCAGGAGCTCAGCCTCTGATATCTTACAAAGTTGCCTGTTCATGCTCTCTAGTCTCAGAAGAAAAGACATGATGTCAAAAAATTCTGCAAAAGTCATGTTGTAATGTTTATAACATGATGGTGGAAAAAGCCACCAAGAGCGACCCTTATATGACAGTTTTGGATTCATATCAATGTTACACGTGAAAGGATGGATAAGCAGACATCTTCACATTTTTCATCTTGAAAGTAACTCAGAAACTCACAACTCACAGAAACTTGCCTGTGGTGACTTCTTCTGAACGTTTCCTGCTGGGTCTTCACCTCAGCCTGACTTCATGCTGACAGTTTACTAAAGGACTGACATGAAACATCTCAGGATATTTCCAGGGGCTGTTGGGGTGCGCTAGCAATACATGATTATCTCAGTAATTACAGTTAAAGCGTAATTTATTAGACAAAATATCCTAACAATAGAGGTTAACTGTGTGTTGTGTGTTATGGGCTTGGCCCGCTCATCCCACCTTAGAGTTGATGTTTTTCTGTCAACTTTACCTCAACCACACTGTAAGAGATGGGAACTCTTGTTATTTTAATTGAGGTGAGAAAGAAACAAAGGGAGATCAGTTCAGAATACAGTCTGACACTTTTCAAGGTGATGCTGCAAGTAACCTCTGACCTGAAAGACTGGACTTTGCTGAGCTCAGCTGCACTGATCGACTGTTATTCTTCATCCATCAGCCTCTGACTGCCTTACACTGTCTCCTTGTCCTGAGGTGGAGAGCAGGGACATGAGAGGATGACTGTGGTAAAGAAGGGTGTTGTTTTGTTGGATGTGTGTGTGTGTGTGTGTGTGTGTGTGTGTGTGTGTGTGTGTGTGTGTGTGTGTGCGTGCGTGCATGCGTGTGTGTGTGCGTGTGTGTGTTTATAGGAGTGACAAGGTAAAAAAGCAGTTTGTCAATAGATCGCTTTATTGAGGTGCCAGCGCTGATTTGCATGTTTTGTTTTCTGTCTACGTAAATGAGACAGGAATAGATATGCAAAAATCTCAGTGCTGATGGAAGAACAATAGTAGTCTTGATGGCACTTCTTTTATGAGGTAACACTGCTTACCTAATGCAACAATTTTAGTGGACACATAAGCAAGGAGAACCTTTTATGCACAAAGCGACAGATTGAAGAAATTCTAGCTTTCTGTTGTTCTTTTATTTTCTTTTATTTTCTTAGAAACTTAATAATTCAGTATTAATGCTTACGTTGTCCAGTAGTTCAAAACTAAGACAGGAAATCTTAAATTGGCCAGAATCATTCAGATATATTTACAACAATACTCCACTGTTTGGACTGAAGGAAAAGGAGACCAAACATTAGGACATAATCCAGCATGAAGCACATCCTATGAAAGCAACCCAAAGCCATTACCTGCAATACTTGCTCAGCTAACATGCTGCCAGTGTGAAGCTGAAACAACAACTAAACAGGCACATGCAAGTTAATATCATAAAAACCTTCACCAGCCTACGCTATTTCATTTTTAAGACTTCTCTTTCTTCATTTTTATCCACATCTATCTGAGAACCCTATTAGGGTCAGGACTAGCACTGTTTCGAGAGTCGCCAAAATACAGTTATGACACTTAAAGTCATAAAATACACCAAATGTCCTCTGCAGTGTTCAAGCTTGGCAATAGGACTCATGAACATCCCAACGTCAAGATATAGTCTCTTCTAAACCAGGACCAACAGGCTTTGTGAACACAGATATTTTCATCTTAGAAAATACAAGACATAACCTAAACATAAGAGTTAATAGTAAGGATATAAAGAAATGAAATGACTCAACATAAAGATGTTACTGCAGGGAGAATATAAAGTCAGAAGAACATGTAGTAACTTTTTGATAAATCCTAAAAACACACAAAAATAATATAGGCAAGCATGTTTCATATCATACAAACGGTGAAAAACACAAACTAACCAGACAGAAATCCACAGCTGATGGGGGAATGGGATAGAAGCAGCACCGGAAATGGAGAAGTCGTCTGAAAGAGGCTGCGGCAGTATTAATTAAACAATGACCATTTTAATCAGAGCTAATTACATTGGCAGGCGAGGGTTGAGAGGAGCGAGGGGGCTAAGGGAGATTTTTATCTGTGTCTCTGCTCATTAGTGCGGTGAAGCCGTCTCATATACCACTCCTGTCATCAAAGAATCAGCAATAAACAGCATGTCAATCAGAGGAGAGCAGCGACGTAAAAAATAGTCGATATTTATGTGTAAGTTACATATGAATATGAAATACTGAATGGAGGTTTTTTATATATATATATATATATTTTTTTTTTAAAAGGTGAAATTTTTAAAAAGACACCAGCAGCCATGAAAAGAGACTGGAACATGGCAGTCATCTGCAAACCAGGAATATATTTCCGATCATCGTAGGCTGCCCCACTGGTGAGACTGTTAATTAATGTTTCAACTATTTATCAGTCAAACGGATGCTAATTGGTCTTTTAAATCTCTTCTGCCTTAAACCACATTTCTAACTTTTGTCTTTCTCTCCTCTTTTTCCTTGTCAATAATCTACAGAACCCACACACCTCACTGTTTCTTTGTCTCTGTCTCTTATCTCTGTTCATCACAGACTGTTTCCCATCTATAAACATTCAGGAGCTCAGACGTTGACCCATGACCCCTGGCTGACCTGGGGGTCACCAGAAAAAAAGGCAGAGGGTATTGAGGGGAAATCATCACGGCTGTGTTTATCTCTTTGGAAGAAAAGGAGTGATATGAAGGAGGGAAATTCAGAGTCTACAAGGGAATGGCTGGAAATAATATGAGTAATGGAGGAAACAACAGCAGGGTGAGATCACTTTCCTATGTCAGGTGTCTGTGTGTGAGTGTGTGTGTGTGTGTATGTGTGGTGAGCTGAAGTGAGAACACACTCCCAGCAGCAGTCCTGTAGCCCGTCTGACTGTTTCCAATTGCCACAATCAGCTCTAAAAGCGGATTATATAGTCCACCCAAAACCTCCTCACCTCAGCTTGGACAGGGACGACAGCGTCCCTCTCATTCACTCTCTTTCTCACACACACACACACACAAAGACACAAACAACTGGATTAGCATGCATGTTAAAACACAATGAGTGAAACACATTGCACCTGCAAGATCTTGATCAAAATTAAGAGGATGAAAATCAGCATTTAAACGTGACATGCTGCCAAATTGATTCACTGTTTACAATTACAGTTTATTACTGCATAACACAGCTCTTTCAACAAGTTTCAATACAAAACAAAAACTTTCAGCTGATCTATAATACATTTTAGTTTGCACGCTTTTCAATAGCTTTTCAAAGATTAATATGACAGATTAACGTCCAGATACGATCGAAGATATGGTTGTTATTTGTATAAGACTTCACTTCCATGTGAAAAGCTTGTATTGTCTCATTGACAACGACATGTCGATTGTCATGGTATGCATTAGGACTGCACAATGAATTGCAATTTCATTAATACCACAACAAAGCATTCACACTGCAAAGGACTAATTCATAGGAGGTCATAGGGAAGACTACCTTTTGTTAAGAGGCAATGCTTTCCCACTCCTCATGTGGAGATTTTACACCTTTAGCATGATGTCATGACCATACTTTTCCACCAGAGTGAAACAATAACATGAGGATCATAGAGATGACAGCTATTCGAAGATGAAGTTGTGCTTACCTTGTGGTGAACAATGATGCTTCTTGATTTTATACAGGTTATTTGTAAAACAAGTTAATAAACAGTGAATATGAATGTTTGTTTACTTACTGTAATGCAGCATAAATCTCAATATTGTACAGTATCACAATATTTTTCTCATAATATGTAGTACTGGTATGACTGTGAAATTACAAAATAAAGGGGAATATTAAGAAATCTTAATGACAGTTCTATTACGTCTAATGAGAGGACGTATATGAACAGTAATGGACAGAGAAAAAGATTCTTAATAAAAACTTAAATGGGTTGAGAATGAAAGGCAGGGTGGAGCAAGGGGGGAGAAACGCGAGAGACTCAGGAGAACAAAGCGACAGATTTTATTTTTTTTCTTTTCCTGTCTGGTTTTCTATAAGAGGAACGAGGGGAGATAAGACTAAAAGGACTGTCACTCAGAGGAACAATCCTTCCAGTGTCCCCTCCCGCTCCTGCTGCTCCTCCCTCCCCCTTTCTCTCTCCCATTTCTACAGATTCCTGCTGAGATAGAGTCGCTGCTCACAGGGACAGTTTGCTGACGTCACCTGTTTCATAGGGAGCGTACTGCACTCTGAGTAACCAGCCGCACAACACTGCTGTGACAAGAGAGACACACAGTGACACCCAAAGACACACAGAGATGTGCACTTCCACCTTCTACAGTTATGTAGGAGTGGCTGATTAATAACTCCACTAATCAATATTTAGAGGTGTATCATAAAATCATTTCATATAGATTCTTTAAAATAAAAGGATGTTTGCTCACATCACTATGTCTGCCACAGTGACTGAAACTATTATCATCACTCAATGCAAATTACAGAAACAAAGAAGGGAGGATCTTTATACCTTTCTACTAATGAAGCTGGAGAGTTAAAAATGTTATCAATATGTTGGTAATATAAGCCTATTGCTTCCACCGACTTACAAATGAGAACAAATTCAAACATGCTTTTTATTGCTCTCTTGGTTGACGATCATGAAAATTCTGAATAAATGTCAATCAGTAGATGAAGTTGATTTTAAATAGTGCTTTTTAGAGACAAAAGTCACCAAGCTCTTCACATAGGTAAAACACAGAAAATTAAATTAAATAATGAGCGGCACAAAGCATTCAAAGGGTTGTGGATATAAAAGCCACAGGTACATGAGTGTAAGATCGTCTTTTTCTACTTCTCACACAGTTTATACATCATGCTTCAACAGAACAACGGCAAAATGATTCAGTGGACAGTTTTAACTAGATGTAACAGTGGTAGTCAAACTTGTTATGGCTATTTAAAAGTGCTGGGATTGTGAATACATCGAACTGGCTCTGAACAAAGTTCATTTTAATTCTCACTCATTCAAACGAATGCACAAGAACAAGCCTGGGGACACTACATGTTGCATACACATTTAAGTTCAGGGTTTATTGTATATTCAGTACCAAGGAATTATTAAGAAGAGTATTGTGTTCCTTAAACATGCAGCTGTTTTAACCACCCACACACTCCACCTGGTATTAAGATTGCTTCCTATCGCAGTATTGTTAAAATAATGACCTGAGTGATCCAGGGATATGGTTGTTTGGCAAACAGGTTGAGATCTGATTACAGCGTCCTTTAGAGTCACGTTGATGTTGTAGACAAGTTTAGATCTTAACAAAAAGGAAAGACACAGCAGTAGAGTTTCAGTTCAGTTTTTTTTAATTATTATTATTTATCTATCAGAAAATATAAGAAGTCTAAGTTTGCAACCTTTGGTGTAACACATACTGTAGCTTTACAAACTTTTTAGCAAATGAAATGGCATTGATGAATGAATGAAAGGAAGAGTTCATTGAAAAAAAATCACGCAGAAAAAAAAGATGATGATTAATGTACCACAGAAAAATAACCTGACCTCCTACCGGATACAGAGAAACATGCAAGATGCACACACTAGAGCCCAGTATTTCATCATTTTTTCAATTTATATGCTGGATTAAAGCTCAGAACTAAAACTTCCTGCATGTCAAATAATTTGATTCAGAGTTGAGAAGAACAAAAGCAGTGATTTTTTTTCAAAGACAACTCAAATGAGCAACAGAAGAGCAGCTTGTGATGGAGCAAACTGGATTAAGTTCATCTCCATAGAAGAAAATAAAACAATCATTGTTTCATTTGCGTTCGGCATTCCACAATCAGTGCATTTCAATGGACTGTCTCCATCCCCAGAGGCTGATGAGAAAGCAGCTACACGCCTAATACAAAGGCTTGTACCTCCACAGGACCTCTGAATCTGCCCTCAGCCTTTCTTACGCACCTTGATGCAGTTTTGGGCTTCAAGTAAGAGCGAAGGTCAAGACTGAACCATCTTTTTGTGGGGATCGAAGATGTACCGCTTAAAATGCAAGAGAATGTTCACAGGCTGGGAATCTGTTTTACACTCCTCTTCGTTTCCACCTTTTCCCCCACCCTTCCCTTTCTTCTTGGAGGTGGAGGATAGCAGCTGCTTGGTTTCTGGGGAAAGACCCTCTGAGGAAAAGATAAACGGGGAGGCAGAGTAAAGCTGTAAATTATCTGTTATTCAGAAATAATCAGCAAACAGCAAAGAAATGGGTCCTCTTAGGTAAATGATCTAGATCACACTGTACATCACCCTACACTCTGCTCTGTACGTAAGTCAGCCTTATGTCAGTTTAGGCATATCTGATGCTTGATAGAGATCTTTTCCTCCTTGTTATGTGTACAGTTGGTGCTGGAGCTTGTTCAGTGTGCTGACCTCGGGATCAACTGACGCCTTTATCCTCCTGATGTAGCTGATGAAAATTTGTGGAGAAATAGATCTCGGTTGCTCCTCAAACTTGAGCCTTGTTCACAGCCGTCCTGTGCGATCTGCGGCTGAATGCTCCTCATGCGTGCTCTAAAACATTTTCTCTGCCATTATATCTACCCCCCTTGTCATTATGCATGCATACGTATTGCTTATAGAAAATGTTCGCCGCCTCACAAGGTAAGAAATGTTCCGGGTTCATTGCTTTTCATGCAGGCTGTCTGACCTCGCACACAAAACGGCGCCAGCATTCTTCTTGTTATCGTTATGCCAATGTGAGGGTTATTATGGTTGCAGCGTAGCCAGAAAACTCTTCGAGTTATCTGTGATCGGCTGAGAATGTCTGTTTACTAGCACAAAACATACCTGAGCCTAAATGATTTATGTTCATATTCAAGTGACACATTGGAATTGCAACTGCGTGTTTGCCCTCGAATAAAAAAAAAAAAAAAAACTAAGGCTGTTTTAGAAGCTAAGACATAAAGTGAGATCTCCCCAAAAGCCAAAAAATCTATATTAATAGATGTGATGCACCGGGGATATGAGCAGAAGAATGTCTTGATTAGACGATGTAAACTATCAAAGAACAAGCATTTTGATGAACTAAAATAGGCAAGGAAGCAAAGTTAATAAACTTTTCTTCCAGGAGCAATGAAGAATTTTTTTTTTTAAATTGGGCGTTCGAGATTTTTAGTTATTGGTCTTTCTATCTCTTGTTAGGTGGTGCAACCCAACAAGAGACAGTCAATGAAAAGAGAAAGCAGAGGAGTAGGCAAGCATGCGTTATCGAGCTAAAGTCGAGATACATAAAATACAGGAAACAGCAGAAAAAACACGCTGAAAATATTTAGTTTCATGTCTGAATAGGATGTATGTGAGCATCAGTAGCGTTAAAGTTTGAATCAAGCAGATATTTCAGCCTCTTTACCCATTATACATGTGATAAAGAGTGTGGATCTTTATGCAGAAAATGAAAAACATGTTATTTAGAGGAAAGGGAAAGAGAGCGCACGATACTGATGAACAGCAGCAAATTATGTTGTCATCATCAAATCCATGTCAAACACTGCTGCAGATCGCCGCAGTATGGAGTGATTTCAGTGGTTGATGATCATTTTAAAGCAGCTTCAGGGTTTTCTTACAAACAAGGTGTACATTTTACTGCCATGCACAGAAAATAAAAAGACTCCACAAGGCAAGATAGAAAGATGTTCAAGTTTAAATGTCAGCCCTTAAGAATAAATACACCTTAACTTACCATATCATTGACTGTACTGTGCTAATAATGTCCTAAGAGCCCCCATTCATATGTACTGTCCTATCCGTTATTTGACCTATACTTTATCAGTAGAATAGCGCCATCCCTGCCCCAATGCCCACAGGGAGTCTCACATGAACACCACAGTATGTCTGCTTTATGTTCCTGCATGAAGATCTCTGTGTTTAAGTGTGTCGGAGACTTTCGGAGGTATGCAAGTGTGAGGCAGCGAGGAGGATGTAGGTGAGGTTCTCTCTCTAAATGTTTTTGTTTTCTCTTCCCTCCCGGTGAGGAGCAGTGGGTTTGGAGCAACAGAAGGTAAAATAAACACGGACAGACTTCCCCCGGAACTCAAGCGTTCCCCCGAGGAATCATGGGAATGTGGATCAGGATGTTGGGCCTACTGCTTTTACCGCATCCTAGAAACTGTCCAAGGAACCCCGAATTCCCCCCCCACACAAAAAAAGAAAGACGTGAACATTGACTGAGAAGCAGACTTTCCAAGCCAAAGTTTTTGACAACTGCTTTTACAAGGTTGAAAATCAATTACAACTCCTCACCTCAGGTACTCCTTACCTTGTATCCGAATCTTGAACTTCCCGCTCTGTCCAAACCCACCCTCGATGACGCCAGTCTCACCCGTCGACAGCGTGACCTTTAACCCCACGAACAGCTGGAGATTGGTCTCCTTCTTGAACAGGTTGCGTCCAATCACAGTGTAATCGTCAGTCACCTGAGCACAAGAACAGAAAGAGACTTCAGAGTTTGTGCTGATGAGCGTGAAAAAACGTAGGTACTAAATTTGACACCCTTTAGCCCTATAATGCCCTTTGTATCATATTTGATACATATTTTTGTGATACTTCTATCAAAGCAATATGATCAACAAATTACTAAAAAACACCTGAATACAGTCTGATAAATGATGAAAATATCCTCATGTGGTTTATCAGGTTCCAAAAACATCTAATGAATCAAACGAGATAAATAAATATATTTGTTAAATATTAATTTTTAATTTAAAACATTTAATTTGGGGGGTTTTCAGTAGCAAGTGAAATAAACATTTCAGCTCCAAAAAAATGTGAATTTTCTGGCCATAATTTGTGGTTTCAGGCATTAAAGGGTTAAAAATGCACCAGTATATGGACTAAGTATCAGCTGATATTTGCCTTGTTCACAGATTTTGTCCCACCAGCAAATCATCAGGTATTCACTGATTGCAGTAGCCAATATGCATTTGTTGTGATGCATCGATTTCATGACACGGAAGCTGATAAACCCCACATTTCAGTTTAGCTACTGTTACATTTTTGCCCTCAGACACAAAAAAAAAACACATTTTGTTTGAAAAACACAAGATGAATGATAGCTGAGTTCTTAGATTGCAATTTTTGTATTATTAGAAACAAGCAAAATGGTTATAAAGAGAAAAACATGAACTATTTAGGACCATAGTGGGTTTCTCCAATTTCACTTTGTCATCATTGCAGTTGTGTAAAAGAAGCTGGTGATCCTCTGCCTTCAGCAGCTAACCATCACCCCATGTTCTTCAAGGCTCTCTTTGATTCTCCTGCACATTTTCTATTTGTTTGTATGTCTTTCTTATCATCCATCACTAAGTTGATCTTAACTGCGGCTAATCTGATCACACGTAGGCACCGCTCTGTCTCCAACTAACCCCCCACCGCTGGCTCTTCCTCTCTCCTCCTGCCTCACCCTCATTCATTCTTGAACATTTGACCCTCGTGTCCCTCAAGCGTGACTGATGAGCTGATAAAAAGAAAGAAAAAAAAATACACTTGCTGTACACGTCCGGCAGACTGTATGAATTGTGACTGGATGAGGCCATCATATCTCAAAAATTCCAGCAATGTGTTCTTTGGCAAAAAGGAATTTTTTGAAGTCTCAAAGCAGAACCGCTTCTCTCTGGGTGACATATGAGCGACAAATTTTTAACGTCACATGGCCACTGTCTGACCTCTCGTCGGCTCCTGAGTCAGTGACTGGAGCTGTCAGCAGCCTGAGGTGCTAACAGCAGGAAACTTGGTTCTCACACTTGACCCCTGACCTGACTCCCACACTGCAGGAGGGTGCAAACAGAAACACTTGAATGTGCAGCGGAGGATGACAAGAGACCAAACATCTTCATAATCATTGTTTGGAAGTCAAAAAAGAAAATAATTGACGCAGATAAGATTTTGTGCTGAAGGCAGAGCGTCAGAGCAATGACACGGAACAAAAATCTAAACAACATGCGAGAGAGGGAGAATGCCGAGGTGGAGAGGAACAAGGTAAGAGTCAGGTGAACTCCAGGAGTCATGTGGGTATTTCTGTGCCACTCATGTGTGTCTAAACAGTGCCAGCATCTGACAACTAGACAGGGCTGGTGGCGTCAGGCGGCCACCCACGCACACCCTGGTGTCACAGCAAATGCAAAGGCATGCATACCCACCCATGCCTCAAACTAGACTCACCAGGGTTGCACATGCATGCTTGTTTGTGCGTACGTGTCTGTTTATGAATATACAATAGGGGCTCTGTCTGGCAGGCATGCTCCAGTGCCACCAGCAATGAGAAACATCCAAAGAAAGCAGAAACATTCGCGCAGAGCTGAGAGGAGCACACAGTGGTTGTGAGGGCAGAGGTAGAAGGAGAACATTGAAGGATGAAAAGAATGAAGAGAAGTCTGCAAACCAAGTGTTCAGTCTTAATCTGTGTGTCCACTCACCCTTTCCACCTGTCCCTCCTTGTATTTTGTTTTGTAGATTTGCAGGTGAGGCAGGGATGTCTCAGCGTAGGCTTTATCCTCGAACCCTTGTAACAGGCGGCCTTGGAAGGCTAACCGGCATGCGTTTGCGTGGATGTCTGTGTCCAGCTTGGAACCAATTACCAGGCAGAGAGAGGGGCATGTGACCGGCCGCTCAAACTCCAGCAGGGCCCACTGTTCTGGGTCAGGTCCAGAACTTCCCTCTCCCTGACCGCTGACATACTCATCATGGTAGAAATACTCTCTGTCGAAGGTGAACGGTGTTTCGAGTGAGCAGGGCTGCGTTGGCGGTGGTTGAGTGTCTGAGGCACCCAGAGGTGGCAGGCCAAAGAAAGTAACCCTCGCCATAACCGTCTCATGGCCGACTGTGATGTGGAACTTCGCTCTGGTGGAGAGGGAGCCCTTGAAGTATCCTATCTTCCTCACAGAGATGACAGCTGCATAGAGGGTACGCAGGGACCCTGGGGTGCACACCACACCTCGCTCTAAGAGTTTAGGGTCAAACTGTGTCACACACACGCCCACGCGGTCCCCCTGCATAGCCCCAGACACTGGCTTCCGAAACATCTGCACCGACTTTATCTTCTTGGTCACCTGAGAGCAAACAGAGACGATAAATGAGAGATGAATATCCACATACATAAGTCAACACATCATTGAGAAGATGGTTTCACCTTCAAAAGATAAGAGAGGCCAAAATATCACTTTTGACCATCATCCAATCTTTATGTTGATAACTCTGCTGATGAGATTTGTTGGAGCTTGACAACTAAAAAAATAATATAAATGAAGTGCCAGAAAAATATTGATCTATGAGAATCGATTTTATCAGTCAACATCTCTCTTCATCAGTATTTCTGCGTTTTTTTGTCTTCTGTCACTCACTGACAAAATCAACAGTTGGCGTACAGAGAAAGGCTCTGCGACAATTTACTGTTTGCATTTGCTGCCACCAAGAGGTGAGCAAAATAACTGCAGGCAAAAACCTCTGAAGCTGACTGGAATCATGCATCTGGTCTAAATTAGTTGATCCCAGTGCTGCCAGTGCACCCCCCCATCCCTTCATCCGACCCTTACATTAAACTGACACATCCTCTCCCCCCCCCCCCTGTCTGCCCACTTTCACTCATCTTCTGAACTTCCTAAACTCTGCAGTCTGTGCCATTTTTCTGGCATATCAAAGATTGATAAGTAACGCCTCTTTTTTATTGTTGTTGTTGTTGTTGTCTACCTTTAGTGCTGGGATTTCCACAGTGTCATTGATGGCCAGTGAGCCCTGCAGAATGGTTCCAGTCATGACTGTCCCCTGACCACGGATGGAGAAGCAATGGTCCACAGCCATGAGAAGGTCTCCTCTGGGGTTTCTCTTAGGGAGGTAAGTCTGTTTCTTTAGAAGCTGAAATGGTTGACAAAAAGGATGAAAAATCATTTATTTATTATTAACACATTAGTGTTGAGTCACACTTTAAATAAAAATGACAGTGGTTTCCTGCAACTCTGTAATGTTGTGCAAAATAACATCAGGACATCAACATTGAACTATTGTGGACTGATGGCAGCGCTCTGGTATTTCATTGTGTTGGAGTCTTTACTGTTTCTAAAGTCATATGGTAATTATTCTCATTTATCTAGTTTGGCCTGTTTATGGGAAAACTGGATTTTAACCAAGTCCACTTGCCTGTTTGGATTAAACCTTGGACCAGAAAGAAACTGCTTTGAAATGTATCAGAGCCTAAAAAAGTACAGACCTTTATTAGGCCATTGCAGATACTGTATATTGTGGAGTCTTTATGAATAACAAAATAATAATTAATCAAAGCAACAGTTTATACTTGAACTGTCACCTAGAGAGCACCGACAACTCCCTGTTTTGACTGAAAATATGCCTCCATTCTTAGCTAGATTTTTTACAACCATTATCATCAGTTTGAATTATGCATACCTCAAATTACAGAATCAGATTAGAATACATGCACTGAAATCTGAACACAGGATATAATATTATTCAGTTTAAATGTACATTAAGTCAACATAAGTGACAACTTATTTGATAATTTTTTTACCACAGTTTTAATAACTCTGATTTACTTAAGGTTCTTGTCCACAAGTGAGAGCTCAAGAACTCTTTGAGTTACATCAGTGATGGTCAAAACAGGCTGATTTGTTGCAAGAGTTTACCTCTATTAACTCTGATACTCCTTGTGGCTCCTCTGTGTCAGGAGCTTCTGGGCCCCCAGGCTTTGCTGCCACAGAAATCACTGGACAGTCCTTGAATCTGGTTTGAAAAACAAAACAAGAAAGACAGTCATATTAGCGATTCCTCATGCTTTGATTGGGGTAACTTTGATGGAGATCAGGAGGGTCCTACAGAGAGACCCTTGGAGATTATAGAGGTAAAGTACAGTGTAGGAGCAGATCATGAAAAATATGAAGTTTTGGTATCACTGTTTGCACTCAAGGACTTTTCTATATTTTAATATTTTTCTATTTTTCTATATAAGGTAGGAACCTTTGTGTCTAGGTAGGTGCTCCGTCCAGTGAAAGGGGAAACTTTTTTTTAAGGTGCAAATGTTGCTGCAGTAAAAGTGTGGAACATGTTTTTGTCTTGTTTAATTGTGCATTTTTGGAGCCTATAGAAGAAAAATAAACACATGTAGTGTTCGGCAAGGCAATCGCACATGGACTTTTATTGATCAGACGTAACTTTTTACATGCATAAATTAGTTAATCCAGATGCAGCACCTCAGTGGCTTTAAGCGTTGGCTTGGCCTCCACATTCAGAATAAAACAGCTTTTTCACCTGTTGCTGTTAGTCAGTTTGGTTTGGTATGGCAAACAATTTGCTGCATTACAATTGTCAAAAGTTAGGAAAGGTACCCAAGTATATGATCTGTGCCATCTTACTTCTTTGGCACCCCCCCTTTTTTCTATTCATTGTGAAGCAAAGGGAAGCCTCTTCACAGAAAGACCGGATCAGGCTGTGAAAAGAATCCCAGAAGTGCCTCTGTGTTGATATTTCTCTGTTTTGAGACATAAATGTAAAGCCCTAAACTTGTTTTTTTTTCCCTGTATATTTCTGCTAAGATCTGCATGCAGTTTGTGGAAAAGAAAGACAAGCCTCTCTCCTCTAGATTTTTGGCCCAAGACAGAGACACATGTAAGACTAAATGCTCAAATCAGTGGTCTAAAATGCATTATAACTGACCAACTGAGCTGTCTGGTCCTTTATCTATCCATACAGTTCTGACCTGGTGTTCTCCAGAGTTTTGTGCAGTCTCTTGGTCATTTTTTCAATCGCACTCTGTCTCTTGTTTGGTGGCAGCAGGTCAATTTTGTTGAGGATGACCACCATGCCGGGGCAGGTCAGCTCTCCTATCAGCAGACACTCTGCAGTCTGAGTCTGCACCCCCTTCACCACATCCACTACAAGCATCATCAGGTCAATGATTTGAGCACCTAGAGGAGGAAGAAAACACAAACAGTTATAAACAAGATGTCACTAATTACTGCTATGAAAAAGCAACAATCTCACTAGGAAGGCACTGTTGTTCGCTGTCAAAGAAACTCGACCTTTCTTGATGAGAATCTAGAAAGTAATAATAACTGTACTAAAATAAAAAAATGGAGCTGACAACAGCAACACAAACAGGAACAGACCCAGACATCCAAAAATAACAGTGGAACAAGACAAGAAATAAGAGGAGGGGTGCACAAAGGCATAAAGAGAGAAAAAGGCTAGAGGGTTGAAACTAGAGCTGCAGCTCACTTGGTTGTCTTCCCTTCCCTCTTTTCTTTTCCTGACTTTGGCAGTCTCTCTTTCCTGTGCTCCCCTCTTTTCTCTCCTTCTATTTGGCTGCTTTTCTTTCCTGTGTTGTCCCCACTTGGGACAGGAAAGGAAGTTTAATACATACCCCTTTCCTTCCTCCCTAATCTACAGCATGTGGCACCCCACTGGTTTGGAGGTTTCATTTATGTGTTGTTACATGACATAGCAGCATTCAGTGTTTGTGCGTCTCTACTCAGTGGAGCAGCAAATCTATACTGTAGTTGGTTCTTCTGTAATTCACAACCATCCAAGATATGAGATCAATTTGACTGCTTGTGGAGGGAAAGCGCCATCTGCTGGATACAACAAATTTTGCACATGTAAAGAAGGCAGCATCAGTTTTCACAGCAGTTTGGGGTTTTACAGTGAAAGATTGTTACAGTTTTTTAAGCAGAAGCTTTTGAGCCATTACAAGGTACTTCTTACTTCCTGAACCCTCATTAGGAATGCTTTGGTAAAGTTTGGTAAGTGAAATTTATGCTATGGAAAGAATTAAATTTAGTTTGAATCTTCAGAGAGATCTGTTTGTAAAACTCTGATCCAGATGGGTTAAAATGTAAAACCCCTACCAACGGATTTTTGTTACCTTTAATATATGAGAACTGCAGATGAGATGAAACATAATTCACTTTCATCTGCCCCAATACTCTGAATTACAAGCTGCAGTCATGATACAAAATACAAAAAATTGAAAAAAAAAACAGAAGCTTTTAAATCTGAGTGTTAATATAACAAGCCTAGGGATGAAGGCAGTGGTTTTTACAAGTAAAATATTTATTCAAGATATCCAAACTTTGCTCCCTGAATAGGAAGTATAATGTTGTGGATTCTTTGGATTTAAAGTCAGATCCACATGAACGATTAAAGTGAGAAAATGATTTTAAGGATGGCTTAGAAAGACATAGGGGAGAGTGGGGTAAGCTGAGCCAACGGGTAAGTTGAGCCAGCCCCTGTTGCTTGGAAATGGTCAAAGAAATTGATCATGTGACCAAATATTTAGGAGATGGGCATCAATTCATGGAGTCTGTGAAGGTTAGAAGCACATGGGTGAAGGGGTTAGACATTTATTTACAAAAAAACATTTTTCACTCTTGAAAGTGAATTTAATCTGTCATAAGTTTGATTAGAATTGTGTTCAGACCAAAAAAGATCTTAAAAGATTTTAAATTTGTTTTATACATCAATTGTTGTATCTATGAGCTACAACATGAGGTCAAAAACCTTGCATAAAAGTCCACCATTCTAGAGTATTGAGGACTAATAAAGTCATCATAGTAGTTCTGGGGCAAGTTGAGCCAGTGGTTCAACTGAGAAAGTAAAGGAGTCTGATGAGAGGATCAGAGTTTCAGTTCATTTTGTTGAAATGTTTTACTTTTTCTTTCCAAAAATACAGCTGTGAATGTTCTGAATCACCTAAAGACATTCTCATGTTAGAATGACTTTTTACTAAACAGCTTTTTTACAGTTATATACAATAATAATAAAAATAATTATTGAACCAGTTGAATAGCGTACAATAGATAAAAAAACACATGAATGTGAAGAAGTGACTGTTATTTAGAGAGAGAGAAGGTGAGGGAGGGCTGGGGTGGAGAGTGGGGGGCTAGTAGGGATATGGCTCAACTTACCCCGCTCCTATGGTCAACTTACCCCATACATGGGGTAAGTTGACCATAGGAGACCACTTTTTTTGGCATGCTATATTATCAAGACAGTTATGTTTACACTCATTCTGTTGGTTTGCAGGGATGCACAACATCTTGAAATATATGCAGATACACTAGTTAGAGACAAAACTAGGATTGTCTTGATGTAGTGATCAGAAATATGAAAAACGGCTCATCTTACCCCATTCTCACCTATGCAGACGACACCGAGTACAAAACAAACAACACCATATTATGTCTTGTAATTAAATGAATAACGAGCATCAAATGTGCATATTTCAAAGATATCTCACCTCCAATGATGGTCCGAATGAGAGAAGCGTGCCCAGGACAATCCACCAGAGTAAACTGCAGGTTGTCATACGGCTGCTGGCCTTCACCGTCCCGCAGGTGATCCGGAAAATCCACCGTGAAGGAGGAGAAGCCGAGGTCCAGCGTGATGCCTCTCTCTCGGGACTGCGGGTTCTTGTCGAAGGCGGCCGTGGAGGCGGTGCTGCTCAGCGCCCGGGCGAGCGACGTCTTCCCGCTATCGACATGTCCAAGCACCCCGATGTTAAAGTTGAGAGTTTTTGTGCGGCTGTCGACAGACTCTGACATTTTGACTCTACTTTTAAAGGAAAATTGACGGGGTTTGTTACTCTGACTTGGACCTTGATCTCAGCACCAACCGAAACATGACACGACGTTACAAAAGTTCCCCTCTGTGTTCGCTGAAATCCACTTGTTGAAAACACTTCACCTTCAGTAAAAAAAGTGTTTTTTTTTCTTACTTTGTAGCGTCAAAGCAGAATAAAACTTCAGTTTTAATTCAGCGTTCAGAAAAGTCTCCCAGGTGCTGTCAGTGCAGCCGGTCCGCGGGAAAATAGCTCCGACGAAAGCTGCTTCGAGTGGCTATTAAAATTGTTAAGACGGAGCTAACACGTTAAAATTGCTTCTTGTTTAAACGTTAGCGTAAAACACAAACGAAGCTATAAGAGAAACCTCTCTTTTAGCTCTGAATAATTTCACGAGTCTTATTGACAGTTTGAAAGGTTCTGGTAGTTTCTCTTACGATAAGGAAATTGAAACACAAACGGAAACAAACTCTTCTGGGTGGCACTGAATAGAAATAATTGACAGAAACGTTGACGATTTGAAACATAGACATAGCATACGTAGATGCCTCATTGCGCGCTGGAGCGTAATCCAGCGTCATCGCCATATTGGAGGGGCTTCCTCACTCCAGGCTCGCTCAAGAGCCGAGAGGGGTCAATGGAGAACGAGCAACTCTGCCCGTTATTTTGCACTCTATGGTTGGAAAACTCGACGCAGTATTGAAACCAGATCACGTAGGATTACAAATCACAACTAGGATTGAAGAATATGTTTTTTATTTATATGATATCTATTTATATGAAACATTGTCCTGTATTATTGCTACATCCCTGCCGTTGTAACAAACCAAACAGTGTGAAAATCGGGCAGAGATTCTGAGAGTTATTATCAATATGTTTAGGCATTCCTACTTACCTTAATGCACTGGAGGACCCATCCAAGATGGCGACCGCGCTGACACGAGCGCTCCAATAGGCATCGTCCGGTTTGGAGGCGTCTATGTATATAATGTCTATGATTTAAATGCCGTCTCAGTCAGCATGGACCAATAGAATTCCAATATAACCAAAAGGGGTGGTGCTCTAGGGTATCACTTCCGTTGATTTTCCCTAGTAACCCACATGGAAACCGATTTCACTGTGTTTTGAGTTTCGGCGCCTGATGTGGCGGTGAAAGGGAATCCGAGACGCAGAAAGCATTTTGTGAACTGTACGCCGGTTTTACTGTCTTTAGGTAACATAGCTGTAGAGAAGAAAAAAGCATGAAGATCGAGGAGGTAAAAAGCACCACAAAAACTCAGAGAATCGCCCCCCACAGCCATGTTAAAGGACTCGGGCTAGACGAGGCCGGGAATGCTAAACAGTCAGCATGCGGGCTAGTCGGCCAGGAGGCTGCAAGAGAGGTACTGGTCATGTTTCACGACATCTAAGATAATCAAATATTGTTTAGATGAACGGATTTGGTATGTGAGGAATTTTTGGCGAGCAGATTTGTTCTTAAATGGTCTTAAAGCTGCATCTATGAGCTTAACGGAGCTCCGTTAGCATCATGGTGGTGTCGCTGTTTCACTCCTAATTCAGAAATAAAGGCATGAACTAGTATTCATTCATACTTTCTTCAACGTGCATAGTCATATAAGTTTTGAAAGAGCACCCTTGAACTTAAAACATGGCGATCTATAAATCGGACGTATGCAGTGACTGTAACATTGAAGAGATCAGTGGTACCCATGGTGGTTTTATTGTAGGGCTGGGTGATATGGGAAAAAGTTTATCATGATATGTCTTTTTTAAACAGTCGATATTGATATATATCACGATATTAAAAAAAATCACTTGTCAATCTTGAATGTTCCCTGTTACACTTAAATGAGATTAAGTAGTGCTTATTGGTAGCATGTCTTTTGCAATGCATTAAGCCACTGCATCTGTCTTTGTGTCTCTTTGACGTTTTGTCGTAAGGCGTTGCTCTAGAGAAAGTGGACTGAATGGTCAGCTGTTTCAGCTGCACAGGCGCCATGGGCTCCTTGCTCTTCTCGGGGTTTGTAACCTTTTGCATTGCGCATGCTCTGCATTGTGGCGCTGCTTCAGGTGGTGAAAAAGATTTAAGGTTTTCCCGACTTTGTGAGAACATGTACTCGACATAATTTGCAGTACACATTACTCTGCTTCATGTCCAACTTCAAAAAACCAAAATACCTCCACACCACCAACGTTTTCGTGCAAGTGTTGTTGACAATGTCGTCATTTATTCAGCCTTTACCTACATTTCTTCCGGGAGTAGCACTCATTTTCTTTTTTTCTCACCGACCGTGCTGTCGGCTACTACGCAGTTGTTTGATACTTGGTTCTAATTCAGCACATGGTTGGTTCAGCATGAAGTGGACCCGGAGCAACTCCCCTTTTCATTGGCTATTCGTATAGTCTACCAAAACATGGCAGAATGCTGACTATCAAAAAGCATATTGACCATGTTTTATATTGATATTGAGGGAAATTAATTTTTGATATATACTGTTATAGTTTTATCACCCAGCCGTATTTTATTGTAAATAATTTTCTAATTTAGATGGCGTATTATTATCTAGAAGCTTCTCAATTTATAGTTTTTGTTCACATGGTCAGTTGGGAGATTGACATTTATGTTTGAAAGTGTAGTGAGTGATGGTGCTCTGAGATGTGTAATATTAAAAAGTGCTCTCAATATTTTGTCTACCTCATTAACAAAAACGGGGGAAGCAAAACTTTAGGAACTCCCTTCAAAACAGTCCACCACAACTTTGACAATCAATTCAGTGAACAGTTATCACTTCTCTGTCCATATCAACAAAATTTTTAATGGTGAGGCTTCCTTACAAGGATATTCCAGCATACAATTAATTTAGGGTCCCCCCCGAGAGATGAATGTTGCAGACCACTTGTTTCTCTAGTTATTACTCAGTGTTACAGTGTGTTTGACCCTAAATTAATTTTACGCCGGCATATCCCTTTGAAGATGAATTTATGTTGGAGTTCTTACATTAGATTGCCCTGGTGTTCATAATCCTATGGTTGGTTAGTGAAGGTTATCCATGCATATGCTTTTTTTCTGATTATCATCTGAAATTATCACAAACTGGAACGTCATCGCAAAAATTGGAAAGATTTTGAGTTAAATATAAAAGATTTGTCACATTTGTATATCCATGTCATTTATTCACACTGCAGGCTTGTGGGATCATTGTTGAGCTGATCCGTTCAAAGAAGATGGCAGGGAGGGCAGTGTTACTGGCAGGGCCGCCTGGTACAGGAAAGGTAAGTACAGGGTTCTCATTTACTAGAAAAACTACTTGGCATAATAAGGCTTAAAATGCTGTTGCTAAAACATGAGTGAAAAATCTCTTATCTGTGTGGCTTCTGCAGACTGCCCTTGCCCTGGCTGTATCTCATGAGTTGGGAAATAAGGTGCCTTTCTGCCCCATGGTGGGCAGTGAAGTCTACTCATCTGAGATTAAGAAAACAGAAGTACTCATGGAGAATTTCAGGAGGGCCATAGGTAAGTAACTGCTAAACATTGTTTAGTTTTATTCATCTGAATAAGTCACTGTCATAAAGGTTGGTTTTTGCTCATGATCTGCTTGGAAATGACCTTGCAGATATTTCAAAAAGAGCTAAATTGATTTAACAGAAGTCAATAAAGGGGGCACAGAATGTCTGTCCTTTTAAAACAAGTTTTAAATTTTTAACTGAGTTTTTCAATCAAAATACTGTATTATTAATGAAATTATTTTATTTTATATTGTTATTTACCCCTCATTGTAGTCTTCTTTATTCAGCCATATGTTATAAATTTGTTATTTCAATTATCTTTCTGTCTCATTTTAATTCATTTCTGTCTTAGTTGATTTATAAGTGTAATATAGTAGTATTTTTATTTTCATTATCCTTCTCAGGTTTGATCAAGTTTACCTCAAGTGTTTCCACATGAACTCATGATTGTGTTTCCTCAGTTTTTAGTTCCTGTTTTATTTTAATTTACTTATTTTGTTTTATTTGTCATGTTTGTTTTTGTTTGTGTAAATTTGGATCATGAATAAAGGTTTTTGATTTTCTTTTTATTTTATTTGTTTATGTAAAGCGCTCTGTGCTGCATTTTGGTTGACTCCAGTATATGATATAAAAAGGGGCAGTTTTGATCAAACATTTTATGAAGGCATTTGAGTTTTATGTTGGAGTCAGTTATATTCTAAATTCTACATTTTTTTGCAGAAAACATGTCATTGTTACTGTGGGAGCATCTTGGCTCCACATGTCTGTTATAGGGCTCATGAACTACAAATAATCAGTATTGATCATCGCTTAGACTGCTAGTGAGAGAACACCTTTTGGGCTGGAAGAGCAAGGTGTCCTGCAAGCTTGGTCGTTATGACCTCAACAGCCACACTCACTACGAATTCAGCAAAATGGTGTTGAGCAGGAAGGAAGGAAGGAAGGAGGGCTAGAGAGTGTGTGTGTGTGTGTGTGTGTGTGTGTGTGTGTGTGTGTGTGTGTGTGTGTGTGTGTGTGTGGGGGGGGGGGGGGGGCTGTTGCCTGACTGCTGATGGTACCTGTCACAGTGACAGAAATTAAGAAGCTCAGACAGAGGAGGGGTGGCCATCAGCACCTTTCCTCCTCCCTCAGAACAAAATCCACAGAGTGAAGGGGCTGTTATTTTCCGTTTGTCAACACTGTGGTTGATAAGAGTGCTGTGACTGGGAGCTCTGCATTCGCCTCACAGTCACCCATGTGTTGCTCATACTCCCTACAGCAGGCTGCACAAAAAGGAACAGAAGTATTATAGTTACACAAAATTATATTCAGTAGGGCCCGACTGATATGGATTTTTTGGGGCCTGATACCGATTATTAGGGGGGAAATATCCGATCACCAATTAATCGGCCAATTTTTAAAATTTTTTATGAAGCCTCTGCGTCTTAACTCATGTTACACATTTCCGGTCTGGTCATCTGGAGACATGCAGCTGCCTCAGTAAGAGAAGTAGCTCGATCACGTAATGTGTACTGTTGTTTATTCTACTGTTACTGGCACAGCTAACAGTGTAGCAAGGCTAATAGCCGGTGGCTAACTCCAACTTTAGCTTACATATTACATGGTGCTTCACCGTTAACTCGGCGTGACCGAGACCAGCACAGCGGGGAACATGGTGAAGTGGGTTGAACTGAAACTTGTTGGCTTGTTGTGTATTTCACAAACTGGTTTATTTATCGCTGAGGCGGACCACTCTCCTCCGTGCGTCCCTGAGCTGTCTGCTTCAGATCCGTCACTCTGCTGTGCTCTGAGGTAGTTAGTGGGTGAAGATTCGCATGAGGTCGCTTCGCCATCTACAGGATAGGTTGGGGAACTTTTCAAATGGCGGAACATTTTCAAAGTGAAACCGAATCTTATTCTCAGCATTTTTTCTGAAAATATAGGCGAGTTTTGGCCGATTGGTCTCAAACGGGCTAAAATTGACCGACTTAATTGGCTCGCCGATAAATCGGTCGGGCCCTAATATTCAGACATTTTATAGGCACAGGTGAACATGTTCTCTCTGAGTAATAAAACATTGTTCATTGGACTGAAGGAGGTAACAGGTTAGTCTACAGATGAATACAACTCTCTGGCTGATCTCTCACCTTTGAATGTTCTCACTCTGTATTCAGGACTGCGTATCAAAGAATCAAAAGAGGTGTATGAAGGGGAGGTGACAGAGCTGACCCCCTGTGAGACTGAAAATCCCATGGGTGGCTACGGGAAAACCATCAGCCACGTCATCATCGGTTTGAAGACGGGCAAAGGCACGAAGCAGCTCAAGGTCGGGCAGCCTTTTTTTCTTGTTCTCTTTTGTTATTCTACTGCACAGTGTACATTTTGAGGTATGGAGCAGAAAGGAAACTGGTGTGAATTGATCTACAAGGGTCAACTAATCATTTTCCTGCAAGTTTGTCAGAAATATTCATGTCATGGTAATTTTTAGGTAAAACTTGCTATGATTACACTCATGACAAACATCAACGTCATACTCATTATCCTCTTTTCTTCTGTAAATAGCTGGACCCCAGTATCTATGAGAGCCTTCAGAAAGAGCGTGTGGAAGTGGGAGATGTCATCTACATTGAGGCCAACAGTGGAGCCGTCAAGGTAAAACAAAGTTATGATCATCTACTTCAAAAAAATATCTTGAATTTTTACCTCCTAAACATCCTCCCTCTGGACTGAACTGTTGTGTTTAGAAGCTGAAAACAAATATTCCCCATGCATCTCTTTATGTTCCCTCTATCTATATGAAAAGACTACAAACTATTAGGTCACACTGAAGCTCAGAGCTGTTTTTGTGCCTTGAATGACCTCTTCCGTCCTTCATGGTGTGGTTCTGTCATCTCCTTCAGCTCTGCATGAAAGCTCTGCTGCATTTCTACTGTACTCTGGAATGAGCCTCTCTCATTTCTGCTGCTCTCTATGCTCCCTCTATCTCTTCATCTTCAACAATACCTCTTTTCAAGCGGCAGGCTTGCGGCCTGTGTTGATAGGCTAAGATGGCGGTTCCTTTAATCATCGCAGGTGGGCTCGGGCCTGTTGGTCGGCTCTGGTCAGAGGGCTGGGTAACACATTTGTTACTGTTGACAGCTGTATCATGACCTACCCTCTCAAAGTCTTTCATCTCTTAGCCACATGCCTTCCTCCTTGTGATGGGCCGGCTCCGGGTCCAGTTATACACCTGCTCACCTCTCCTCCCCTGTGCTGTCTTTTGTTTCACTCTTGTTGAGAGCAATTTGAGGCTTTTGAACCGAAGAGACATTCTTGGTGTTCGCTGTCTTTGCAGAGACAAGGCCGTTGTGACACATTTGCTACAGAGTTTGACCTGGAGGCAGAGGAGTATGTGCCGCTGCCCAAAGGTGATGTCCACAAAAAGAAGGAGATAGTCCAAGATGTCACGCTGCATGACCTGGATGTTGCAAATGCAAGACCACAGGTGTGTAAAAACAAACATCCTTTAACTTTACATCAGTGAAGCTGTCTATACTCAACAAAAAACAGACTTTTGAGCATAACACAATATTTAAATAGTTCATTTTTTTACACACGTGTCATTTTTCTCTTAGGGAGGCCAGGATATTCTCTCCATGATGGGACAGCTAATGAAGCCCAAGAAGACAGAAATCACAGGTAGAGGAACCAAAACACTCTGCAGCTCACATCCCTAACAGGCAGCATCTTCAGTTAAACTTTTTTTCTTTGAACATGTCCATGTGGCAGCCATCTTCATCCATTTCCATGTATGCAAATTCTCAATTAAAAGGGTAATGTAATGTTGCCGTGTTCCAGGCTGTAAATCCTTTACACTTTGGTTTTCTGAAAACTGTTGCTGTAGCTTACTATTCAAATAGAAATGTGGATGGACATGGGTTGATATTTCAAAGTATGTTGACATATTTGATCACTCATTGGCTGCCACTAGACAAGAGCTACAGTTAGCATTTAGCCGCTTCTTACCTTGTATTGCTGTTGGTTAGGAATCTACACTGTCTCTATTGTTATTGTTTTTTACTGATCATTGAATGTCCGTATACAGTCACTTCTTGTCTAGTGTTATTGTTTGAATGTGTTTGTAAAATAAGAAAGTCTTCAGTTGGCTCTTCAGTAGCAGAATGGTCATATTAGCCTCATGAACCAAACCTTAAAAGTTTAATAGATTATTTTTTAACCTTCAAATATGGCTCCATGTACGTCCATGAATGTTCCAGTCTGAGGAACTCTAAAATAACATCTATGAATTGGATCCTCTGTGTTTACATTACCTCTAACCTGGAACACAGCCTCAGGAAAAAAAATCATAATTTATGCTCCATCTTTTGGCTTGAAGTGAAGGAAAACAGCCGCAGTGTGAACACGATGAATTGTTTGCTCACGATTATTTGCTCTTGTTTCAGACAAACTTCGCGCCGAAATCAACAAAGTGGTGAACCGTTATATTGACCAAGGTGTAGCTGAGCTTGTACCTGGGGTGTTGTTTGTGGATGAGGTGCACATGCTGGACATCGAATGCTTCACTTACCTTCATCGGGCACTTGAGAGCACAATCGCCCCCATCGTTGTGTTTGCCTCCAACAGAGGAAACTGTTTGATCAGGTTAGAGGACTAATACTAATTACTAATTGATACTAATACTAATAAAAATTTGAGATATTATCTTGTCAATTTTTACTTGTGGAAGTAAAACGATAAGGATTGATGAGGACAGTTAATGATTTGCTGTTTCTGCTGGAGTAATAAATAGTTTGAAGCAAAAACATAATTCAACTGAATCCTTTCCTTTGTTGAAATGTAAGATTTGTGAAATCAACAAAGAATTTTTTTTTCACACCAGGGGGACAGAGGACATCAGCTCTCCACATGGGATTCCTCTAGACTTGCTGGATCGCGTCATGATCATCCGCACCATGTTGTACACGCCACAGGAGATGAAACAGGTGAGGATGAGTATTGGAGTGTCTTTATGAGGGATGTATGGATCTGGACTTGTTTCACTCATGTTCATATGTTGTAGATCATCAAGATCCGAGCTCAGACTGAGGGGATCAATATCAGCGAGGAGGCTCTAACACATCTGGCAGAGATCGGCACCAAGACAACCCTCAGGTGTGAATGTCTGCTTTGTATTAGTGGAGAACCAGAGTGAGAAATGAGCCTCATGTCGAGTGGCCAAAGTGGTTTATTAGCAACAACTTATGAGGCTCACTATATATCAAGCAGTCTGGTGTGAAATTCAAAAACATAACACGTTGGTTAACCTCTGATTTCCTGTTTCCTCTCAGGTACGCTGTGCAGCTGCTCACACCAGCCAATCTACTGGGCCGCGTTCAAGGCAAAGAGTCGGTGGAGAGGGAGCAGGTAGAAGAAATAAACGAGCTGTTCTATGACGCCAAGTCCTCCGCCAAGATCCTGCAAGACCAGCATCACAAATTTATGAAGTAAAACTGGATTTGTCTGTTGTTTCTCAGCCAGTTGTTACATAGTTCACATTGATGGTCTGAACTAACATCAATTTTATCCTACAGACTTTCCCATCTCTACTATCTCTACCACAGTTCATTCTAGTTTCTCTGCATTATTTACTGTGATCGTTTTGTTCTAACTATTTTTATTTGTTTGGTTTATGAGGATAATTTTTGAATAAAAAGAAAAATACAAATCCTCTCTGTTTCCCTGAAGAGTGTCTTTATTGGTACATTACATTTTTCACATCATCTGCATGTTTGCTTTGCGTGCTGTCAAGCTCAGAATAGATCAAACAAAAACAAAAAAAATTAACAAAGGCATTTTTCATTCACCTAAAAGAAACCTCTTTTAAAAACAACTTTCTCTTAACAAAACCTCTTATGATACCCCAGTTCAAAAGCTGTGTTTATGCCCCTCTATGATACTTTTTTTTTTTTTGTAAAATTTTGAGAAATTGCCAGTTTTACAAACAGTAATAATAGACTGACAAAATTTTCCAAAAACGTCTAAACCAATCTTTGTTTTAAGTTAAAAAAACAAAAACAGAGGACAAAAGTAAGAGTAAGCTTGAGTAAAAAGAAAAATACAAATTCTTTCTGTTTCCCTGAAGAGTGTCTTTATTTTTCGCATCATCTGCATGTTTGCTTTGCGTGCTGTTCAGCTCAGAATAGATCAAACAAAAACAAAAAAATTAACAAAGGCATTTTTCATTAATCTAAAAGAAACCTCTTAAAAACAAACTTCTCTTAACAAAACCTCTCATGATACTTCAGTTCAAAGGCAGAATTTATGCCCCTGTACTTTACTTTTTGTTGTTGTTGTAAAATTGTGAGAAATTGCCAGTTTTACAAACAGCAATAAAAGACTGACAACATTTTTCTGAAAAGGTTTTAAACCAATCTTTGTATTAAGTTAAAAAACAAAAACAGAGGAAAAAAGTGAGAGCAAGCTTAAAAAAAGTACAGAGCTCCTTTTAAAAATCAACTGCAGCACAGCTGGAACATTACAGACCCTTAACTAGGACAAGGTGTTGTCACATCACGGTCAAAAGGTCTGCTGCTACTTCCTGATTGGTTGAGCTGAGCGTGCGTTCAAAGCTGTCTCGGTGCCTGACTTTCCTCTGCTGAACACTGAGGGGGCAGCTTTACCCTTTTTTTCTGTAAACATCAGAGAGACAACACAAAGATGTAAAAGCCCAGCCAAGAGGGTTGTGTAATGTTGTTGATATGATCTACAAACACTTTGTCTAAATACATCAGGGAAGCACTGACATGAACCTTCCATAATTACAACTCTCCCCTCTTTTCTGTATATGGAGCGGAAACTTGTGCATCATGGGAAACGCCCCTCACACAAACTCACAGCCAAAATGTAGTCATGGATAACCACATTCCAAAAAAGTGCAGGCTGTTTCCTTTCAGTTTCCTCCGTAAGACTGGTGTCAAATCATGTATCCCTGTGTGTGTTTTCATGTGTGAGAACTCACCGCACTCCTCCATCACTTCCATTGTTTTACTCTTTGCAGGTCCACTCAGTCCCAGTCTGTTCCTCGTTTCACTCAGGTCCTCTTCTCTTACCTCAGGGCGCTGCATTTGTTCATCTTCCTGACCTGGCTGGAGGGGAAAAAATCAGACATGTTTTTGATTTCTGGTTTTCCATGTTTGAAGAAAGTCCTCTCAACACGATAAGGAAAAAGCTATCTCTTCTTTAAACTTACTTGAGACATGTTTGATTAGCAGTGGAAGATTCTCTGTTGAAATCTCTCCTTTTTGTTGAGTTAAATTCTTCCTGTCTCAGACATCCAACACTCAGGATTGATCAGAACCAGGCAGTCACTCTTCAGTGGACAAGACAGTAAATCTGATCCTCGAAGTAACTCATGACGCAATGGCCGATGAAAGCTCCTCCTTTTTTCAGCCTCTCTTCTGTCTCTGGTTTTTCTCAGGGTCTGCTACTTTCTGCTGCTGCATTTGAAAAAAAGAAAAAGAGTTTTATCAATATGACATGCATGTTTTACTGAATCCTGCAGCACTTCCCAGCCACACTGACAAAAAAAAAAAGAAAGCCGTGTAATTGGTCTCAAAGTTCAAAAGGTATGAAGAGATAAGTAGAGGTCTGTCTGAAGATATCTAACTTCAAAAACAACACTGCCAACAGAAGACACACCAAGCCTAAGTCTTGTAATATTACATATAAGGAGAACAGTGAAGAGGAAAATAAACATTTCAAGAATGCTGTTTCCCCTCCCCTCTGTCTCTCTTTATATAATCTCTGTTCGGTCCCCAAAGGCCTTTAATTCAGCAGCTATTTCTGCAGAGGAAATAACCGAAGTGATTTAAGAAAACAAATTGTCAAATATTTGTTATACTCAAACCTTTATGGCTGTCTTAAGATAAAATACAGAAACACAACAACTGGGAGGCTTATGACTGAGCTCGTATGCAAATCCATGGCGAGAACAGTGTAGACATCTTGACAATATCCATCTTTTATAGCAAAAATGTCACAAAGATTACAATGAAGTGGGGAAACAAAAAAACCTTTAAAATAACTTCAGGGAGGGATTTAGCTGTTTGCATTTGCTGCGCAAAAATTGGATTTCCAAATTCTCTCTGCTGGTACAAAAAAAATTAGTGAATGGAGATTTGTGAGATGGCATCATATATAAAAGGAGGTTTAACCTATATAACACCTCACAAATACAAGCCAATTGGTTTGCATAAACAAGAAGACCTTGATTAATATTCATCTATATAGAGATTGACTTGGATCACACATTCCAAGTTTTTAGGGGGAGCAGTACAAGTAGTACGGGAGACCGGGGATGGTTGTTGCATGGCGAGAGTTGTAAGACCATTATTTCCACTAATCAGGGATAACGTAAAAGTCAATGATCATTTCAGTGTTTAATAACATGTTAGATTATAATACTTATATGTAGGCAATATATAATGTGACATATCAAAATGAATTTGATTGTACTGCTACTAATGTACTACCTACTCAGACAGTATGGGCTCTATTTTCGTGTACGCTGGTGAGGCGGCGGGTGGCGGAGCCCGCGCAGTTGTATTTTCATCTGGCGGAGCCCGGCGTACAGCCAGTTTGGTATTTTCGTGGACTGAGGCGCACGGAGGCGAACCCAGATCTGCCAAGCTGGGCGTGGTGGCGTGGTAGGGGGAGGTGTCGACAGAATCCGCGGGCGCAGTGACATTTTCGTGCTCGCCAGTGGCGTGTAAAGTGCGCTGAAAGCTCGCCGATTCAAACCTGGTCAGCTTTCAGCGCAGGCGGAGCGCAGCTGGTCTAGTAGTATTTTGGTAGACCAGCGGCGTATCGGCATACATCACTGATGCCTCACCGGCAGGTTTCCACAGTGTCAGGCACATTTCAGTGCAATAAATAATCATCATCAACTAATAATCTGAGTTAGCACATACATTTAGATCTATATCGATATATTCTGATCTATATGTGATCTGATGAGCGCGTTTGGCACGCGTTAGGACACACAACCTGACCGAATCAACACAGCCGAAACCGCATTAAATTAGATTAAATATCTGGTAAATAAACACACATGATGAAGTTAACAAGATATGTAATTCGTCTCCCTCCTTTTCTTTCTTCCTCTTCCTCTTATTTCTCGCACAGCTCGACCTGGACATCTCCGTGTCCTCTCTCCGTCCTGCAGCGGCTGAACAGATGATTTGTTTCAATGCTCAGATGAGTTATCTACTTTAAGCCGACATACGGATATTATAATATTCAGTTTTGTGAGCCAAATTTATTTTATATGCCAACATCTATGAAAGAAAGAGCCAGGCCATGGAGCGCGATGCGTCATTTACGCACAGATGGTTCCGATTTTAATGCCATTTTTGGAGTTAATGTCGTGATCTGTGCGCACAACCCACCTTTTTCACGTGAGGTTTGAATATATGCAACTTTATGTGAGTGTCTTTATTTGTGGAAAGGGTGTTTGTCTTACCAGTGGGTCCAACATTACACACACCAAATCCATCTGTGCTCATATGAGAGAGTGTGGAGGACGCCCAATGCAGCGCTTAAAGTGACACTTGTTGAGGAGCTGCCTTCTGTCGCCATCTTGTGGCATTACTGTCTTCAGACATCTCTTGATCTCTTTGACTACTTCATGAAAATAGTAATACGCCTCGCCTGTGGCGGATTTAAAGGCAAGGAGAGGAGCTTATGTGATTGGTGAAAACAGGTCTCGGCTGTGTTAAACCCACTCCACGCCCTTTCTCCTCCCTCGCAACTACTTATGCCGCTGGGAGGAGCTGAGTAAGGGTGGGGGGATACTTACGCCAGGCTGCGCTGCTCACCAAAATACCAAATTGTGCTTGGGAACGCCTTGTCGGCGCGGCAGACCTGACTTACGTTGCGCCAGCGGCACGTCTCCGGCGAGGCACGAAAATAGAGCCCTATGTGTTGCACACTGCCTAATTTGGTGTTATAATGCCATTTAACAACATACAATTGCACAACCTCTCTGGGTCACACGACTTCAATTACATGCCTGATCTGACATTCAATATCACAATCAGATTTTTGTTATTCATACAGCCATGTAGTTGTTTGAATATATCCATACTGTACTCAGTATGCAAATATAGTTGGTTCATGTAGACTTGTTAACACATTTACACACACTTCTAAGTAAAACAAAAAGTAGATTCAGGGTTTAGTCACTCACAGAGAGCGCAGCATCATTATATGGTGTTTTTTTTACTGTATTAGACCTCTTTTAGAAGAAAATCACACAATGTGCTTTCTGTTTTGATATGTTTTGGTTATTTGTTACTACTAACCCCAGCATGTTTTACAACCTACCCTACTTCTTTCTTTTTTTTTTGTTATATCTACTGAAGTGTAACAAAACTGTCACAAAACTGTTATATAGCGCCAATTCACAACAGTTGTCATCCCAAGACACTTTCCAAAGAAAAAGAGCACGTCTAGACCACGCTCACTGTTTGATGAATTATCCAGACCCAACCTAAGATGGGACAGATTTGGCCCATCTCATTTAACATGAGTGACAGTGGCAAGGAAAAAGTTCCTTTTAATGGGCAGAAACCTTGGGTAGGACCAGACTCTTGCTAGACAGCCACCAGGCTGCTGCTGGTTTGGGGAGGAATACAGAGAGATAAGGGGGGAGCGAGAGAAAGAGAGAGAGAAAGAGAGAGAGAGGAGTAGGAGAGTTGACTGACAACATGACAGATCCTTTGCCGCCTCACTCACAGTCATAAACCAAAACCACAAATATGAATGTCCATTTTGTTTTATTGTGTAACAAAACTTTTTTCTCTGCTTCTTAAAATGCGTTCATTTTAATAATTCAAATGAACCCCCACCCACTCACCTGCCCACCCACACACACACACACACACACACACACACACACACACACACACACACACACACTGTGCACAATCATGAATGAGAGGTCTTGATAAAAAGTTTGTCTCTCCGTGCTTAGGTACAGTCAGTAACTGTTGGTCAGTATTTCCTGTTGGTCGTGAAACAGAGCTTCTTCCATTCCAGTAAACACACTTAAAGTGTTCATGTGTGTTTTTTTCTGTATCGGGGCAAGAGCTGAGTCCTTACAAACTGAACAAGCTGAGTCTCTGTGAGAAGGCACGTGACGAACACTACAAGGAGACATGCAGCTCCTACACTGATGTGGACCAGCTTCAGTAGCCAGCCGCCGTCACAGCAGAACAAACCCTAAACCCAGAGGACAGAAGCAGAAGTTAGTGGGTTTGTACAAAGCTGAGTCCACATCAGAGTTTAAAACAGTTTAAAATAACGGTTAACATTTAGTGATGGAACATAAGGGGAGAATACAGAGTCATGACTTTCTTGTACCTCTGATAGAGCTGTGACACCAGCGCTAACAGTGAGTGCCAGCAAGAGGAGTGGGGAGGGTAACAGGCCCCGCAGAGGTTTCCACTGACTGGCCTGGAAGTAGTGATGTATGTAGAGAACACTGTGTGTGATTCGAAGGCCCATGTTCAGGCAGTTTGCTAGTATGAAGCCCACAGCACCAGCCCACCATGTCAGCATATAGGATAGAAAGAGAAAGGACACAGAAAGAGCCAGCATCACAAAGTTATACCTGTGAAAGAAACAAACACAGTGTCAGCATTGCCACGGCTTACACAGTGCGTTACGACTGAACTCCTTTGTCTGTGTAAACTCTAAAATCATACTTGTCGACTTCTTCTTGGCTCATGGCAGCAAAGACAAAGCATTCAGTGACTCCGTTTACAGCCAGCAAGAGAACGTAGCAGCTGTAGCATTGCAGCAAAGTGGGGCCTTTCACAAAAAATCAAAAGGAAATAGCTGTGAATAAACAAGAACACTGACACAAAATATTTTAACACAAATACCAAATACAACAAGGATGTTGTAGCTCACTTACCTGCTCCGCTGCTTAACAGAGAGCCGCCATAAATATCCAGCGCCAAGTGAGAGTAGGCATAGCCAAATACTGTGATAATCAGACCGACTATCAACACCAGCTTGAGCAGACACTCCAGGACCTCTGCTACTATTGCAACTTCTTCCTATAAAAAAAATAAAACCCCCAACGTGACACAAAGCCAGCAACAGTTCTTTTCTAGTTCTCTATGAAGACTACTCTGTGTATACCCGCACCTGTTTCTGACTCCTGGCGTCACGTCCTCGCTCCAACACTTTGGCAAAGAAGATATAGAAGCTTTCTTCAATAGGCAGGAAGATGAATCGAGCCACCATAGAGCCCAGGTTATTGACAATATCATAAACTCCCTGATCCCCAAAGCTTAGGACATTCAGGAAGGTCATGACGTAACGCTCCCCCTCTGTGAGGATCTGCTTCAGGAAGGACTGCTTGAAGAAGCTCCATGTGAGCCGGGCCAGAGCCCAATCAACCAGGGGCTACGAACAGAGAAACATAAGAGGTTCAACTATGGGTATATCTTGTCTGAATCTAACACTGATCATTGTTAAAAATGAAATATGTTATTCTGACGTACTACCTCTCCATCAGCTCTATGGGGCAACAGATCTCCAACGTGGTCCAGAGGAAAATTCTTCTTGGCTGCTTCTTTGGAGCCCAAGAATCGAATGAAGTAAAGAGCGTAACACAGCACTAGGATTCCTGTGAACACCAACTGGGAATAAAAAAAAAGCTTAGAGTAATTTCATAAATATGAAGCAGAGGCAGAAATAATGCTGGAGATTAAAGTTCTTACATGAGCAGCAGAAAAGATGTAAAGGCCCCATTGACGGGCAAACAGCACCAGCACAACAGTTATACTGCACTTCGTGATCATTGCTAAGCTCTCTGCGACCACTTTCAGTCGGACGAACATGTGAGCCTGAGCCAGAACCCAGAGGGGCTCAGCCAGGAGCTCCTGCACTCCTGACAGGGCAAACAACACCACTGCAGGGCCATAGTATGGTATAGTTTCAGGGTCTGGGACCTCCAGGAGCCAAAGCCATACACAGGCCAGCAGTACTGCCCATAACACACCCAGTGGCAACCTAAGGGGCAAGAAGGTCCAAAAATGAGCCACAACTTTAAGCTAGAAGTAGGGGAGAGTGGGGTAAGATGAGCCATTTTTCATATTTCAGATCACTACATCAAGGCAATCATAGTTTTGTCTCTAACTAGTGTATCTGCATATATTAAAGATGTTGTGTATCCCTGCAAACCAACAGAATGAGTGTAAACATAACTGTCTTGATAATATAGCATGCCAAAAAAAGTGGTCTCCTATGGTAAACTTACCCCGTGTATGGGGTAAGTTGACCATAGGAGCGAGTAGTTGAGCCGTATCCCTACTACTACCCCACTCTCCACCCCAGTCCTCCCTCACCTTCTCTCCTCCTAAATAACAGTCACTTCTTCACATTCATGTGTATTTTTATCTATTATAAACTATTCAACTGGTGCAATAATTCTTTTCATTATTATTGCATATAACTGTTAAAAAGCTGTTTTGTAAAAAGTCATTTTAACATGAGAATGTCTTTAAGTGATTCAGAACATTCACAGCTGTATTTTTGAAAAGAAAAAGTCAAACATTTCAACAAGCTGAACTGAAACTCTGATCCTCTCATCAGACTCCTTTACTTTCTCAGTTAAGTCACTGGCTCAACTTACCCCAGAACTACTATTATGACTTTATTAGTCCTCTAAGCTAAAATGGTGGACTTTTATGCAAGGTTTTTAACTGGAGTATGTAAGAGGGAGCACATTACTCCCATCCTGGCCTTCCTCCGCTGGTTACCTGTGCATTTTAGAGTTCATTTTAAGATTCTTTTATTTGTTTTTAAATCTTTTAATGGTCTGGCTCCATCTTACCTCTCTGAGCTTCTCCAGCCCTACACCCCTGCTCGGTGCCTCAGGTCAGCTGATCACTGAAACACTGAAACTATATTTTACTTTTTAAAATCTGCTTTTATTTCATCCAGTGTTTTAATTGTTTTTTTTCTTCTTGTTTTTATGTCTGTGTTGTTTTGTCTATTTATGTACAGCACTTTGTTCAGCTGTGGTTGTTTTAAAGTGCTTTACAAATAAAGTTTAGTTGAGTTAAGTTGAGTTTTTGACCTCATATTGTAGCTCATAGATACCACAATTGATGTATAAAACAAATGTAAAATTATCTTTTTTTGGTCTGAACACAATTCTAATAAAACTTAGGACAGACTAAATTCACTTTCAAGAGTGAAAAATGTTGTTTTTTTTAGAAATAAATGTCTAACCCCTTCACTCATGTGCTTCTAACCTTCACAGACTCCATGAATTGATGCCCATCTCCTAAATATTTGGTCACATGATCAATTTCTTTTACCATTTCCAAGCAACAGGGGGTTGCTCATCTTTCCCTTTGGCTCAACCTACCCCACTCTCCCCTACATGAATAAACACATATCCCACATTCATTGTGTCAGCTCACGTCAGCCACAGCAGGTTGATAATTTGTCTCCAGCTGTGATTTGTTCCGGATACTCCACTCAGACAGGCTCTCCGGAAAGCTTCTCTGGACAGAAACACTAATGTGGAATACAGCAGAGTCAGCCTGCATGACAAAGACAGACACATCATAGGAAGTGAACTGAGCTGTTGTCATTTTAAACTCATTTTCAGCAATATCCCCCTGACTTACACACTCAAACATCTTTACCTGACATTGACAACTCCTATCAGCTCCTTGGACACAAACCGCAGAGTGAATGCATTCAGCAAGAAGGTGAGGACACGAAACATCACCTGAAACAACAACAACCATGACATAAAGTTATCATAAAACAATCAAAACAGAATCTGTATGTGTCTGAGCTTGCTTTTTTTTTGTATGGCTGATTTGTGTGAGCTACAATACCTGTAAAAGCACGTTGTATGAAGCTAAAGTGGACGCACTCTTCAGCACATCATGAGAACTCATTTTCTACTTCCTTTAAACTCGTTGGAGATCTTTGAGTGAATCTCCTAAACTATTCGCCTTTTACTACGAAGCAAAATCACGTCATGCTGTGGAAAAGGTGCCCGAAAAACAAATAAAAAGAATCTCAGTTCAATCTACAGTGGAAACACAGCTTTACTGCAGATGGTTGTACTGCTACTGGCAACACTTCCGTACACACTGTACGGAGCGCTTTACGTAATGACGTCATACTGAGTCATCTATTTTTCCTCAACGGTAGAGGGCGTAAACATCAAAATAGTGTAAAATACTCGGATGTAGTGGACATATTAATCCTCCTCGTTTTGAGCAAAAGGTAATAATGTAAAAATAAAATATTTTATTTTTGTTCTGTATTCTTGAAATACTGTATTCTGTGCCTTGAAATAATAATATTATCAATAATAATAATAACAACAACAACAACAACAACAACAACAATAATAATAATAATAATAATAATAATACTCCGTAGTAGAATAGCACTTCAACAGAAGTTGACAAAGTGCTTTGACATATAGTCATAGAGCACATGGAAAAAGAAGGATAAAAACAAAAAGTTCAGTTAAAACAGAATTAAAGGAACCCAAAGAATACAAGAACCATGCAACATAAAATGAGACCATGAGGACCAAAATAAAAACATAAAATAGTCAAGAAAAAAGGAAAATGCGATTAAAAAGGGTGTCGAAAGCGGAAACAGGATGTAAATATAAAAGGCAATATCAATAATGATAATAAATTAATAATCAATAATGATATTAATGATAAAATAGAGCAACAGAAATGAGCAAGAGATAAAACAATAAAAGGCCTAAAAGGTTAATTAAGAAAAGAGTACAAGTATGACAAAAGCTCAAAAGACAGTACAGCTGAAATAAAATAGAGGTAAAAGAGATAAGAGATGAAAAATAAAAGATAAAGATAAAAGACAGCACCACATAAAGGCAAGTAAGCTTTTTTGTGTCTGTAAAAGTAAGTTTTTAAATTTGACTTAAAAGAAGTGACTGTCTCTGAAAGTCGCCCTGACAAATAAAATGTTTTATTATTATTATTATTATTATTATTATTATTATTATTATTATCATCATCATTGTTATTATTAATGAATTATCTGGACTTTTATTTAGACATTATTTTATTTCCAAATATTTTCAACTCCATGACTCTCGGATGAACCACGATGGGGAGAGGAAACCTGGAAAGAAAGGTATCTCCTTAAATTCTGAGCAGTGGAAACAGCTGAAAGACCAGATCTCAGAAATCAATGATGCCAATAAGAAAATATAATCATCCCTTTCTTATGATTTTGTCGTTGTTGGGTTAGATTCAACCTATCGGCTCACCAGTTTTGTAAAAGCCAGGGATTGTTTTATGACTTGAATTTGTAGTTGTGGAATTAGTGCTGTTGTAGTGAAGGTTTGGGTGGATGACCATTGGGTTAGTGGGGAAGGGGTATCAATAGAGAGCAGTGGATAAAAAAAATGAGGCACTCACATAAAAAAATAAGCACCTGGACTTGGGAGTAGATAGTTTTTTTTAATCAGATGTAAAAGATGGACATAGTAAAAAAAAGAAAAAACACCCTTTGAGGACAAATATACATGTTTTAACAATATACATACACTGTCTATATACAGCATTCCAGTGACTTCCCACTCATTATTTAAAGTCACCGTTACCAAGCTTTTTGTACACCGGACTGCAATCTGACAAACCTCCAAATCCAACTGTGACCAGCCAGCTACCAGTCAGCTTATATTTACTCCCCACATTGCACTTGTAAGGCAGTCGCACAACCACAAGTTTCAATTTGTCAGCATGACATAATTTATCCAGTTGATGTCTAAAATTCAGATTCAGACAGAAAACACTTAACTAAATTTAATCATGATAGGTGTTAGTTTGAGATCTCTCATGCAATTTCTTCAATCTCACAAATAATTTACATTTGAAATACAGTATAATTAGAGTCAACACAGTGTATTCCTTTATGTTATTTTTATCTTCATAATTTTCATACTCTTTACAGTGGAATTGAATTAAAAAGACACAAAAAGACTGTGGATGGAAGCAGTGGCAAAATGGAATGGAGCTAGTATCAGCCTCCCGTCTTAACATTATTACTAATACAGGCCTAGACAAATAATAAGCATTCACACAAAACAATATCATCAATATATACAAGGACCAATTTCTATTATTATACTTTGTACATGTACCCCAGGGCAAGAGTTTGTGCATTAGAGGAGGTCACACAAATACTGATAGTGGAACAGCCTGCTCATTTGCAAGTTTAATAAGGTGACAGGATCAGGGAGCTGTCTGTTAGCAGTAATGAAGTCACTTTTCTAAAAGGTGCTCCATCTCTGGGTTGATGAATGAAAAACCAGAGAACGCTGACTGATCTATGGAGTCGATGAAGTTCTTATCGCTGTGGGACAGACGAGGTTTTTCACTGAGGAACTCCCGGTCAAAGTTGCTGCAATCATTTGGTGCTTTCTGCAAAAGATAACAAATTACTCAGCAAAAGGACACTCAAGAAAAACAGAAGTGATCACGATGAAAAAAGGTCATCTTCAGTGACTTTTTGAGAAGGCCATACCACTTTGGGCCTGAAGGGGGGTTCAACCTCTCTCCTCTCCAAGGCTTGCCAGTCAATGCTCTTGAAGAAGGGATGTAAACAGATATAACCCACAACTCCAAGCCTGCGAGTAGGGTCTCGCTCAAACAGCTGTGGGGAGACAAAGCCAGGAAGTGAAAGTAAGTAATACATCAGCTACTTTCATGTGTGTAAGGCACCTGTTCCCCTCATTTTAATACTCCAGTAACATTTTACACTCACAAAATCTGTGAGTGCGGGCTGCATTCAGGTAGTCCATACAGTGAAAATAAAGTACTGGTTAAAAAAATTGGGAATGATAAAATGTTTTTGAAATAAAGAAAAAAAAAGTGCATGTCTGTTGCACTTACTCTGAAGCATCAGCACAGTCAATGTAATGAAGGACATGATCTTACACTGTTTTAATAGAAATCTAGACACCCCCTTTAGTATTGATTTGATGAATGTTATGCTGACATTTTATTCCAAATACATATGGCCCATCCCAGACTGACTGTTCAGAACGCGACATATATTTATAATCTGTTTCAAGAGACTCCTCCACATCTGTGTTAAGGTCTTTTCTTATGTTCCTAAACTCCAGGGATGATGTGGCTTGTCAGTGAAGTCCAATCTGCTGCAGCATCCAATCAACAAGTGATAAATAAATCTGTCGATTAAAAGACTTTGGTGAAGGCTGCTCCTCCTCCTATTTCCTGCTTCTCCTCTCTCCTCCTGATCCCCTTTCCTCATAGCTACAGCCAGAGCTTTGGGACACCCCTTTGAGTTCAATCCAGGACCAACACATCATTGTGTAAGAGAACTTGGATGGACACTGCAGCTCATCACTACCAGCAGCATGTTTAGAAAAAAAGTAATTAAGTGTCCGTTTAGCAGGTAATTTGTGCTGACATTCCAGATGCAAAGAAGGAGCTATTCAGTTCTGGACCACTCTGATTGTAGAGCCTGTTGCAGCTTTTGCTACAAAGACACATGGAAGCATAACATTCATTCTTTACGAGAACCAAGTGATTCACCATGTCCTCATCTATTGTCATGACGTACTCTCAAGTACATGCACAGCGCTGCATAACAACTGACACAGGACCTATGACTAACAATTTTCTGTATATCATAAGGCTACAAACCCGCTCAAGTAGGTCCTTGGCCTCTTTGTTGATCCAGCGAGGATAGTGAGGAGTATCCATGCGAATGGACTCAAACAACTCATCCTCATCATCTCCATGGAAAGGTGACTGGCCAACCAGCATTTCATACACCAACACCCCGAATGACCACCAGTCAACAGAGAAGGAGTATTTTTGTCCCAGCAGGATCTGAATCAAAAACACATTGTTGTAGTGAGTTACTACACAGAAACAGGCACAAACCGGTTTTCAGGACAGAAGTCGTGTAAAGTGATAAATACAAATTGAACATTTCAGAACGAACGAGCATCAGGAAGTATAAAACTTCATACCTCCGGGGCAATATAGTCAGGAGTGCCACAGAAAGTTGTGGCACGATTCTCTCCAAACACATTTTCCTTGCACATGCCGAAATCAGCGATCTTAATGTGCCCCTCATGATCCAGCATCACATTGTCCAACTTCAGATCCCTGGAAAAAAAGCATCACAGGAGGGCAGAAAATTACTGAAGATGATACACGAGTCATCAATATTAGTTTAAAATTAAGCAAATACTTTTGTGATTTATACGAGCTTTGAGAGAAATTTATATGTATAAAGTGTTTTCTCTACTGTGAAATCTTGAATCTTTACTGTTCTGGCACATCGCTGAGACCTAAAAGGTGTCAACCCCAAGAAAATTTTAAGACTCTAACAGGTGCTCTGATCTGTATAAAGACTGTAAATACCTCTATCTATGAATTGCCAACCATTCTACATATAATTTCTTAAAGTTAATATTGGATTAATCTTTTTTTCATATTATCTTGAAATAAATATCCTACAAGGATCTTGAACTTGCTTGAAACTGTACTTATCCTGCTCAACATATTATTTTTTTTACATATTCCATGTTTTATCATTCAACTTTGGAGTTATTAACAATTTACAACAACCACATTATCACTCAATAACATGGAAACTTTTGAGTGAAAAAAACTTGAAGATGCTTTGGATTACCTAACCAAGTTTATTTCACAATGCATAAGCTCCTGTGCTGAAATCAAGGATATTGTGTAAGGTCTGCTGGGATGTTTAAAATGTAGCATTTCAGGTGCGTGCAGAAAATTAATATAATGGCTCAACTGTGTTTACTGCTATCTACAGTTGTTTTTTCTCACCTGTAGATGATCCCTTTGGAATGCAAGAACTGAAGACCTAAAATGATCTCGGCAGAGTAGAACCTGAAAGACAGACCGACAGACAGATATCAATTATTCATCTCTAGGGGGGAGCTACAGGTCAGAGAGCTGTAGCTGCCTTGATGCTGAGCCACACATCTGTGTCATAGCAAACTCTTTTCAGTGTCCAGCTTAATTATTTAAGAGGACATTTGTATGGAGTAGTAGACAGTTGAATAAGGATCTCATAAAGTGAAACCTGAGAGCCGCTGTAAGCAGAAAGATTAGACTATCTCCAACCTGGTTCTCTCCCACCTTCTGCGTGCATTAAAACGATAGAGTTTTGAGAGAAGATGGCGTCGCTGTCACTCCACTCCAATAATTTAGCATTCATCAGCATTCACTGTAAATGACCATCTGACAAAGACTGCAAACCCTTACAAGTACAGCTCTCTCAGAACAAGTTATAAAACACAGATATGTGTGCATGCAAATGTAAAACTGTTCTGCAGACACACAAAAAAAAGGTCAAGTCAAATGAACTCTATAAAAAATAGTTGGGCTCTCTGAGGAGTATTTAGACATCGAGCTGGACACTCTACAGCAGCCAGTCAGTAGCCACTGGGAAAAACGACCTCAGTGCTGATAAAGAGGTCACTGGAAACTCTGCAGTTCATTTGCTGCCTGAGGATAAATCTTGCATAACAAAGTACAGGAGATAGTTTCCATTCCACTGCAACAACTTGTGCATCAGCACAGTAACTTTTTTTTTAACATTCAAACAAATGTGTGATCAAATGCATGTCCTGTTAAGAATTAATGTAAGAGCACACTCTCTTTCCTTAAGTTACTGAGGATAAATTATCCATCCAGGCTGAATACAGTCGCCAAGTGAGGAGGATTTCAATGGATGTCAACACAAGATCAGGTGTCTGTGCTTGTGAAGGAGAGGAGGATTACTCCTGTCATCTCAGGGCTCCAGGACACAGCTTGAGTTTAACTACATGAAATGTATAAGTGAAACCCATTTAAACAAAGGACTCCAGGGCCTCAGTACATCCATCATGTTTAGAAATACAGGAGAATAAGGAACGTACTTGCTAATCCACTTATAATATATTCTCGCCAGGAGGCTAGATTCCAACTGAACTAATCTTGCTTTACTTACGACATGAATTTGTGCTCCAAGTTATTTTTCATTTATATGTTTTTATCCTTATGGCGATCAAAACAATAAGATAAAAACCATCTCAAATTCCTGGAAGCCCAGGAAACTGCCCCAAAACATCTGCTGTGCACAGATGAAAAAAATGTACACCAGTGACACTAGTGCATCTTTGTTTGTTTTTCTTGGAAAGGTTCCTGTTAAGTGATGAGTAGAAAGGTGAGTGGGAGTAGCTGATACCTCCCCATAACAATCACATACAGACTCAAAGAGCTGCTTACTCCTTACAAGGCAAGCCTGCTTGTGAGCAGCAGCTACTCAGCACTAGGGAAGCTCAGCCTTTCCAGGTTCAGAACATCATGTCAAAGAAAAATAAACCCAATGGGAGCAAGGCAAAACCTTTTACAAGTATCTACTTTCCATTGGCTCATTGATACAGTGTGTGTCATTCTCTGTACAGCTACAACAACACCAGTAGTGTGTGTTTTTATTCAACTCATCCTATCTGTTCAGTCAATGTGACTGGTGGACTCACGTGGCTCTGTGGAGTTCAAAACGCCCTTTCTCCTGGATATGAAACATCAAGTCTCCCCCGTTCAGATACTCCATCACAAAGAATAGATGCTCCTGTTGGTGAACGTAGCAAAAGTATAAAAATACACCCAGTGGTGAGGAGGAGGAAAAAAAACTGATACAGACACAAACGAGCTAGGTAAGCAGCTACCTTGGTCTGGAAGGTAGAGTAAAGGTGTGTGAGGAAGGGGTTATCCCAAGCTAAGGCCAAGACTCTCTTTTCTATCATGGTGCACTCCACATCATCATCCATCAGCACTACATCTTTCTTCAGAGCTTTCACAGCAAAGTATTCTCCACGACCCTTCAGCTCTGCCAGAAGAACCTGAGGAGAGGAGAGGAGAGGAGAGGAGAGGAGAGGAGAGAAGAGAAGAGAAGAGGAGAGGAGAGGAGAGGAAAGGAGAAACACGTATGTGTTTAGAAATAAAGGCCCAAAAGTGCTGGTGTTTATGACAGTATTTTATACAAGATTACTTTCTCACTCTTAGGTCAGGGCTTTTCAAAATCCCATTGTTTAATTTGTATTAACATGGTTGCTTTGTACCTTCCCAAAGCTGCCTTTTCCCAAGACCTTGTGAAAAACAAAGTTATCCACGTTGATGCGGGTTAGATGAGTAAGACGAGATTGAGGACGTGGGCTGGACCCCTCCCACAGTTTGCCATAGGTAGACCCATCTAATGGACGGACAAAGGATTTGCATTTGCAACTAATTCTTCAAGTATTGATTCAAACTTGGATAAACTGCCTATAAAGATGCATTTACATGTATGCACAGTAAGATAAACCCTTTCTTACCATTGATCTCTAAAGCAGCAAGTTTTTTAACCTCATCATAGATTCCAATGTCAGGCAGATCACAAAGGTTTGGATCTGAACGGCGGGTGGATGACTTCTGGTTAAAAAAACAAGATGCAGCAGCAAAAGAAAAACATAAAAATAAGGAAAACAGTTTCCCAGCAGTGGTAACTTATCCAGAGCTAGTGTTAATACAATAAAAACATTTCAGCTTATTCTTCTCTTGAGACAACAATCTGACTTTACCAAAAAACCACATACATTTACAGGTATGCATAGGAGGGAGATGAATAACTGAAGGCTTCACAATGGGCTAGTCCTTAAACACATCAGGGCATGAGGCTCAGATGTCACACTCAACAATAGTAAAAATACTCAGTAAAGTTCAAAGGTTAACTTAAATACTTTGACATTCTTACATTTAAAACGTGTAAGTTACAAAAACAAAGTGCCAAGTTAGACTGCTGACCAACTTCACACGATTGATTTGCAATAATGATGAGAGTTTGTATTTACAGATCACCTTTAAGCAGAAACCATAATAAAGAAATACACTTCATAAAATGTCTGTCATACTTCACCAAATTTCTTCATGTAATCTTAGCAATTTTAATATTGTAATATTTTCTTGCCATGTTTTTACCACAAGATTTGGAACTTCACATTATAGTCACACACGTTACAGCAGTCAAATAAAGTTTTGCTCATGTGAGACCTGTAGCCTGACTCCTGAATAGAGAAAGATATAGATTTTTAAGTTAACAAATTAATGCTTCTGAAATTAGGTTGTATAACTGCAACTGCTTATAAAAACTGAGCTAATTCTACATTTTTCTGATTCATTTGAGTATTGTAATAGAAAAAATCGATAATGTTATCAGATATCTATAGCCTGAATGAGACACGTTATGATTAAATCATGTGTAATGACAGTTGAGCCAGACTTATCTTCTGATTTCTGAAAAGACTTTGACTTCAGCTGACAAACCGAAAGAGATCTGATTAAACTCTGGACTGAATGACTGTTTCCATGACCTCACCTGGCTGACTTGTGTCAGTGCCTCAGCCAGTAGTTTTTGGTTGATACCACAAAGGTTGGCTACTTTATCTTGACATTTGTGATGGACGTTCATGGCACAGTCTGCACAAAAAAAACATTAAAATATGTATGGTAGAGAAATGTCCAATTACAGCAACTGTCAGTTACTCAAACATGTCTTGCACCTTACCTTCACATTTCAGTCCTTGTTTGACCAGACCCCACAGGAGACTGCCACAGTGGTCACAGAAGGTGGGACTCATGTAGTTATGGGTCTTGAAACGGTGTGGCATGTCAATTTTAAAGCGCTCCTTCTGGAACTGTGGAAGCAAGCAAGATTTATCTTCTCCATGACGAACAGGTGGTGAGTGAATCCTTATCGGTGTCCTGTTATACCTCACAGGCCGGCGCACCTGCCTCATCTTTATTTTCGCCTTTTCTTCTACTACTCTTAGTGTCAGAGCTGTCCACACTGATGGATAGAGTTCCCTCTGTCTTCCCACATCTGCCTTTGCAGTGATTTAGACTGCCCTGAGAGACTGCCCCCATCTTATATAGACCCCAGGGGTAGGTGGGTGTGTTTGATCATTATCATGACACCATTATTTAGTTTAATTGGTCTCTGGAGGGCTTTACCCCAAAATACTCAAGATAACTGGAAAAAAAGCTTGTTTTTGTTACCTCTTTTTGTTTTAAATTCTGACCTGGCGATACCTGCCGGTTCAATAACAACTCATTGTTGTTTATACTGAAAGGAGAGAAATAAAAAATAGCCCACGCTAAACTGACATGTGGGGCATACGGAGAACGCTCACGGTACACCATGTGCTGAACAACTATGAGACACTTACCACTGTATCCCGACTGTTGGCAGCAGTACCAGTACATCTGCCGATGATTTTGTCTATACATTTCTTGTGGATGGCTGCATTGCATTCTGAAAACAGAAAAATAAAAGCTATAAGGTGTAAAAATAAAACAGTATTTTGATGTATATCCTTCTGTCAGACTGCTACAAACCAGATACAAGTGTACACTTACGTCTGCATTTATAGCCTTGCTTGTTGAGTCCCCTGCAAGATAAAAAGTGACATCAATGGGTCCATTTGAACTACTTCTGTATCATGTGAATGTCAATTGTTCGCTGATCAACCAATTTGGAGTCACAATGAGAAGCCTGAGTACACCCTTGCTAATTTGGATACTAGGCTTTATTTTTTGTTTTAAGAACCCCCTCTCCAATGAGACAAAAATTAGCTTTAAAGCAGATCAGTGGAGATTTGTGGCCATTTGAGTATGAAATATGACAACTGACACAAACAAATGTAGTGGCTCAAAGAGAATACCAGATTCACCAAATTTATGTGTAAGATCACGAGAAACAAAACAAGGCAGATACATGGGCAGCACTAAATGCACCTAAAAATCTGGAAGTCCTTTGCGCCATGCTTTTAGTCTTCCTGTATGGTGTTTTAGTTTATCTGATTAGTGGTTTGAGAGTTCCTTTTCAACTGCCTTCAAAAGTTTGTTAACAGGGCCGCACAGTAGACTGTACTAACCAGACAAACTCTCTGCACACCGAGCAGAAAGTGGGCTGTCTGAAAAACGTGGCGATAAACTCATGGTTCTTTATGAAGTGGATCTTGGCCTGCTTGATTGCCCCTCGTCTGCGGTTCAGGGTTGGGGCCTCTTCCTCCTTCACAGCTTGTTTACTCTCTAACAGATAGACAGAGAAACACTGTTAGTTAAAGGTTATTTTTATTGATCACCAATTGAGAGACTCAGTGATAATCTGAGGGGACTGATTGGAATTCTTCACATGGATGTCTGTGAATGATTAAAGCACATTAAAACCTCTGAAAAATACTGAAAGCTGGCTGGACAGTCTGTGTACTAAAGGGTGAGTGGGTTACAAAGGAAAGGAATGGAAAATGGAAATTACACAAGCTGCTTGAGGAATGAAAGGCTGAATTTTATCTGTATAGTATTTGAGTATCTGATAAATAGTTGCTCATTCAAAAGCCAGTTGCAAATCATTCTTTCACTTATTCAATTCAAGCCTCTATCCCACTTACTCTTTTCCAGCTAAAGCTGATTTTTGTCTGTTGCTATACATGCTTGAAGTTTTTGGATCGGCAACTAAACCAACTAGTCAGTGTTTTGCTCCTTGAAGCCTGTTTTGTGTTTTGGATGTTCAGCAAGCATGGTACCCAACAAAGCCCCACTATGATAACCCCTTCTTTATTTATTGATTTTGTTGTATTTACACACAGTATAATGTAACAGTATAAAGTAGTGTGTACAATACAAAAGAATGTTTGTGGGTGTGGTCGAAACCTCTTCGTGGCTTATATAAAAACCACACCCAATACACATATTGGCCATTTTTAAGTACGATGCCAGTTTCAGAGTCTATAGAAAGCGAAGTCTCACTGTGCTTCAAGACAGACAAATAATGCAACAAATTATCAAAATTTTGGGGGAGACTGGGAATATTTTAATGTAATCCAGAAAATAATTCAGAAGTCACTGAAGATGAATGCAAGTATTGAGTTAAAGTTTTTCAAAGAATTCACAACAGTACAAAGTGTTAAAAGATGAAAAAGAAAATTATACCCCGATCAAAACTTGAGCAATGGCCATTGTTAAATCTGTCAATGTCTAATAGATTAAAAATTACTGTCATTAGCTGAAAATCTTTTTCTTGGTAAAATTAAATATTCATGTGCTCAGTCCCACTATGATTTAAGAAAAAACTTTGAATATGGTCATAAGATACTACTGGAAGAATGTCAAAAGCATCTTCTGTTAGCATGGTTTGTTGAGGTACATGGTCATTCTTTTCCCAAAATAAATATAAGTATTATGTCCGCACTCCGCAGAAGTATAGATTCAAGATCGCAGTGAAGATTCATAAAGGGGAAGCGAACTCGCAATGCTGAAGAAATGTTGAAAGACACAAAAAATATGCAACTTTTCCTTCCTTTGTTAAGACTAAAAAGACTTCTGCTCCCTTCCCCCCCCCAAAAAAAAGTTATACTATGAATCCTTTCTGCTGGTTCATTGAAGATGGATTGCCTAATGCAAATAAATGATCAAGTACAGACTGGGGTATCCACTGAAACTAAGAGACAAGTGGTTAAGGGTGGGTACAGACTGTTAACGGTTGTCTGCTGGTGTTGCCAGGTCCCAGTTAATCAAGTCTCATCAAACAACAGCCATACACTGCCGATGAGATCAAGAGTTGGGATGCATGGATCCAATTCTGGTATTGAATGTTGGTCAAATACAGACTCTGGCATCTGTGACAAAGAGCCAATCCATGGAACGGATCTATTTATCTTAGTTCCCAACAATTCTATGATAACAACAACAACCTTGTGTGTACTGTATCATCTGTATACTGATAGGTCTGTGCATTTTGCAAATTGAGAGAGTACACTATCGAGACTCAGTAGTTTGGGAGATATTTTACACTTGTTCACTCTGGCAACTTGCAATATGTGTAAAGCTCATGCTGTGAGAGTTGGTGGAACCAAAGCAAAATATTATACATACAAACTAATTTAATCAAGCATCTTAAGAATCATCATGCCAATAAAAAAAGCTGCTGAAACAAAGCAGTTAATAATATCAGCTGTGTTTCAAAGACCCCTGAAACTCCCCGGTGATTATTTAAAAGTGTGAAAAATAGCAGAGAAGGTTCTTGGATTTAGTATTCTGATCAAGACAAGCCTGCAACTCTTGGGAATAAGGAATCATGCCGTGTGGTTAAACACCTGGAATCCAGACACAGTTAAACATTATGTAAGTCTGCCTGGACTCTATATGAACATGTGCAAACATTCATCACCAGAGTTTACAATGTTTAAGCTATGAGCTTTACTACCTATAACTGGAGCCCTTATTGTTTGCCTATTGTCACTTATAAGTCTAATAGTTCACTGCTGACACAGGTTACCTGCCAAACAGTTCAGAGCTACAAGCTCAAGCTTTTCATAGATTATACACCAAAGTGACTGAAGTCAGACTGCCATGAAGGAAAAGTTTGTCCAGTCGCTTATCTTGCAGCTTATTCCTAAAGTGCAAGTTAATTTGTTTGAAGTACTTGTGACCCAATTGTTATTTTTTATTTTCCTCATTTGACCCTTTTTTTTTTACCCTGGAATTTTAATTCCTGACTAATCCACTGTTGTTCATAGGACCACAGTTTAATTGTAATTTGGGTTAAGTTTGAAGTTAACTGAACAACCTGCAGGTACAGATTTATTTCACAGATTTATTGCATTGAAAAATAATAATACTGCCTGTTAAATGTATTTATATTTGTATAATATTGGATTACAAAGTCATATAGGTCTAGAGTTGCTAAAACATGATTCACAGCCTCATCCTCACATTGTGGAATCTAGATTATTAATCTAATGTTGGTATTTAATACTAAAACTAGCGTTAAGACTTTGAAAATTAAGATCTGTGCATCCCTGAACAAGAGTTTCTGAGCTCATGCTATTTATGAGTGTTGCGAATCCAATCATAATTGTTTATTGTCATACACAAATTTATACAGGCTTCAGTAGAACTATTAATGTTATTGTTTTATTTTCCATTTACCTGTATCCCCTCCTTCAAGAAAATACTGCACTGCCATCATCACTTTCCCAGAGGGATGGAGATCCACCTGAACACACAAACATTGTTAGATAACGACACAAACAGCCCAGATTGTTGCAGAGAGCAGTCTGTTTAGTCCTACCCAGAACTCAGCGCGCCCGTTTGCTTTCTTGCAACGTTCAGCAAGGACAGACACTCCAACAGTGACCTCAGCCAGTGGTTCCTCTGCGGTCTTCATGAGCAGTATCTCCAGAACGCGACCTTCATAGATATGGGCATCAAAACAGGCCTTCCATGCTGGGTACATTGTGGGTTTCCTCTGGACTAGGGTCTTTCCTCGTTCTGGCAGAGTGAAAAGAAGAAGAAAAAAAAGTTGAATACTTTTCAGCGCAGAACATAAAAAGCTTTCGACACAGGTGACAACTCCTGTAAACAATAGAGTGGTGCAGATGATCCAAGTGTTCCTCACCAGTTGTCAAAGCCTCCTTCATCTTGATTGCACAGAAGGGCGGGTCTGCCAAATTGGGCAGGACCCCCAAGTCGTACGAGTTGAAGGCAATCCTCAAAAAAGGAGCCATGTTGACAAGTGCCCGTGTCACCTGCTATCAGAGATTTTAAAACAGTGTTACTTAGCAGGTAACATTTATCTATGACGTGTAACATACAAAGCTGGTCTGAAACCACTGCCAACACATTACATTACAATACAATACATACATACAAAAAGCTGCATATTCTTGCACAGTATTACTACTGACCTATTGAGAACTAAGTCTTAACAGCAAAATCTTAATGTACAGATGCCAAAGTAAAAGAAGGAATGTATAGTGCTCTTTGATTGACAAAAGAACTGCATGTCCCTGACACCCTGTCAGATACCAGCGAACTGTTTGTTTCAGTGAAGCCTGAGAGGCTTTTTTCCTGTGAATTTTACAGTGACTGGAAATGATTTCACTCTGGTTTTGGTATGCTTTGACATTAACTGTGTCACTGCTGTTTCCATTTTTAAACATTTCACTTGCAAAAAGCCACATTCAACATTTTCAAGGCTGTGTCAATACCACCTGTTGTGTAAAGTACAAGCCATAAAATCCCTAAATGGCAGAATACCTCATGTATTTTCTTTGGGACTGAAAGAAAAAAATGTTTTCATTACCATTTCATGAACATTAGCAGTTAGCAATCAACTAGTCTCGGATTAGGTGGAGGCAACTTGATGTCCACTATGACCGTTTGCATTAAGGCAGAAGGATGGAACAGCAAAGAAGAGATAGCTCACATGGGCATTGTTGAGACAAGAACATCACATCTGCATGCTGGAGTCACTTGGATGACGGTGTAATACAGACAGTCATCACCAGAGTTTACAAAGTTTAAGCTATGAGCTTCACCACAGATATCTGGAGCTCTATGGTTTGCCTGTTATCACTTATAAGCCTAATAGCACAATGTGAAAGTTAATTTATTCGCAGAATTTTTGACCCAATTGTTATTTTATATTTGTCATCTTTTACTGTCCTTATTTGACCCTACTTTTTTTAACCTGGAATTTTAATGCCTTGACTATCAGGGTGTAACACTGTACAATACTGTTATGTTGTATACAGCAGATGTCTCCCCTATGGTATAGTTTCTACATTCTCCATGTTGTACTTTTTGTAAAGCAGTAATTATGGTGGAAAAAGCACGTGTCAGCCAACTGAATACCTGAACATTTTTTACGTCTGTAGAGTAAAAAAAAAAAAAAAAAACTGCTGGATACATAATTTAGACTGTTATGGTGGACAAGACCTATGAGTTATAAAGTTGAAGTAAAATTAAATAGTGAAATATTTAGTACATCATGAGTGAAATACAAGCTCAAAGTGACATATTGGTGAGGGATCAATACCAGCCTAATGTTCAGCTTTAGGTGTGACAGACTGAGCCACAGCTTGTTTTGTAACTGTCTATGCACTTCTGAACTCTTCATCTGCACTGCAAAGGTTGACGCCCATTTATCGTTCATGTTCAGCATGCGTTTTAGTTACACTAAGGTTGTCTTGCTCATCCGCTCTATAAATTCAATGACCCTTTATGTAAAACCCAACTGCTTTGTCTTGTGTCTTGGCATCACAAGTGCCTCCCCCACTTCTCTGGTTCCTGAATGTGTAGTTTGCAACTGCAACAGTGGGGATGTCTGCCTGTGCTGCAAAGCAGAGCAAGCCTCAACATGTCACTAATCCAAACATAAGCATGCATTGCACTGCAGTAGTCCTTGCTGGTATTTGCCTAAACCCATAACCACCCACACTAAGACCAGAAAAAATAAGAGAGAGAGAAAAATACAGAGCAGAGAAAAAAAATGAGTTCACTAATAGGAAAGGGCGGTGAATGAACCATGTCTTCACATTCTCTCACTGCTGCTGTGAGCTGTCATGTCGGGGGGGTGTTTGGAGATCAATAACAAGCACACTGTGTGATTGAGGGCGACAGAGATTGATTACTTTGCAAACTGTACATGTGCAGTTTTGATTTTGTGCCATGAGTTTAAGTAGTTATGCCCTTGTATATGTAACAGTATGGTGTCATTTTCACACTTTTTGACCATACTTCCTGATATTCATAATCAAAAAGTGTACCTCCTACACAGCTACGATAACAACAAAAACAGGGTGTGCCTGTAGTATTTTTTCTACTTAAATTTTAGTTTATTACAAAATGAAGAATCTTGACCTTCAGGCTAAATAATCAGACGAAATAAAGTGCAAAAAACAAAGGCTGTTGGTGCGTGTATGCTTGCTTTTGTCCAACCTGTCATCGTAAAAATGTCATCTACAATGTGCATATTGAATCCAGGGTGGGTAATCCAAGGAGGCACTCAAATAGTAATAATTATAACAATAATGATAATTATTATTATAATCAATGACTGCATTAAAACGCAGTGTTATTGCTGTTGGTAGAAGCATGTTCTCACATGTGCCTAAGTCACATACAAACATGGAAAGGGTGTAACCTTTCCTTCAAATACGAGTTTTCAATGAACTCTGTGAATGTGGAAATGCATGGCCAAATTCTATAGTGGTTAACAGTTCAAACGTGAATATTACAGTCGTTCACGGTGTATCCGATTCTTGTCACAATATTTCTTTCTCAGAAGGATGTGGTTGATTGTCAGTTGGCTGAGCACAGATGTCACGTTGTGTTTGACTCAGCCAACAATTTCCATCCAGATTGTCGATATGTGCAAATAAATCTGAAGGTTTCTAGCCTCACGCCGCTCTTTTTTGCTTTGCTGTCCAGACCTGCCCACATTCCAGCTCACCGCCCCGGTGTTCCGACGCATTCTGTAACCCGTGAGAATCTGTGACCTGGACTGGAATTCCTTAATGCCCCCGCTGCCACTAAACAACTCTTGTTGTAGCAAACTGTGCTGACACATAGAATTAATAAGGGATCACATTTTTTGACAACGGGGAAAAAATAGGCTTATGGGATTCGTTTCGCAAAGTAGTAACACTTCACCTATGATAAATAAACCAGACAGGTAACTTTTTTCCTTGAACGGCAGGCTCTGCGGTGTTACAAAAAATAAAGAATCCGTCACACCATTTTGGCTTTTATGCCTTAAAAAGAAGCCAATACTTGCCGAGAAAAGCTGACAAAACTTCAGTCTTAAATGACAGTATGAATGTTTTGCTGGCAGCGAAACACGGTGGGTATAGTGTGCAGGTTATAACTCTGGATAAACTGACATTACATTAACAGTCGGTGTTAAGAATGAGCTAACAGACGTTAGCAGCAACGGTCGCGGTTGACACAACTCCGCCGCTTGTTTCCCCAAGAGATGAAAGCAGAAACAAGAGGAGACAGCACGACTTTTTGTCTCTTAAACCACCTCCTGCAAACTTCACTAACAAAACACCGTACTTCTGTGCAGACCTCGTCTGAAAAGTTACAAAGCCGTCAGCCTCACCTCGTTCAGCAAACGTGGGGCTGGCTCCTTCTTTCTCGCCGCAGCAGGACGATGAAACTTGTTCTTTTTCTCTCTCTGTCGTTTTTTCTTCACTCTGTGATTCCGTCGATTGAGGAAGTGTGGCGCGCGCTCACAGAGGCTCTCTCAACAAGCAGTGACGTTTACCTGCCACACACACACACACACACACACACACACACACACACACACACAGTGGTGTTAAAACACACTGTTGCCTCATTTTGATTGAAGGTCGAGGCAGGCGGCTGTAATACAGGAGTTTTCCTCATTGGTTAGTTAACTTAATTGCGCACAAAGATTCAAGCGCAAATGCTGTTCATTTTCTTCTCAAAATCACGCAAAGGTATCAACTTAGTTAAGAATTAGGGGAGAGTGGGGCAAGTTAAGCCAATGGGTAAAGTTTTGGTAAAATGTTGACACTGTTTGGCCCTAAGGTTAGACTTAAATCCAGATTATGGCCCTTGCGGTGGTTGAGTTTGACACCCCTGACATTCTCATGTTAAAAAGGCCTTTTACAAAACAGCTTTTTAACAGTTATATGCAATAAAAATAATAAAAAGAATGATTGTACCAGTTGAAAAGTATATCATAGATAAAAATACACATGAATGTGAAGAAGTGTATTTATTTAGGGAGAGAGAAGGTGAGGGAGGGCTGGGGTGGAGAGTGGGGGGGTAGTAGGGATACGGCTCAACTTACCCCGCTCCTATGGTCACCTTACCCCTTACTTGTCATACTCACCAAAAAGTTTAAAAAATAAAAATAAAAACTCAAGTAAGAAGCGCATCACCTCTTATAAAGATATAGCATTGACGCTGAGTGTGCCCTAAATTACAGTGTGGTCTTGTTGTGTAGGTACTATTAGTAGGTGTAGGCTACGTGTGGCAGAGGATGGGGCCACGTGATTGGTGCTTAAGGCTGTGGGGGCAGTTTCGTGGATTTTTCTGTTAAGAAGTTGGCAGATTTGGCTCTCTTGCAGCCAAATTGTTTTTTCTTGTTCTAAAAAAAATATCAAATTTTCCAAGTCTTTATTTAATTCATGCCAAGCATCCCCCTCACACACACACACACACACACACACACACACACACACACACACACACAGTCAATAGCCTACCCAAATATACCATAAGTATTTGCACGTAAAAGCAGTTATCCCTATCTTAAGTCATGAATAAAATACTGGGAAATCTACAGGTTTCGGTGCAACTGACCGGGTGCAGGTGTGTCAGTGTTCCCCTTTCTCCTTAAAGAGCTTATATAATCGTACAATCTGACTCATGGTAAATACAGGAAGTCTACAGGAGACAAGGTGTGTGCACATAAGACTGCTTTGCCTAGCTCCTCTTCTCTGCTACTGACAGATGCCCATTCCAAGCTTGGGTAACCCCTTCCCTTCCATCCCCCGCCAAGAAAACACAACCACACAAACCCACTGTCATGATCCAGCAGTGGGATGAAAAGGATGTAGAAACAAGCAGCATAAATATAGCGCACAGAGCTTAAAAAGAGCCAGATAAAGATCCACACAGGAACTCCCTATGAATGAAGCTGGCATATACACCTAAAAAGGCAATGTAAGGGCACAGTCAAAGAAAATTGCATACTCTATTGCTGTGAATAAGTTGGTAATGTTTTGGGGGGTCAACACCAAAAGAAAGCCCAAAAATAAACCTCAGTTTTTGTCTTTTTATGATGAATTTGAGACAGTCATTGACCCAGAACATCAATTTAGATATAGCAAGAACACAAGAAAATCAGTCTTTGGTTAAATTTTGTAATGCCCTTATAAAGATCATATTTGATCAAAGGTCACAAGTTTAAACTCCTTTCCACTCTCTTTCTATTACAAAGCATTTGGATTGAGGTTGGTCAGTTACTTGTTTGACAATAGCTTGTTTGACAAAGCTGCTAAGAAGCGATCAGAGGGACAATAATAATCCAAAAATTAAGCATAATACCCCCTCTTTAAGTTTGAAGGAAACAAAGGGCAACAATACTACTACCTTTTCTTGGAGCAGTGTTTCCATGAAGTCTTTGCTGATTACTTAGCAACTGCTCCAAGTCGAGAAAAAGTTCAGCACATAAACTCCCATAACACCCAACTCATTAGATCAAATTAAGCTACAAAGAGTAGGTAGCTTTATTTCCTTTGGACAGAGCCATGCAAGCTTTACTGCTAGAAGTCCAGTATCAGTCCTTGTACTAAACTAAGCTAAATAGGAGCAGGTTTATGACAGGCGGGACAATAAAATCAATTTTCTCATCAAATTTGGCCCCAAAAAGCATGTAAGTGTATTCTCCTTAAAAATGACTTTCTTAAAATATAATTAAAAAATAAACCACATCCTGATCTTGTCCAGGGGTGGATCCAAATTGGCAGCCAAGGGTGGCCTGATCCCCCATTAAATCTGATCAGCCACCACATGTACCAGCCTGAAATACAAAACTTTTCCTGGCTATTTGCCTTTTCAAGGTGGGACTTATGGTGAATCAACTATTTTATGGCTGTGTTACAACAGCTTGCTGATGGCTGTCTTAGTTCTTTTTTTTATGTCGCACATTCCTTGTATACTTTAAATCGTAGTATTTGGATAGTATTTGAGTCTGCAAAAAAGTTTTTGAGTCTGCAAAAACTGAAGGCAAGAAGATTCCAATACTGCCACTTTTGTTCTTCAACTTAGTTAAGTTAAAATAAAAAAATTTAAAAGGGATAAATAAAGTTCTTCTTCTTTTCATCTTACGTAGGACCTTTTAGAAGTGATATGGAGTCGATCATCAAAAACGAAATTGTGTTTATAATTGATTATTATGCCCATCGAATCAGAAGTTTGTCTCGAATAAAAACACTTGTTTTCTCTATCAGCTGAGAGTTATGTCTGGGGATTCCAGCTTTTGCAGTCCTGTCAAATTATCCATCCATCGAGTGAGAGCATAAAAGCTTGGGCAATCTGTTCCCATTTGTATGTTATGGTAACCAAGTGACACTAGGTCCTAGACCGGAAGTAACTTCATATATTCAGTGTTATCCCATGCCATTGACAAAAACAAGCCAAAACCAACTTGCTAGCTAGAGTTGTTTAACATGTCTGGAGGACTGTTTTGCTTACTCCCAAGCACCGCCCACCAAAAGGGGTCAATAACATTTTTATACAAAAATGTTGTTGTTAAAATAGATATGTCTGGTGAAGACAGAACAGAAGAATAAAGCCAATCATTATTCATAGTATTCATCCATAAGTTTGAGCCACCTAAGTCAAAAATGTCTGGATTTATCTATGTTCTTGTTTAACCAGACACTCCAGACAGATTAAACACCCCTCATTGACAGCTGCTGGCCCTGTTGACACATGTTTACACTACTTTCTCTGTGGATAGCTGCCAGTGACAGAATGGACACAGAAGAATGAGGAGCACGAAGGGGCCTCCATGTTTAGGCAACAGGGATAATAAATGTTGAGCCAGAGGTGCAGAGAGTGCTGAAAGCTGAAATTTTCTGTTTGTCCTGTTAAGAAAGAAAGCTATTTAAAGCCAAGGGGAGGTGGAATAGGTGTAACATTGACTTGGCAGTGTGGGCTGCAAAGAGTTTGCAAAGTGGGACATATGAGAGTGTCTTGCTTTCCTTCCAGTCCCTCTAACTCTTTCTTTCCTCTCTCCCTCTCCCCCCAAGGGAAACAAGACAAGGTGCAAACCCAGAAATGTCGAGCCAATGTCAAGTGGATACTGCTTTTTTTCCACACATGTCCTAATTCAAAGTGTTTCTACTCAGACCCTTGCCTATTATGTAATGAGATCTTTCCTTTCCCCCGAGGATCTACCACCCACACAACACTATGAAAGATGAGAAGGCATGCTGTTGGAACTCACGACATGAACACAAACACTGCACCGCCTTTTCAGGCTCAAACTGAAAGTGGCCTGAAAGTTTCTTAGTTTGAGTTTGCCATTAAAAAGTTTGCCACAGCATGGGTCAAGGAAAGAAAAAAGAAACAGCTGACAAAGAACAATTTTTCAGCCTATCATGGCACCACTTTTTAATGACTCCTGAGGCTGAGCACATATGACAGAGCTGAAAGCGTCCAACCTTATTGAGTAGGCTGTGTGTGTGATTGATTATTTGCTTCTCTCTACAGCACTCCTGCCTGCAGCGATATGGACATGAGCTTGGATTATGACACTGTTGCTGCCCTGCTATAAAGAAAAATCTTTCTCACCATCTGGCGACAGCAAGCTTTCGTCATTTGTTATTTTTAATTAATAGAAGCATGGCAAACTGCAGAGGAGCAACTCTGCCTTTCAGTTTTGGCACTGTTAGCTGTTCTCCAAGCTCATATGAGTGATTTCCTGTTTTAGCAGCGGAGGTGTGACATGATGAACTTTAGCAGAAGTATGTTTAAAATACAAACATGATATTACATGTTTTAGATTAAGAAGCTGATAGTTCACTTCTCATTTCAGGATTACTCAGGTTCTTTCTTGAGTTGGTTTTAGGATTGTCCGAGCATCGAATCAGGCACATTTTCAAGCAGTATTTACAAAATGCACTGAACAGAAGGGACTAGATCACAGTGGGAGGATTCAGGGAAAGGGAACAGGTGCACAGAGTGTGAGATTATATGATCTTATAAAACCTGTGCTTTTTGATGGAGTTTTGGTGTCTAAGGACAACTGAGGGGAAAAAAAAATACAGCCAAGGTTTGAGAAATTAAAAAGTGATGCAAAAGAGAGGGGAGGGAACAGAAATGGGGCAAGAGAGGGGAGAGCAAAGTGATGAATGATCTGTCCTTTATATAGGGCGAGGTAAGAAGAACTTTTCAGGAGCCCCAGATAGCAAACTTTCTGCCTGAAAATGTGCCTGAAAATATTCTGGGTCAGGAATTCTCAGAGGGTAATGAGAAGCAGAGCAGGCCTGGCCTTTCTTTGGCCATACTGCACACTGGTCTGTGTCAGCCTCCCAAACAGCACAGGGTGTGATTTGAACCACACAGCCAGCTTGGCGTTTCATTACAACAGACCACACATGGACCACATGTTAGACCAGATAAGATGTGCTCATAAATAGGGTCTTCAATTTGAGAGCAAACTGCCGGGCAGCATACAGGCTGATGCTTTCGTTTTTTATTTTACTGTTGTGTTTACAGAGCTTAATGAGTGACAGGAAACCAATGTCAGCCTGGTGAAATTTGGATGTTAAGCCCCCTAGAGGACAGAAAGAGAGTGCACAGAAAACACAAGGATGGTTTTCATTGTTAGAGCCTCTTTACTGAACTTTAAAATATTGTTAGACATTCAAACAAATACAAGTACAGTACAAAGTCTAATCCAGGGCCAACTTGTGCATATCTGGATGTTGAACCTTAGTATCAAAATGAATTAACATACTTGTGATTCCAATATTCAAGATAATAAATCCACAAATCTTCTCAATACAAAAGCACATTAAGTAAATTAGGTCAAGTACAGTAGCTGAAGTTTTTGGCCTCTGAGATGCAGGTAAACATGTTTCTTGTTAGGTCCATTCCCTTTAATATTAGTTTAAAAAGGCATTTTCACTACTGGCAGAGCAGTCTCCCATAAAACAGTAAATAGTAATCTGCAAACACTTCGATATATTTTGTCTTACTTATCTTTGATGCGGCCTGTGCTTTGAAAATATGAGTCACAGAGAGGCATTTAATCCAGTGGAAGAACACATGTAGAAATAGAAGCATATCTAATTTATTCGGCAGGAAAATCCAGATTTAGGTCCTTCAGAGCAGGGTTGAATTTGTCAGTTTTTGCTTCCATGGAAACCAGATTTTTTTTGTTCAGTTACTAAAATGATTTGTTATGTGGTTTTGAGTCATTTGGTATATGCAAAAAAGAATTAAAATCAAAGCAGGTCTTTCCTTTCCCCACAAATCCTCCCTGTGATCCCGAGGACTGTCTCTGATCAGCTTCTGGGAAGAAATACAGGTCACATCACATACGGTTCCACACTTGTGAGTAACTGGGCCAGTGCCTGTCGAGGGTCTAAGCTTCACACCTGCTGCAGCAGCAGGCAGGGGACACTGGAGGGTGACAAAGTAGGTAATCATGTCCCCTTTCGAAGAACTTCATGTCTTCTTTGATTCAGTTCAGCAAGGCAAGTTTTGACGTGCAGACTTTATCAAGTTATCTTCCCTTTTTGTTTTCACAGTCGGTTTGTTGTAGAAGAAAAGGTATCAGACTTCATTTTCCAGACGTCTCACCAGAGCAGCTGATCCTATAAAACTGTGGCTTCCTCCATGGCATTTACCCACCTGTATGAGGAGTGGATTTTAAAACTGGGAACACACAGAATGATCTGAAGCTGTGCCAAAAAAATTAAGTCAATTGGTATGCCTGTTAGCAACGTAATCTTCTACGCTGATTCTGAAGCCTGCTCATGAATTTAAGAGATGAAAGTTTTCTAAACTTAAGAAGTAGGTTATGCACATTTTTTACTGTCATAAAACTCACTCCACCCATTGCTGCTGTGCAAAACAAAGCAACCCTAAACTCTAAATTATAAATATTGAAGCATTTGTAAGCAATCCAGACACCAATACTTAAGTTTTAGGAATTACTTTTGACAGTATGACTTCAATCTGTATGCTGTCAATCTTTAAAGAAACTAATATGAGTTAGGAGTTATTAGTTACATGTCTCACCTCTGGGCTGTGTAGTTGTCTGATGCTTTAAAGCTGTAATACAAAGTGTTTTTGTGGTAAAGGTGGAAAATGTTGGCCTCCTCCTCTCCTTCGTATCTGTCAGGAAGCTTCACTGTGAATCCCAGCAAAGGTAAACTTTCAGATGCTACTTTTTCCTGTAGGTAGAGAAATGGCTCATGAGATACCAAAGTGTAGCTGCTGACATTTCAGTACTTACAATTATTTCAAAGAAAAACCTGATGGCTTTAGTCTCACTATGTTAAAGTAAATGTATGTTATTCAGGTTAAAGGGGAGTGCATGTTTCCCCTCACCTCTTGAGCTCTGTAGGTGTAAAGCACCTTGTCTTTCAGGAGGAACCACAGCCTTTTCCAGCTTCTCTTGCTCTTCTTGCTGCACTGCAGACTGCCGCTGATGGAGCCCTCCTCTGACACTGTCACCTGAACAGCAAGAGAGCAGGAACAAGCTGATGAAAACACTCAAAAAACACAGCTGTCATCTGATACTATTAATCCATCTGGTTTTGTGCATTTATAACACCCCTAGCTGAGAAGTGTCAGGCACACATAGGGGGTGTAGTGTACCTGAGTGAAGGAGGCAGTGCCTTTGCGATGTCTCCAGATATTTGGGGGATGAATATTTTGGAACACAGCAGAGAGCGGACGACTGGAGCGGTTTGGACGAGGGCTGCCCTTACCTGACAGAGCAGTCACATCGTCCCCTGTGGGAGTACACAATTCAGCTCAAAAGTAGAACAATGCATGATGGGTTAAAGGTAAAAATTTGGTAATGAATTACACTGCAGCTGAGGCTACACGCTTTTTTTTTCATTGAACCAAAAAGACATGCATGAGTTCTGGTGGGACTTGAAGAGACACGATAAACTTTTGTTGTTTTGCAAACGTAAACTCCTTCTCTGCATCAAGGAGGTTTTTCTTTTCCAGTGAACCTCAGTTTCAGCTTCTTTTTTTTTTACATTGTATATGTTTTGTACTAAACTGAACTGTGCAGCACAATGTGAATTTTACTTCAGTCTTTTCTTTTACTCCAGAGTCCATCAAACCTCTCTTGGATAACAGTTTCCAGGTTCAACTTACACAGAGGGGTCTTACACATAGTTTGACATTTGTTGTTTATTTTCTAAATGTAAAACTTTTTTTGAATCATCTTTGAGTCAAATAAATATTTTTGTCAACTCTGGCCTGATGGTGGGTCACATCTACTGATCAGCAATATAATTTACCAGTTATGGGGTTACTATGTTGCTCCTCTTGGTAATAGTAAGAAATAGCACACTAATATTTGTATTCTAATCGGTAAAGTCAAACTGGTTATTGAACATTAAATATGTATAAAAGCAGAGAATTCTCACCTCTCTTCTTTAGCTCATTGTAACAGTGATCACACACTTTGGCCATGCGATCGTTCATGTACTTCAGTGGAAATCTGTTCCTGGAGCAGCTCCGACAGACAATCTGCATCAAACAACATAAATGCTGCTTAGGTATGATGAAAAAAAAAAAAAACAGCATAAAATGGGGGAATTCACACCAACAAAGACTTGGCGGGCCCTGTTGGATGCTGTGAAACAGATACAGAAATATAAAAAAGCACAGTGTTTAATTTGTGTGTGACTCACTCTCCCGCAGCCGTGGCAGTGGTGCCTGCGCAGAGTGAGGCTAAAGTCTGATGTGCAGTTCATGCACATCATCACCTGTGAGACGGGAACAAGTGTGGGAGCTTTTTCTCCAAGACACAGGCGCAGACAGTCTCTGCCCTAGAATACACACACACACACACAAACAGGGAAAAAAAAACTATCATACTGTTGAAATGTGCTGTGATAACACATGAGCTCGACACACTCTGGTCAGGTGAGAAAAAGAGACTCAATCTCATGGTGAGGAAATGAAGGACTAAAAAAGAAGGATTATTGCTGTTTCACCTCTCCCAGGCCGCTGTTGAATGCTACAGATCCCCTGGCATGTTCAGTCACTGTGCGGCTCAGAGTGTAAAACCAATCCTCTCTTTCAATGAAGGAACTGCAAAATTAACAGAAATCACAAGGTTGTTACAACTGAAATACACTCACAGGCCACTTTATTAGGTACACCTGTTCAATTGCTTGTTCATACAAAAAGCTAATCAGCCAACCACATGGCAGCAACTCAATGAATTTAGGCATGTAGATGTGGTCAAGCCAACTTTCTGAACTTTAAATCATGTTTAAGAATGGGAAAGGAAGGGGATTTAAGAGTCTTTGAACGTGGTATGGTTGTTGGCGCCAGACAGACTCATCAAAGTATTTCAGAAACTGCTGGTCTACAGGGATTTTCACAAATAACCATCCCTAGGGTTTACAGAGAATGGTCTGAAAAAGAGAAAATATCTAGAGTGCAGTGTAGATAAAAATGCCTTGTTGATGTTAGAGATCAGAAGAGAATAGACTGACTGGTTAGAGATGATAGAAAGGCCCATCTGTAAATGCAATTTCGTTGTGCACAAGTTACAATGACAATAAAGACCATACCAAACCAAACAGTAAGTTGAATTACTACTCATTACAACCAAGATATGCAGAATACCATCTCTGAACGTACAACATGTCTAACCTTGAAGTAGATTGACTACAGTAGCTGAAGACCAAACCAGGCGCCACTCCTGTCAGCTAAAAACAGTAAACTGAGGCTACAGTTTACACAGGCTCAGCAAAACTGGACAACAGAAGATTAAAAAAAAACGTCACCTGTTCTGATGAGTGGATGCAGCTATGGCATTTAGATGGTAGGATCAGAATTTGGCATAAACAAAATGAAAGCATGGATCCATGTTGCCCTGTACCAATGGTTCAGGCTGCTGCTGCTGGTGTAATGGTATGGTGGATATTTTCTTGGCATACTTTAGGCCCCTCAGTTCCAACTGAGCACCGTTTAAGCCCCACAGCCTACCTGGGTATTGTTGTTGACCGGGTTCATCCCTTCATGACCACAGTGAACCATCTTCTGATGGCTACTTCCAGCAGGATAGTGCACCATGTCACAAAGCTCAAATAATCTCAAACTTGTTTTTTGACCATGACAGTGAGTTCATTGTACTCCAGTGCCCTCCACAAACCACTAGATCTAAATTCATTAGAGCACATTTGGGATGCGGTGGAACAGGAGATTTTTATCATGAATTTGCATCTGACAGATCTGCAGCACCTGCGTGATGCTGTTATGTTAATATAGACAAAAATCTTTGAAGAAGGTTTTCAACACTTTGTTAGAAGTATGCCACAAAAAAATAAGCCAGTTCTCAAGTCAAAAATCTGACTCTAGCAAGGTGTACCTTATAAAGTAGCCTATAAGTGTATACGGTAATTTTGCAATATATGGCCATTAACACAGCATATTCAGAACACTGATGTAGGAGCATTTGTGAGGATGTAGTCAAGTGCCACCTACCTTGCAGACAGAGTGATGGAGATTTCTGCTCCCTCAATCCTTAAGGCATTTTGGACATTTTCTATGATGGGTTTACTGACCTGATAAGTTGGAAAAAATATCAATTAAATAACAGCAAGACAGCAAAGGTGAGAAGAAGAGGAAAATAATTTATGCCTGATAATTTAGGGGAGACATACACTTCTAAAAATCTCTGCAATCTCTGTAAATAGGTGACTTCAAACAGGTTATAATTTACTCAAAAATTCATATAAGGGGTGCCTTTTTGGCTCAGTGGTCAACTTGCACCCCTCATATACAGTGGCTATAACCCTGAAGGCCGGTATTACTCCAATCCCTGACCCTTGGCCACACGTCCTTACTCTGTCTCCTTAGTTTCCAACTCTATCTACTGTCCAATCTCTAAATAAAGGCATGAAAAAGGCCAAAAATAAAATAAAAGCTAAATTAAAAGGATCTTGTGAAGTATTTTTTCCTGACTTGATTAGAGATTAGACAATGAGAGATAAGAAAATGAAAGACTTACCTTCAGTCCAGTAAGCTGCAGAGTATTCTTGAGTCTGTATTTTCCATCCTGCTGAGGGTAGGTGTATAACAGCACATCATTCATCTGACGAAAGACAGGGACAACAATCGTTAAAGTTAATCCCCACAATGCATATAAAAAAAAAAAAAAGAAGAAGAATGACTGTGAAATAGTGGACCAAACACTTCACCATCAGACTTCACGTTTTGTAATTGTGCTGCAATTCTCCAGTAGATGGCACTCTAAGCTAAAACAAATCTTGAACTCTGAGCCCTCAGACAGTTCAGTCATTCACACGTTCACTGATTAATGTAGACCTCACATTAACACTTTCAAACAGGTGTTAAGTTAAGAGCTCGGCTGGTGACAGTCAATAAAAAGTAGCTAAGATAAAACCATTTTAAGTAAAACTACTTTGAGATCATACGCACTGATCAGATACACAAATATGTCAGGGCTAAAACTAGACTCAGACTGCAGCCCTTTTATTGTGTGGACTCTTGGATTGTTTTTAGTTAAAGAGGTTAAAAGATTTCAGTGTGTCCATTAAATCAACGTCAAAAGTCTAATATGGACAGCAAACGTGTATGTTACAAGGATAGAAGGTATGTTTCAAAATAAAATGTGATTAAAAACTCTAAAACTCGGTTACACAGAAAAAGGTTTATGACCAGTAGATAACTCATTGATGCGATTTTTCGGTCGAAGCAGATGTTATTTTTAGAACATTAAATTAGCAGCTTTGTGTACTTCTTAATTAAAAAAAAAAAAAATGTCCTGGTGGGTCTTTAAACATAACATTTTTATGATCATGTATGAATGAAGCACTTTAGTAAATAGATATCAAAGCTGATATTAAAATGCATCATTAACCTCTGTATTTTTCACAGTGAGACATTTTATGTGCTGTTTCAGTTGCCTGAAAATAATATGTGATATCTTGTAAAGTGGCAGGATTGAATTTCTGCTGCGATGATTACCAACATTCCTCCAGAAGAGACATTTATGAGCTATTTTAGTGTCACATTTTAATAGACCATTAGACAGGAAAACCAGAAGAAGAGGATTTTGATTTCAAATGTCTGTGGATTATAACATTTCAGACCTATCTGTGTTGAAGTTTAGCAAACATGAATTAAACTAATTTAGGTTTGACCTACTTTATATGAAATAAGCTAAGTTTGTACCTTTAAATTTTATGTCAGGACTGCATATGTCTGTCTCCCTGATTACCTGAGCATCAACACAGTCAAGTAAAGGCATCTATATTTGACTAATAGAGTCAGAGTTATAGCCCTAGGAGGTCACAGGTGTACCAGGATCCTTCACTATAGGAGCTGAAGTTGACCTTTCCTGTGATGTCAGTAGGGAGCCAACTCAGGAAGTCAGTGTTCAGAAATATCCTGTCAGGAAACCCTGCTCTTAATAACCCTGTCTGGATTCAGAAAATGCCTGAATCTATGAAGACATCTGTTAGAATCAACTGTATTTACATTTTTAAGGCAACACACATGAAGTGAAACACTCAAGTAGGAGTAAGATAAATGGTAAAGTGTCTAATTGAGTATTTACTGATGGAAAGCAGTGCTTACCAAAAAGAGATGACGGGGCTGTCGACTCTTCTTGCTGACCTTCATCAGAGTGCCCTCCTTCACAAAAACCTAATTTGGAAAAGCATACAAACAGGACCAAATCAAACATAATGACGATGATAAAATATAAAAAATGATACTTCACATTACAGGGATTTTCCATCGTCAAAGTTACAAAAAAAAAGGAAAAGAGGAAGAACAAAAGCTGGCCAACTTTGGATTCCTAACTGAATGATCGTAAAGGGCAGCACAGGGGTGGTGCAGGGCAGACAGGGTGGGCTGGGCACTTAAATACAGAAACAATGCTGTTATCAGAGTCATACCCTGCCAGGCTGTAGCAGGTCCCGCTGGCCGAGCACACTGTACTCAATGTTGACCAGACGCAACAAGTTCTCCTGAGACACAAAGACAGAGAACAAACACGGGGAGTAAATGAGATACCAAAGCTAGAGGAAGTGTAAAAGAGCGGCAGCAGCCATTTCTCTGCAACCTATCTGTCTAACTCCTGTTTCTTTTACGTGGACCTGGGCCAGACCAACACAAAAAAAGTCTTCTCAAATAATAATCAAAACTATCAAGATTCATCAGAGCATTTTCCGATATCAGCAATTTCTCTCAAAACCACAGGCTTAGTTATGCAGGAGAAAATATCAGTGAATCACAAAAGTCAAAGGATTATCCTTTTTGATCATAATTATTTTCAGAAAGTTTGTAGGCATGTTTTAAAGAATCAATTGGATATAATTAGTCTAGGCTAAACTTGGGCTGGGCGATAAAACGATAACGATATATATTGAAAATTAATGTCCCTCAATATCATTATAAAACATGGTCAATACCCTTTCAATAGTCGATAAGCACTGTTAAATTTCTTTTTTTATATTGTGATATATATCAATAGCGACTGATATGAAAAAAATATATTGCAATAAACTTTTCCCATATCACCCAGCCCTAGACCAAAGTAATCAATAGACTTGAGTTTGATGTAGTTGCATTTGAGTGTCACAGCTTTGTCTATCTTAACATATAAAAAAAAAAAACATAAGAGTTACATTCAAATAAATTGATACAGTAGATTTGCTCTTACATCAACTCTCAGGTAAACATTTTTGCAGATCTGTACTGTGAAAAATCCACAGCATTTGCTCTGGAAGCACTTTCATTTCCTTCGTAAATGATCTGTTTCAGATCAAAACTTTATTCCTCTTGAAATCTCAATATGATTCAAGAGTCACAGTATCTGACTCTTTGCCTTATTTAAGTTTGTAAATGCATTTTTAAAATATGTATACCATTCAAATATTTGCTCTTTGGCAACACATCAAACTTACCCCATGTCTTAAGCTGTCATTTGCTTGATCTGCTATATCAGACACCACCACCACAGCAGCTGAGGAGTAAGGGAAGACACCATATTAACACATTTGAAAAGAATATTTATACTCATTGATATGTTTCTTTGTTATTTTGCCAGTTGAAGGCCATAAAAAAACATGAAACTCATGAGTCAGGAGCCTGGCCGTGTCCACGGTCCACAGAGACTCCTGTGGCTCTTTTATGGAAGATAAGACAGAATTTTGCTGCGACTTGCCTTCTCATGAGTTTCACATTACAGCCATCACATATGAAAAGCTGAAATGACTGTTTGGTGGGTTACCACTGCAAACAAAAAGATCTAAATTGGCTCTCTGATGGCCATTTCTCCATGCCAAATGAGTGAAAATAAATTTAGTGAAAACACAGAGCCACAGTCATGGGCTAGAACAGCTCCCCTGTGAGGGACACTGAGCCGCCTCTGTCCACTCTAACTCTGCTGTTTGTTTCATTACACTGGGTGTCTTCATATTCCTGGGAATCAGGGGAGAGGTTGTTCAGGTAATCTGTAAGAGCAGAGGGAAGAAAATGACCTCAACCATTACGAGGGAAATTAACTTTTTATTTCTGGAAAAAACAAAACAAAAGACTCACCGGTGAGAAGCATGCGGTACTGAGCTACACGCACAATGACCTGCAGGAGCTGGTGTTTTAGAGACACTTTTTCCCCTGCTGGGCTCTGCTGCTGATTTCAAACAAACAAAAAACATTTTGAATCACATTATTGCTGCACCTTAGGCAAAGGTATTCTCATTTACTTTGCTTCACTGTTTTTAAAATTCAAAGGAACTAAAAAAAACTGCGAGAGATGATGCTGTATGTAAATATCAAGGGAAAAACTCTTTATCTCAACATTAATTATCATATCTTTTATAGATTTTTGGTGGTTTCAGTTTGAACAATAAGAATTATTATGTCAGAGCCAACTGAGCTTAAATAAATGGGTGTACATTACTGATGTTGGTACACAAAGTGTTTGGGGAAAATCTCAGGTATTTCAGCAGCAATCCATTAAAACCAGAGAGAGAAAACTGTCCAGCCCTGCAAAGACTTTCTGCCAACTCCTCTCTTTTGTGGGCCATAAAACGAAGAGTAAAAAATTGAAAACTCCTTCGTCCACCTCCCTGTTGAATTGTCAAGCATACAGTTTTATATGTTTCATAGTTTAAATTTATCATTTAATAGCTTTTTTGGCTGACTGGTTTAGAAAATACCGTCTTGTGTCAGCTCATTTAATTGAGGCTAATTATAACACCCCAATAAAAGTGTACTGTTGTGAAGCTTAAAGAAGCGGTGGGAAATGCAGCCAACATTAATTTTAAGATTCCCCTGTTTTTAAGGAGACGCCAGCATTTAATTGTTGTTCTGAGTGGCCCATAACAAACATCCTATATCTGAACATAAGGTCTATATTTTTCCTTTGGGTGTCATGACAGTTCAATTTAACAGCACAGAACACTGCATAGTTGTTGTTTTAAATTAAATTACTGCTTTCATTTAACTGTCTCCCTTTTGCTTCAATCCTTCAGGATTTGCATCTTTGCCTGTTTGTCACAAAAGGTTTCGTTTCTTCCAGTTCTTGCTTTTATCCAGTTCTACACTTTAAACACCAAATTTAATCCCACAACACATGTACTTCATCTTTGTCACTGCATGTACTACACATAGACTGTATATAGAATGTACGCCGTCTTCCTCCTCGCTGGGCGCAGCCACCCCGAGAACAGCACCCTCTGGTGACGGGCTGCAGTATAGGTCATAAATCCTGCCTCCTCCAGCAATCCCTATGGAGTTGTGGACAAACTTTAGAAATTTATTACACAGAATATAAATTTTTCTCCCCCCTGGTTGTGATGTTGACATGTAGTTACTGTAAGACTGGTTTGTGCTCAAGTCCCCCTTATTATGTACAGCTCTGTTTTTAAAAGTTATTAGGGGGTTCGTATTTCCTATGATTGACACTTGATACAGCCTATGGGTATGCAAGGATTGCATAGCTCACCCATGGGATAAGCTGTTTGAGCCGAGCGTCATCACAGCGACTCTCTTGCCAAATGTACACAACGCTACTGCGCAAATGGTGGAGTGCGTACAACACTACTGCACAATGTTGGTTTCAGGAAGTGGAGAAAAATCACGGAAATACCGAGAGCTTTTCGGCTTCAAATCAGTATACTGGAACTGGAAGGCAGAACCAAGTTGTCCATAGTATATACAGTCTATGGTACCACACACATAGAGACACACACATATAAAGACACTCTAAACCCTGCTTATAAAAGTCAGGGATAGGTGAGACTTTGGATAGAAATCAAATACACAACAAGTTTGGTCTACTCTACTGCTTATTATTGACCATCATCCCAGGCAGGCCCTGGGGTGATGGTAGCGAATAAAAAGTAGCCCCTACCAGGAGTCTAATGCACTTTGTTACCCTCCATGCACTGCAGCTATAAGCCCCTTTTTCTCTACACTTTCCCAGCTCAGCCTGAGCCACAGCCTTTGTTTGGCTTATGACTTCCTCTTGTCGACATACCTGTTCCACTACCAGCTTCCGACTTTCTTTAGGACCTGCTTTGCTCCACACTGACCTGCCTAAACTAAGACCGAAGCCCCTGCAAGCATGCAGCATATTCCCTACAACTTCTGTGTGCCAAAGAGCTGCCTTTGCATCCTGTACTGCTAAAAAATTAGAAGACAAAAATGTACTTCAAATACTCCACTGTATTTTGTTCATCTGTTACTATACCAGATAGGTTATTTAGATGACAAAAAAATGATTAAAAATAGAAATACACATGTGTAAGTTTGAATTTAGCCACATATCATTGACGATTGAGTGTTTGTACACTTTCATATCATGGTGGTGTGTCAAACTAATTAAAAAATATATTTGGAAGAGGTTTAACATGTGACTGTTTCATTCATGTACGAACATTGTATGTTTAGAGTGAAGGAGGCACTGTAGGTCTAACCTCAAACTGATGAACTATGGCTGCAAAGGCAGGTGAGGTTCTGCAGCTGTCCTCCAGCAGGCTCATACTTCTGTCGTAGTGGCCAATGTAAGTCGTAAAAACCAAGAACTCGGCTTTTCTGGACAGGAAGATGTCTGCAATCCTCTGGCTCTCTTCCCTGAATGATGAAAAACAACCTCAGGCTGCATTTAACACTCTGTCAGCTGCATTAATGAGCACACAGGAGAGGGATGGGTGCAGAGGGTAATTCATTTTCAGGCGACTATATGTTGTATTAAGAGTACAAGATGGTGTTAGTGCTTTACCAGTTCCGAAGTCGATTCTCCAGCTCATTGAGGATTTTGCGGTGGAGGGTGTAAACATCAGGGAGCTCGTTGAGGATCTCTCGAAGCCTCTCTTCATCCAGCACAGGGTCCCCCTCATCCCCCACTGCTGCTCCCACGGCTTCCCTAAAGTCCTGGTACACAGGTGAAGACGATGACAGAAATTTAATGTGGTTTGTGTTTAAAATCAACAAATATAACCTCTGCATATCTCACACTACACTTTCCTCCATCTTTTTCTGATTTAGATAAACTTAAGAGTTTTTTTTAAGCCTTTATCGAGAAGATAGGAGGGGGAGTTTAGCCTTTGGATGTAAGAGTGAAAGAGAGTGGAAAAATATGTCTTGAAATGACCACTTCTGCAATACTTAGAAATACTGTATGTTGGAAGTTCACTTACATAAATAAAATGGGAGAATATAGCTCCTAAATAAACCTCCAAAAGTTAAGGGGCGTAAAGTGATCAACCCAAACTAAGAAATATGAAATAATCTTAATAAAATCTCTATAATTTTATCAGTACTCTTAGAGGAAATACATTTTTTTCACTCTATTGAAACATTCAACACACAGACAGAAATATGACAACATGCACAAACAAGATCCCACACTGTAGATAAGCGCCCTGAACAGTTAGGGGTTAGGTGCACATGTTTACAGTGCCGAAGAAGAGAACCAAAACCTCTGCAGTAACCAGGACAAATTTCAAAGCTAGATCCAAGAATGCTTCCTGATGTTAAATTTCCCCACCGGGATGAATAAAGTTCCTCTTAAGATAAGACTTGAACCAGTTAACCCTTCAGTTCCCAACCAAGTCCATCCTGACTGAGCCACCGCGTCCTGAGCCTTGTTAGGCATTTATCCCAACTGTAGCTCAGACTCTAAAGGGTAAACTCATAATTCAGAGAACATGAGAATCATATCAATAGCGAACTGGAAAATTATAACATAGTAGATTCTTGTCTTACCTCCTGCAGAAGCTTGAGGGCTTTCACATGTCTGCAAATAGATGAAGAAAAACAAGTTTTATTACCGTGTACAGGAAAGGAACCTGATGTACTGTATGTTGACCAAATGCTGTTTTAAGAGCAAAATCAGTATTCATGTAACTCACAATCTCTCTGTATCCACCAGCTCCTTTGCAATGTAAAAGGCTCTGGATCGTCCATCAGGCTGTAAACAGTCGTGTTATTTACTTGTTATAAACCTTGGGTGAAAAAGGGCTAAAGCATTCAAAAGCATATCCTCCATTAACCCCCATTAAAAGTCTGACTTGTGAGGGCAATGTGTGCTGTTGCCAAAGGTGAAAAACAATTAATTTTATTTTGTTCAGTTTGGTTCATGGAATATAGTGTTTTTTTCTGCTTAGCATTTGGTAAATTCAGCATCTACCCTGAGAAACATAATTGTGAATTATCATTATTATTATTATTTTTACGAAAAATATTTTTAAAAGAGGGGGTTTGTCAGAACTAACCTGTCTGTCGTAATTGCTGTCTGCACCTGCTTCTTCCTCCTCAGAGGTGCGACCCTGGTCTTCCTCACCTGCCGTCTCTTCATGAACATCACCCATTGATACAGTTTGTGGAGGGAGAGCCACAGGGCACACATTGTAGGCTTCTGTGTAGGCACTGGGGAGACAGAAAGAGTAAACGCAAGTATAAATTAAGTGTGTATACATTTCAGAAACAGTGAAGTCTTGAATTCTTTTGCATTTCCCTTTTTCAGTCTGTACTCTAAACTGAGAAAAATACAGTAGCTGAGGGTCTTAGCTTCAGCAACATTTTGGGATTCTGTTATCTAATTGCAACTTTAAGACCAACAAAGGTGTCAATTTCCTTTTTTTTTTTGGATATGAGGAGCCATTTAACAGAAATGCATTTATTATTTCAACAGGTCTTGGTCGTGGTCTTATCTAGACGGTTGCATTTCTTTTTTTTTTTAACAAAGGCTGAGTTTTTTTCTCCACACATTTTTCTGTCTTCGAGCTTTTATTCATGAAGAAATGAATCAAACGAATTTCATTTAGCCAACCAAGCCATTTTTACAGTCCTTTTTGATCATCTACATTGAATTACCGCCACAATAAACATATTCAGCATCGGAAGCCAAAGCGAATAGATAAAACGCAGCAGATCTAGAGAAACCACTAAACCTATCCTCAAAGGCCTGCAGTGACAACTGTGCCCAACTAGGGATGCATGTCGGTATTTTATGCTACAATTCTCTTCTGCAGGGAGCCCAAATGAATATGCTAATGACTGCAGCTCAGTAGGAGGTGTAAACTATGCAAATAAAAACACATCCTTAACTTACAGTAGCGCTGCAGTCTATGTGACCAAACTTCTTGCCAATGATCCTGCCATGATTCACTCCAAGCACCAGTGGATTTAGTCCCACTGAGATGCAAATTAGCTGCGTATGAACAACATATGCGAGCAGTTCAGGTCTCTGCACTGCACACATTAGAGCTGCACAGTCCATTACTGCTGAAGGGATCAAACTTTGGATGAGATATCAGGGGGTGCTAGAACCACACAGTACACATGCAGAACTATATTAGGCGTTTATATCACTTTGACACAAACTGCCTCTGTCACTTCTCCTTGTGTGAGGGCTAGAGGGGAAATCCACGGAGATGAATTACAGAAGGAGATAAGAAATAGTCATTTTCTTTTCGCCTCAGGATCATGGCAGTGATCGGGTAAGGGCGCCAACAATCTCCAAACTATGATCTGCTAATATTGTCCCTTCAGGCTGCCGTAAAACTTACAACCTCTACCAGTGGCTTGGTTGTCCAAGTGGATATTGCTCAGCTGTGATTATAGACATTCCTGTATTCACAAAAAGATAAATGTGTGAAGTATAGAAATCATACAACTTTCTTTTTTGTAGCAGAGGTGTAAAAAGTTTAATTTAGACTGACAGCAGCTTAGCTAAAACAAGGTTCATGTGCTATATTTTTGCTCTTTCACATATAAATATGCTGACTTCGATCAGGAAAATAAGATTTAAAGGCCACCGCAATGTTTCAGTTCTTCATTGTATCACTGTTTTGGCGCATAATCAACCTTATCAAAAATGATAGATTATGTATGATATGGATTTTGAGCCGTATGCATGAAATAGAAGTAAATATTCACAAACGTAATAAATCAGTTTAAGTGCCTATGGAAATATATTTCTATACGCAAAAAATGGACCTCCAAATCACTGAAAATTTCACTTTTACAGTCTTTGTGGTACTTTTTTTTTCACAAACAAGATGACCATGGAGATGAGAGGGGAGCACTGCAGTGAACAACTGCTGACTACAGAACATACTGAGATTGTATCTTTGCCTGTTGTTCTGGTCTGCTTAGAGAAGAGCAATGACTCCACAATGCTCTGACTATTAATCATCCGGAGCAGTCTGTATGATATGGGCACAGCCAGCAGGAATGTAAGGGGGGGATGGGTTAATGTTTGCAGAGTATGGCTGATCATACCAACAAATAACACCACAGCAGGAAGGCTAGGAGTCCATCTTCAGCGTCAACACAGGAGGCTGGAATGACTAATGAATGAAGCCAGTCTGTGTCCTCTTAGAACTGAAAAGACAACCCTTATCACCACCATCATCTCCAGTGCTTCCTTCTCTACCACCCAACATGCCTCAACAACACACAAGCACCGACTGCAGAAGCATCTCACAGCTAGAGGCGACCATATCTGCTCTGAAGGCAGCACCAAGGGACTCAACATAATAAATAGTTATAAATTCTCCTCCCTGGTGGCATTATTAAACTCTCACAGTGTCTCAGCAATCATAAAAAAGACTTGTGTCTAGTGTCAAAAATGGCAAAGATCACCAATGTTATGTCCGGTAGCATCAATCTATACAAACCAGCCTATGATACAAACACACACTGGAAGCGTACAGAAGCAAGCTACATTGTTATGGCAGGGCGAGTGGGCAGTCCATTAGTCTGGTTCACACTTAAGTTACTGAGTGGAGTTTAAGTTAAATTACTATAGACATTCGTACAGAGGATATATTCTACTGACTTAACTGACTGATTTAAAAAGAGACTTTGAACCCTTTCTAACATTTACCGAGAACCATGGCAGAGGCTGAAGACTCTTGATGATAACCCAATTCTTTCTTGAAGTCCCACTCCAATGGTTTTTTTTAACTACTTAAAGTGTCCTCAGTGGTCTTTAAATTGTGATTACGAAGGACTTTCTTCTGCAGAGCTCCAGTAGATCATTGGCAATTCGCCTCTGAGTCGTGGGCGGAGACAGCGCTGCTCTGCACACTGGTCTTCACTTTAGCTTGCAGCCTAACATTGCCTGTGCAGTAGAAGTGGCAGGTAACATAGGGAGTATTCAGCTCTCGGACACCAATGTCTTCAGGGACACGATGAAAGCTAATATCATAATTAGCTTTCTTACGAGCATTGCAATCCGCTACGCATATGTCCATGTTCTCTGTCATACACATATGCTTGTTCCGTGATTGTCCTCTGTATTTCTCTTCTATATGCAGAGTGTGGCCTGCATAGCGGGGCTCCGGGGGCGGAGTTTGGATTGGTTACGTATGAAATCTCACTGTTTCTGAACCTGCCGTTTGGGTCTGCCAGAGATACACAGCGATTAGCATTTAGTTTTCTCATGATATGTCCTGTGGCACCAGAAAAATGCCATATGAACATATAAAAAACAAGAAAAACATGAATTTCATCAGAGTGGGTCTTTAAGGGCGGTTTGTCCAGTTAAATTGCTTATTTGAGTTTGACTTTACTGTGCATGTAAACTTATTGTGTGTTGAGGTGAGTATTAAAGAACATAAACTCAGTGGACCAAATGTAGAGCCCTCAACATGCCCACTGTCACTGTGAATGGTCCAGAAAATTACCCACTGTGTTGTTCACGCATCAGCTTATTTGTTATTAGCAGGACTTTGTATGAGGGGCCTTGCAGGGTAAGACTGTTAAAAGTCCAGATCAGCAGGTTGTAAAATTTTCTCTCTCACGTTGAAGGGATATTCCAGCGTAAAATTAAGTTAGGGTCAAACACATCGTAACACAGAGTCAGACACCCTGTCGAGAGATGAATGTTGCCGACCTTTTCTAGTTATACCAACTTTAGTAACGACCGCAGGATAGCAATACACAGAGGTCTACGGATCCATGCGCACACCTCAAACAAAAAGCCACTCTATAGCCACAAATAATGCTCAGAACAGCACCTAACTGCACTCCGGGATGGACTCGTCTGAGCTCTCCCTACAAAAAAAAAGAAGCTGCTGGAAGAGAGTGGGTGAGTTGTGTTAAGTCTCTTTGCTAAAGAAATCAAGCAAAGTTAAAATGATGTTTGGTGGCTAGTGCTATGGCTGGGACCCTATATGTACTGTTGATGGAGTTAGAGTTGACAACCAGATGTTCATCCCTTCAAAGTCTTGTCCTGGAAATACAGGACAAGACTTTGAAGATACCATCACTTTTTCTCCTCCACAACTTCTCCATCAGTCTGCGATTTACCTTGTGTTGAGAGGAATTAAATAAACACAGTACCTGACATATCAAACTACAATAAACTTCAAGACCGCACAACATCAACATGTAAGAATTATTCCAAATTTGACCTCACAGAGATGCTAGCATGGCTGTAGACTCTTAGTCTTCTCACATACCTTTCTGCTTCCTCTTCAGATAACTGAGTTTTATTCTTAAACCCAGGGAGGCTGCTCATGTCCACATATCCATCAGTCTCATTGGCAGCAGACAGCACCCGACCGGGACGGTCAAAGAAGTCTGTAAAGGCTGTCTGTCGGACAGGCCTCCGCTGTGGCACTTGCAGGTTCTCATAATCCGAGCTGATGGCAGGAACATTCTCATAGTCTGAGGTATCTGTTGTGTTGGGGAAGGAGATGGAGCGAGGCTTGGTCAGGGGAAGAGATGTTGAAGGCACACGCGAGCGGTCCTCAAAGGACTCAACCCGGACAACACTGCGATTCAAGAAGGCCACGGAGCTCCCTTTTCTTTTGTTGTCATGGTAGAACAAGAAGGTGGAAGCTGGCTCTGAAGAAAAGTGAGATTTGTGAGTAAAGCGAGAGTTCGGCTGTGGAGAACTTCTTGTGGCATGTCTTTCAGGATCCAGCAGTCGGCTCTGAGTGTGGTGGCTGGACTCCACTGAGGGCTTAAAAGAGGATGGACTGACATCAACCACAGGTTTGCTCTCAGTTTTCCGCCTAAATTTCAGCATCAGGAAGCGCTTAATGGAAGATTTCTTTTTCCTATTTTTCTCAGATGAGTCTCCTTCGATAAAAAGTGAGGGGGAACTCTTTGTGATGGGCTTCTTAGTGATATAGGCCAGCTCAAATGGAGGAGGGATGTCTGCCAAAGATGTCGGAGTGGACAGACCACTGGAGGACAAAGGTGAGCACCGAGAAAAGCTTCCAGATGAATAAATAGCTCCACCTTGTCTTGGGGATCCTTCCCTGTAAGTGTAGACACCCAAAGACGGGTTAGGACCCTCCACTGAGAGGGAGCGTGGGTAGAGTGACAAATAATGAGGTTTGTTGTGGGTCTTGTGCAGAACTGAGCTCAACATGGGGCTGCTGCTCATTGCTGGTTGTCCAAATCCAGTTATGTAAGGCTTGGTCACATTATTATTACTGTGGTGTGACAGTGAGCTGGAGCGCAACTCTGTTTTCCTCCTATCAAAGGGAAAAACAAATTCACCATCTGAGCTTTGCCCTGGCTCCTCATAGACGTGATCATCACTGATGTCCTGCTCTGTATCGGTGGTGTCATCCAGAAACGGCACTATATGACCATCCAGGTCTTTCTCATCCCCAAAAACATCAGAATCATCCAGAGAAAGCAGCTGGCTCTCTGAGAGGGAAGATGTCAGGGAGCTTTCAGCATTTGCTGGCACTGAGATGGAGACCAGCCTGAACCTTGGCTGAAAGTCCAAATGATTCAGCAACTCTTCAGCTGTCTGAGCTTTTGGTTCTCTACTTTCAAAAGTCATCCCCCTCTGACATGTTGTTGCCATGTTTTCATCTATTGGGTGGTCGCTGGACCCATTTATACCAAGCTTAACATAGTCCTCAGATGACAGAAACTGCATTTGTCCATTTTCTACTCTTTCCTCACAATTGTCAGCCAACACTCCACGGCTGCCACCAGATAGATGTTGCCTCTCTGATGGTTCAAGAGCGGTGCTGAGCCTGGGTATGAGCTCTCTGTTGGTTAAATCCTCATGAGGTGGATCCCCCTGGACGGAAAAATTACTCTTGGTTGTATCATAGACTTGTTCATAGTTGCTCTTTTGCTTCATTTTATGGCCACAACCAAACTTCAGGATTTTACACGTGAAACTACAATCAGCAGCTGGTTCATCTTCTTTCTCCTCTCCCTCTGTTGAATAAATGTTGGTATCAGCACCATTCATAAATAGATCAGGTTCATCCGTGAGGGACTCGGTCACATCATCTGCTGTACAGTCACTTGTTCCATCGTCTTTACTTTGAACCTTTTCCTGCCTCTCTTTCACACGTGGATCTACAGTGGGATAGTATCCTGCCTCCTCATCAACACTATTAATAGAAATGTCTCCCATCGAAACACCATCTCTATCAGCCAGAGCTTCACCTGCGTCCAGACCTTCTGCGTCCATGTTCTCTGTCATGTCTGCGTCCTCTATCTCCACCATGTCCTCAGAGTTAACTGGGAGTCCAACATCACTGACCCAAAGGGTTTCTAAGGAGTCCACCTCCTCTGTGACAGCACTGTCAGTCAACCTCCAGTCCTCGTCCATCCCCTGGAGCACGTCATCTTCCTCGTCCTTCTTCATCTTTGTTGTCGTCCTGCTCTCTACCTCAAATGAACCATTCTCTAATTCTTCTTGCAGGATGTAGGAACTGTTTGTACCAGCATTGTTTGAACCGTTTTCTGCCTCATGCTCTTCACCAGCTTCATCATCTGTGGTTAGAAAGCTGCCGTTGACACATTTCCCCTGGTTGCCGTTAAGCTCCGGTGTGACTCTGGGTTTTGGGGCTATGGAGGGTTTTGGACCCCTCGCTGCAGACATGAGAGGGGAGGGCCACTTCAGGCTGCTGTGACAAACAAACCTTGGCTTTGGGGCAACAGAAGGCTTGGTGCAGTCTGAAAGAAAAACAGGAAAAGGAAACTGTAAGATTATGTGCTTTAAAATAGCTTACAGGTCAATTGTATTGTGTCCCTGTGACCTAAAGCTGCTAAAAGTTTCTAGATACTGGCGTGCGGTTGCAGTTTGATCATTTTATTCCTTAAAAGTAAACCATAAAGAAATACTCTGTCAAACCTATCAAATGTCATCTTTTTGAGAGCTAACTAAACTAAAAAAAGCAGATTCACAAGGACTTAACAAGTGACCTTGTATGAGCGATCCATTTTACATCCTTTGAGAAAGCATAGAAAAAATTTAAGGGATTTCCCTGACTCACTTCCTGCTATTGAAATGAGAGAAACTCCTTTTAATCTGGATTTAATGCCCCGTGAATCATACTTTAAATTCAGATACAAAAAATAAGAATTAAAAAAACACACGCCATCAATACTGTATATCTATATCATAGATAACACATGAGTAACTACATATCAATTATTTCCATAGAAGTAGCTACCTGTGTAAGATTGAGCTTCTACCTTCCCCAAAACACAACAATGAAATTTAGATATTAACATAATGGTATAGTTTATGTATCCTGAAACTGTAAGATATTCTCCTATTGCATAAACATTTAATATTGTTGGAAAATAAATGGGCTGTAGACTTGGAAGTAGGACTGCAAAACTGTCTAAGGATTCGTCAATGAAAACCAACAGATTTCTTAAATTTATCACGATTTTACCGCTTTAAAGTTAAACACATAGACTAAAACAAAACTGGAAACAGACTGAAGCTCACTTTGCTCTGCCATACAACCTGTATATCCCCCACCGGCTCCTCGTTCATCGGAATGTAAGAAAACATCAGAAATAACAATGTAAAACAAAAACTCCTCATCAGTTTTCATTCCTTAAAATTCCCTCTTGGTCCACTTTTCACAGAGAAGAAATCATCTGTTTTCACTTCCCCTCATTATTTTTGAACAAGTTATCCCACCTGTGTTCATTTTTGCGAGGCGACCTTCTCCAACATCTCGTCCACGGAGTCAACCTTTCCAGCCGCAGATCAAAATCTCATGTACAAACGGCGTCAAACTCAACTCAACTGTCCAAATAGAGAGTAGATGAGTAAATATGACTGAACGCGGCTCCGTGTCTCTTCCTCTGAGGGGGGTGGGAGGGTGGGGGGACAAACTGCTCAGCTGATCGTTGGTGCGTTCAGGAGCGCGTACTGGACGCGACAGGAAACCTAATGGCGAGAACAGCGCGAGATGCATTACAGCACACTCGTGGATCCCAGCGACAGCAGCAGCTACAGATCCAGTTAAGCGTTGATCCAATTCACTTCTCCCTCCAGCTGCATTTACACACCAACTCAAAGTAAAAATGGAAAAAAAAGAAAGAAGGAAAGAAAGAAAGAAAGAAATGCAATGGCAGAAAAAAGGGTAGGGGAGAGTGGGGTAAGATGAGCCATTTTTCATAATCCGGATCATTATAATTCGGTTTTTGAGCTCATGTTGTAGCTCATAGATACCACAATTGATGTGTAAAACAAATTCAAAATGATCTTTTTTGGTCTGAACACAATTTCAATAAAACTTATGACAGACTAAATTCACTTTCAAGAGTGAGAAATGTTTTTTTTTTTAGAAATAAATGTCTAACCCCTTCACCCATGTGCTTCTAACCTTCACATACTCCATGAATTGATGCCCATCTCCTAAACATTTGGTCACATGATCAATTTCTTTTACCATTTCCAAGCAACAGGGGTGGCTCAAATTACCCTTTGGTTCAACTTACCCCACTCCCCCCTACGCTGGGATTGTTCCAAAAATAAAGTAAAGATATCCTCTGATGGTTTAATGTAGTGGATATGATGCTGTTACATGATTTTAATGAAGAGCTAAAAGTCCTGGTGCCAAATACTTGATCAACTTAGGACCCAGGTTAGCCTTGATGGGGTTTTTTTCAAGATGCAGACAAAGTGACTTCTTTTGGCTAGGGCAAAATACAAGAAACAGCTCTATAAAGAGTGAAATAGTCCTAAAACGTATACCTACCCAAATTCATACGAGTAAGGAGTTTGTAAATGTTCTAAAAACATTTTTTTTAATGTTTGCAAATTATTTAAATCATATCTTTGATTGGAAATAAAGACAACATATAAAATGTTGGAAATTAACATTGGTTAACATTTTTGTGTGTAAAATTCATCTAATTTCAAATTTAATGCCAGCAGCTCATTCAAAAGAAGTCGGGACAGGGTCATGTTTATCATTGTGTTTTCCTCTTTTAACAGCAGTCTGTAAATGCCTGGGAACCACAGAGACCATTTTCTGGGTTTTCAAAGGGAAATATTGTCCCATTCTTGTCTGATTTTAGCTGCTCAACAGTTCTGGGTCTCCTTTGTCATTTAGTTTTGTCATGATGATTAATTTCCCTTTGGGGGTCAATACAGTTCTTGTATTGTATATATTGTATTGTAACACATCAGTTCAGTACCTGGTCTCTTGTACTAAGGAGACATGTTGTGTGTTACATGTAGTGTGGTATCGTCTTGCTCTGGTAAGATCTCCCTTAAAAAGGTATCGTCAGGATATTAGCATATGTTTCTCAAAATTATTAAGCATTTATGATGCTTTTAAAGATGTGTGCACTAGTTATGTCATGGCCACTTACGCATTCCCACACCATCAAAGCTTGTTTTTGAAAGAAAGAATGTTAAATTGCATGGTACAATCTTAACCAAAGACTGTATATAGAACATACTATTTAATATACTATATACAGTCTATGGTCTGTACCTACACTTGTGGATGCAGGAACAAACTGTGTTTAAAGACAGTGGGTTTTAAATGTGATTTTGAAGTCATGCAGTGATTTTTGCTGCTGCAGAGTAATGTCTCTATACTTTAAGGTCAGTCAGTCCTGGTTTTGGGCCTTGTCCTTTTTGTAGAGACTTCTTTATATTCTCTTAATCTTTTGATATTATATGCTGTAGATGATAAAATCCCCTAATTCTTTACAATTTTACCTTGAGCAACATCATTATGAACTACTTCTCTGTCCAGTTTCCCACAGAAGGACGAATCTTTTCATATCTTTATATCTGAGAGACGCTGTCTCCCTATAGAACTGTTAGCAATGAACCCTTACTGGTTTCTTTTTTTATTGACAAGTTTTTCATTGTTCCTGTCCCAGCTATTTTGGAATATGTTGGTGGCATCAAATTTGAAATAAACATGGTCTGTATTTCTCATAAAACAATCAAATATTTCAATTTAAACAGTGTCCGAAGTCTTATGGAAGTACAATTGTTTCAAGGAGTTACTCAAGAGTGTTTTTCAATAAGTTAAAAATTATAAACGTAAGCCAAAATGACCACGTTATGGTCTACGAATTGTCATTTATTGAATTAATGTAGTCTGAAAGGCAACTTACACTTCATAAAGTTTGACTCATAGGTGCCTAAACACTTTTAAATAAGAATCAGAATTACTTTATTGATGCCCAACTGGGCAATAATGGTAAAAAAGAGTTTCTTTAGTTCACTTATGTTCTTATAAAAAGTATTTTCTTTTCGTAGCTCTGAGGAATCCATCTGTATATGTGAATTTATTATCAAATGAATAGCTATACATAGGATTTTTCAGGAATTCATTAACCCTAATTCTAAATTTGTCATCATAAAGTTGAGAGTCTCTCTAAAAGATGATATCTTTTATTGATAAACTAGCTTTGTTTCTCTGAACACTATCTGGCTGTCTGATTGGTACACAACATGTTTTTTTTTTTTTCTACATAACAGGAAACTTCTCTCCCTGTTTCCTGCTCAACCCAACTTCACATCCTTCGCAGCTCATGGACATCATGCTCACATTTAACCCCTTAGTGGACTTACAGTGACGCACTGCTGATGAAGTAAGGGAAACTATTTATGTTTATGAATAGCGCTCAGCTGCTGATGATTTACAACATTTAAACAAGATTGGTTAATATACAGTAAAAAAAACCAAAACTTTCCAGAGCGACAGAATAACAACCTCACACCCCTAAATCTATTTATCATAATCTAAGATATATCTCTGGTAACATATAGAGAAAGCTGCTAAAGCAATCCTAACAGAAGACTGAGTCATCATGAGTGTTCCCAGCTTGCCACTCCTAATAATGTTGAGCATTACAATGTGGTAATGAGTGAAAATAAAAATAAATGTAAAAAAATTTATCCTCAGACACACCAGGAAATGTATTAGATCAGAGTTTCTATTTTTGCTAACAGCTGATTATTGCAGTCTGGATGTAAGCCGGAAAGAGTGAGCTCTCAAAACACTTGAACATTTGACATAAGGTGTGCTCAGCTTGAGAGAGAACAGCTTTGTCACTAACAAAGTGTTTGGCTCATTGAAAAACATTATGTGGCAGCACCTTTGACCGCCTTCATGTTGGTGCGATAATTGCGTTTTCATATGGAGTCAATAAATGTGGAGGAAGGTGGGAAATGGAGTCTGCAGCATGAGAGAACGACAGGTCCTCTTGAAACATGAGCAACATGAAAATGTGTTTTTGGACAATTAGAAAACGGTAAATAAAACTAGAGACCTGAAAACATGAGAAGTTGAGGGTAAAGACCAGTACTGAGATTTTCCTGTTATTTTTGTGACATCCTCAGCCTGCCTGTGGTCCAAAGGTGTATTTGTTAACACTGATCATGCTTTTCAGTAAAACAAGAACACAAAATATCTTTCAAATTCAAAACGGTGCAGGCTCCATTGTTTAAATCCTTCACTTTTACAGGAATTTTACTAAAAAAAAAACTAAATTAATTGATCTTAACTTTTTAAAACTGGTTGATTGGTCAAGATAGAGGTGTGTTAGGACCAAATGAAGTTGTCAGCTAGTGCAAGTGTGGCCCAGGCGTTGACTTTCTGGGCAACAATGGAGCAAAATTCGACAATAGAAAAGCTCGAAAACACATTTGAAGATTACTGTTGGTTTTCTGATGTTTTAGCAGGGGTCAAAGATAAGTATTCAGACTTATCTACCTGAATAAAAAGTATGTTTTTTTAATTTAACTTTTGGAGCTACAGTCCTGAATAAGCATGAGCATAAATATAAACTGCAGTACAAATAGCTTTACCAAACTTTTATTTACTTTAAATTCTTTTTTCTTTTAGAGGTAGAGCATCTATAAGAAAAAAAGGTATTAACATCTCTATTTATGAAATATAAGGGGATATTCGACATGTGCTGCAATGAAATAGTTTAGAATAACAATTCAAGCCCCGAGCAGCCGAACCCTGAGGTCCATCTCTGGACGTGTGTCTCCTGTTTGCGTCAGGCGAGGAAAGAGCGCGTCTCCTCCTCTCTCCTGCTCTGAGGTGAAACAATGAGACTGGGGCTTAAAAAAGGAACTCCATCTTGATATACTCCTTCCTGTGACTGTTTTCAAGTCTTTCAGCTGAACTAGAGCACAGAGGGCGTAGCCACCAAAATTAAAGGATAACTCCTGTTATTTTCAACCTGGGCCTCATTGTCCTACTTCTTGACATCATCTCAGTGTATGGTTTAGAAAATATCGAGTGGACATAAAACCCTCAGTCTTCAGTGACCAATAATGAACTGGCTTTCTTCTACTTCCTCAGAAAAGTAGTTTAAGACAAAAAACAGTTCTTATATCTGTGAACAACAAATTCTAGAAAATTATCCATGATGTGACTTGAAAAACTTGTAAGATGGATGAAAGTTTTACGTCCTTGTAATAAATATGTTAAAGAAATGAAATATAGGTTGACTTCTGTTGTCCTCGTCAGCAGTGACTCCTGTGAACTGCACTGTGCTTGGACCGACAGGTCCCAGCAGGAACAAACTTTTGTGTCATGGTTATCTAATTTTAGTTTCTCTTTACATCGTGACGAGGAAGAAAACACAGCTGGAGGATTGTTTTTGTTCTTCTGTGAGAACTTTTGGTTTAGTGCACAATAGGAAAAGCTCTGACAAAGGCCAGAGTTAAACAACAGTCAGGTGTTGCCTGTAAAATGCCTGACTGTGTTACAAACACATGGTGGAATAATGAAAAACACAAATATTATTTAATAATTCACAACAATTCAATAAGTAGCATCAAAACTACAGAAGGTGTTTAGTAAATGTTTGCTGGCAAATCAAATGCAAGCCTACATCAAGGCAGCACAATTAAGACCTCAAAAGCCTGGATCTGAGCTTTGGGTATTTACAGTTGATGGTGTGCAAATTCTTGCTGCCATCAAGAACAACTAACCCCTGGAGGAAAACAATATTCACCTAAGGAGACCAAAACCATATTAAACATCCATCTGCCATGTCAGAAACAAGCATCTATGCTTGAAAGTCATCCTCTCCCCCCTCTGCACTACTTTCAACTCTCCTGCTCCTTCTACTATTCCTGTACCTGCTTTTAAATTTCAGAATATAGTCTTACTTTTAATAGATCCGAATTCAAGTAACGTAAGCTGGCTTTATAATTTAATATGATAATTTCCATCCTTAGGAACTTTGTATTAACTACTTTATGTATAAAAACAAACTAGTTAGAAATAGCTGTCTGGGTTGCATCCCAAATCTCTGGTCCAGAAGACACTGGGCATCAGACAGTGATGCCCAGTGCAGATGGACTTTATTTTACAGATCATATTTTTGCCTTGAGATGGAACCAGACCAGTTATCCAACACTGTTTCCAGTCTTAACCTGAAATTTAGAGTTTCCTGATGTTAGTTCTTCATTTCTGTTAACAAGAAAGCCACTGGGCAATAGACAGCTATTTGACATCTAGTTTTTTTTAGACCTAATTTCAACCTTCTAGATTCTGTATATTTTTGGACAGAATTTAGATGTTGCACTTTAACCCATTATTCGATAACTATTTATTTCAAACTGTGTTCAACTGTGAGTCGCATAACTGATCACCAAGTGCTTAACCAAAGTAATTATGATAGCCATTGAGCAATATACAGTGTAGTATAGATACAACCCAAAATAAGATTTAGTTTAAACTTAATAATAATAATAATAATAATAATAATAATAATAATAATAACAATAAAATTTATTTATAACACGCTTTTACAGGTGCTAAAGACGCCTTACAAAGAAAAGAAGAAAATAAAATTAAAAAACACAATTTAAAATACAGAAAATTTTAAGAAATTAAACCAACAATGTAAAAGGTTAGAAAAGACACAATATGAGGAGACACAAAAGGAAAAGTTCACAGGTTAAAAGCCAATTTAAAAAAGGTGTGTTTTTAGTAGGGATTTGAAAGTATGGGGGTCCTTACAGTCTCGAATGGGTTTGGGGAGTGAACTTGGTTTAAATTTAAATTCTGATGTCTAAAAAACTTTTTTTAGACCAATGGTAGACTGATTTTAGATCAGTCGTCTAGACTACATTTAGACGTCTATATGACCTCTTTTAGACCAAAAAATGCTCAGTGGGAAAGTAGGAATCACCTCATCTTGCTCTCTCTTAATATATCATCTCTATTATCATTGTTTTTATCATATGTCAAATTACAAATTTTACACCCACAGGCTTGTTGTTCAAATAAAAATAATCGATATTCTAACTTTTTGTGTGTTTTCTATGTTTAGTTGGCTTTTAACTTTCATTACTATTGAAAAGGAATGAAGGGAGAATAGAAAACCATTAATCTTTCACTCAAGGACACATTTAGATGCAAGAAGCCCCTTAACAGCCCCTAGATCTTACAATCAATACTGACCATGTGATACTGGAGCAAGCAAGAGTGACATCGCTGCTGCCAAGAAACATTTCCCCCTCCATTTACACCGTCTCATTTCATCTCAGCAGAGACACTGATGGTACTCAGCCTTAGACTTAACACCTTATCTGACAACAATGAGCTTATATTCAGCCGCACACCCTCCATTAGAATAAGTAATAAGCAACTTGTGAATCTATTAACATTTTAGTTTCAATGATGAAGATTTTGCAGGCTGATTTGCCTGTTTGGTGATCTGCAGTTTGTAGAGACCAAATTCAGACATCCACCGGCAGCTCTCACATGAGAAGGGTCACTTTTCTTCTTATATTTAATTTCTTGCCTTTCAGCTTCTTGTGCGTTATAGTGAGCTGGTTTCCACCAACTTAACATGTAGGTGCAACTTTTGGAAAGAAATGTGTGATTTTAAGTTGCATTAAGATTTAAGGAGGCAGTGGTGGAGGAATTTGTCAATAAAGTGTGGGGCTTTAATCTTGGTTTTAGGACTTGTGTCGGGTACTTTTTCAAATAGATGTGATTAAATGAAAAAGTTATTTAACTTAACATAATTCACAGATGTATGTACTTAACTTCCATGACAAATGAAACCCACTTTCTTTCATTCAAAGCATCAACGTTTCTTAATCCGAAGAAAATAGTTCACTTGACCAAGCTATTTTTTCTTTTTTTCAGAGACTGTTAAATAACTCTTTGATTTATTTTTGGGAGAGAAGTTTAGTCGATAAAACTTTCAAATAAAATAACATTTTTTTTCTGTTCAGAGGGCCTATTGTAAAGTTGAATGTGTCTGTACATCATGAAAAATAAAACTAAATCCTTTCTCCACTTATGAAGGACTCTTCCTTTAACTATATCCTCATCTTTTTATCATTCACATTATATGTTGTATATTTTTCATTACTGTGAAACACATGTACTGTTTTCACTAGCTTGGGTTTGTTCGTGTTTAGGCCTTTTAAAAAAATCCCTTACTTTTCTACCCTTTCTGTATATGAAGATAGTGTGGAGCAGCAACTCAGTAACCTGCAGGTAGGGAGCATTGTGGGCGTTCTGGAACAGGCAGAGTGTGAGAGTGGACTGCCAATGAGTCCACAGTCCCTTTCCTTGCTTTTTCACTCCTCCTTTCTCTTTCACATGAGCAGAATTTACGAGGCCATTACAAGTGTGCATGCAGTGTCAACAGTGGTCAGCTAATATCTTTATCCAGCACGGTGAGGTGGCAAGGGGCCTGTCAGAAAACACACACACTGCCAGGGAGACAAACTGCCTTCCTAGCCGACAGTTCAGCTAAACACACACGCAAACACTTCAGACATTCAACATGCTACAGCATCTTAAACACATTAGTTCACCTTTTTAAGTCAGCCACTAACTCGAATAATGAATTCAGCCTGAGACTTCTGCTGTGAACAAAAGAGAGAGCTAACCTCAGAGGAAATGTCTGTTTCTCTTGGAGGAATATACAGAAACGCCATATGGTGTTGGTTAATATAAGAAACTCTCAGGGCATCTACACTTCCCTCATCAGCATTTCCTCATTATGTTAATGAAGAGTGTTGACTGCATTAGGTTTAGTGTTAGATAGAGGAGGCTGTTTGGCCCTCTCAAGGCCGCCTGGGTTCAATTTCAGCCTGTAGTCCTCTTCCCACATGCCACTCCTCACTCCTCACTCCTGCTCCTGGTTTTTCTGCTCCATCCCTGTCCTAACCTTTCTGAATAAAAGCATAAAAGCCCAAAGTTTAACTTTAAAATAAACTTATTGCACAAATGTGTTCACTGTTTCAAATCCATTTTTTGGTAACACTTTACTTGATGCCTATCAATTTGGATAATGCGTTATAATCACGTTATAGCGCTGTATAACTATAGTTATAAACACTCATAAATGATCATAATGCTTTATAGCAATAATCATAACACATTTGTCATGACTCACAAGGTCAGGTATTATAATATGTTATAACTGTTAACAACTCACTGACAATGCCCACATAGATAATTCATTATACATATATTTATAAGATGTTTTAATTGCTTATAAACTTGTATAACTACCATTATAAACACTCATTAATTATTATAAGGCTTTAAAACAATAAGCAAAACACGTTATAATACCTGACCTTTTAAATTATGATAAAATGATTTATAATGTGTTATGATTATTTCTATAAAGCATTATAATCATTTATGAGTGTTTATAACTATCGTTATAGAAGTTTATAAGCAAATAATAAATCATCATAAACATATGTATAGTGCATTATCTATGTGGGCATTGTCAGTGAGTTGTTTACAGTTATAACACATTATAATTCCTGACCTTGTAAGTCATGATAAAATGCTTTATAATGTGTTATGATTGTTGCTATAAAGCATTATGATCATTTATGAGTGTTTATAACTATGGTTATACAGTGCTAAAACGTCATTATAACTTGAGTGGGTGTCCAACTCTGTGTTACGGTGTGTTTGACCCTAAATTAATTTTATGCCGGAATATCCCTTTAAGAGTATACCACTTTAATCAAATAGCTAATCATTTCATTTCATTGTGTCTGATTTTGAACCCAGAACTTTTTCTCTGTGTCAATCAGTGTTATAAAATGGTTTATGGACCTTGTTTTTGGACAGCAGAGGAGACCACAGAGGAACTTTGACTGCAAACGCGATCATCAATATGGTACACCTTGACACCGACACCATGCAGTCAGGAGAGTGCAAAGGTGCTATCTACTCCATAAATCCAGCTGCCCCATGCTGTGAGTCATATGCTGTCATTACAGGCTCGGCGGGACCTTTGTCCCTCTTTTCAGATCCATCTGCTTCTGAGACAAGATGCAGCAGCAGGCCTGCCATCAAACTTAGTGGCGCCAGTCTGTTTTACATGTGACTGTTTGACACAACACAGCAGGAGCAGCATCATGGCCTGGTGGCAAGAGAGGCTCGATAGCTGTGGCAGCATTAGCTCTCATTAAGCACACACTCCAGCTCATTACAGCTCACTGTGGGGTGATGCTGACAGAGGGCCTCCACCCGAAGACGGTCATGTTTTAGTGTGGAGGTGGCAATACACACCAGTGGAAAACCTTATCCTCTGTTGGACCATTAAAGAAGCCTACGGCAGCAAAACAGAGCTTCTGTCCGCTCCTTTGAGGCAATAGAGAGCTTGAATTGTCCGCTGTGTAGACGCTTGTGTGATTGAAGCAAAGTTCAATGGGTCACATGTATTTTTTATCAAGTTCGAGATGTTACATTTTTGCTGTTTTTTTCTGAACTGTTACAGAAATATTAATTGTTGCGAGTCCTGGACTGTCTGCTATTCTTCTCTTTGAGTTTCCCCACTGCTTTTCATTAAGTTAATTTTTGTGAGGACTTTGACAATAAGTTCAACAACTGCAGCACTCCACAGCTCAGGAGAAGATGAAACTAACCAGCTGCCCATCTCAGGTGGTTACAGAACAGTAGGTGAAATTAATTAAGATGGATAAACCTGCTTACGTATCAGAAAGGAAATGTAATAATAACCTCTAATGAATGCTATATTCTGCACCTGTCCACTTTTAAGCCTTGCCGGACCTCACAGAAAGCCCCCCTATTGTTTTATAACTCCCTTAAACAGAACTCATCTCAAACTTGCTGAAGTGCTAGTCCAGCAGATTTCTAGTAATGTTTTCTCACACAAGTGCATGTGTGACTGCTTTTAACCGGAATGATTTCTGACTCAAAGTTTCGGCTTTAAAATAATGCATTACAACTCTTTTATTGCATGTAAAAAAATGCACTTAAATGCCTTTAAACAACATACAGCCCCACAGTACAGAAATTTGTATGACCATGTTCTTTTTATCCAAAAGTGGGTCCTTTAACCCATTAAAAAAACAGCACAGCCTTAACACTTATTATACTCTATACTGACTGATTTTCCAACTGTACTGACAACATAAACAGAGGTCAGTGAACAAATTACATGACAAAATGGGTCTTCCTTTAGATCCATCTAGACCCTCTGTCTCTTAACAAGAAAGCATGGAAGCTACAATCTCCGTTCTATGGATGTTCTACAGTTAGTAGTCCCCAAAGTAAGAACTGAACTGGGCATAAGGAATTTTTGGTTTTCAGCACCTAATAACTGGAAAGAATTACAGTCTGAACTTCGCCTGCAAACTCTTGTAACACTAAATGAATTTAAAACTATAGTGAAATCATTACAATCTACCTCATCTGTGTGTACATAAATGTTTAATGTTGAGATGTTGTGAATTTTATCTGTTGTAGGAACTATGCTGCTGCCCTCTTGGCCAGGTCTCCCCTGTAAAAGAGATTTGTAATCTCAATGGGACCTACCTGGTTAAATAAAGGCTAAATACAAATAAAAAACTAACTTGAATTGCCCAAATGAGGCGCTAACCTATTGAGGGGTGGCATAAAGCTTGTGTGCAGACACACTTATACATCGCAGTTATTTACCCCCCTACTCAATCATATCTACTTTAACGACTGATCATGTTCCTGTGTGCATTTTATTTGAGTTTAGAAATGAACAAAGTAGTAAGTAAGACAGTAGGAGTGAGTTTGCTTCAGTTTTGGGGACTAATTCCTCTCCTACACACACAGACACACTGCACAGCCTTTCCACAGGTAGTGCTGAAGATCAGTGGCATAGTTGTTTTTTGGTCTAAGCTTGACCATCCGTTCAGCTCATTAAAGTCAAATTGTTTCTCGGCCAGCCAGGCAAAAGACAATTAAAAGAATCCCTTAAAGAGGAGACACTTTTGGGTAAAACAAGCACAGGACAGGAGAATTACGAAGTAAAATTAGGTTACAATGGGTTTTGTAGGTTGACAGAATTTCTCTTGAAGATCCAAAAACTTGCGTGGAAAGCTGCAGCCTTTTTAAACTTATCTTTCTCCTTTCCTGTAAAGCTCCAATTATCTTGTAGTAGTTTTCTAAATTTGTTTGTTGGCTTAATATGCTGGATTTTACTGATGGAGTCTTGATGGCCCATTATCCTTAATGGACTCAGTAATATCCGCTAAGTTCTCCTCACTTGTTTTTAATGTTAATGTTAGTCATTTAAAGAAGAAGACTGAAGGCTCTCAACCTTATGTCTTTAGGCTATTTTTGTCTCCCAGTTCCCGTGTAATCTGTGCTGCTTTTTGTTGAGATACTTCTTTCATTTTAAAGATTCACTACGCCTATTGAACTCTTATTGGTATGTGCCCCGGGACTGATAATTTACGAGTTTGATTCCCTGTGTTAGTTTGTGGCCCTCTATGGGTTTTACTTAGGGGTAGAAAAGTAACAGAGGCATAACAGCTCTGTCTTGAACTTGCAATGAAAAAGAAGCAAGTGATCGCCTGCTACCATCAGGAAGACCAAAGGAGAACAAAAGTCAGATGCCGTTTTAATACATTACATTCCTTATAAAGGCTTTCCCCTCCTTTTTTTCTGCTGTTTTAGAAAATTGTTTTATAACTATACTGTAAACAATCTTAAACAGTTTCCACGTACAGATCTTTTATTGCCTATTTTAACTACAACTGGATGCTATTTCTCACAGCCACAGCAGGATTGAACTGCCACAACTGAATATAAGGATCATTTTTCAGTGCAGCTGGTCACAAAGGAGCGCAGTCTGTCAATAGGACACACCCTCCTCTCCTTTATAATCGATTAGACTCCTCAAAGTGCTTCTTAATTCAATATTTGAGCTTGCTGTATTTTGCTATAGACACTATACAGCTGATGTCAAGAGTAAAAATATTTGTGAAGCAGGTATTTGGTAAGAAACAATCAGATTGATATTTTGACCTGAATGCAGAGGGAAACTAAGAATCTATCCAGACATCTTAGATAAAACCAAAACAGTATTTAAACTGGTGTAATGTCCGTGGGTGAAAATAGTCTCCTTAAATCCCTGTTTGACAGTCATTGTCATTCTAAAACAAGTTTATTCAGAAAGTAATTTACTTAAACAAACTACACCTAATACCTGGACGACAGGGTCGCTCCCTTTCGATTTCTCAGCAAGTGTAAGAATGAAGCACCAAACTTCCTGTTCTTGTACCTGTGAAAGCTGAAACAAGCAAAATCAGATAAATATCTACATAAAGTAGGAATGATCTGTGGTTAAGTCAAAGTTTAAGCTTTCATTCATCAATCAGATGAACGCCTAAAAACCAACTTCACCCATTATTCTTACAGAAGCTCTTTGAGGAGGTTGATATAGGTCGTTGTTGAAACATGGCATTTAGTTCTCTTAATCACTTCACATAAGGAAAAAGTATTGTTCATTTTCCTAGAGAAAATGAGGAATAATAAACCTCAAGTGATGAGCTGATGATGGAAAATTGTTGCTCTCTACACATTTTTTGGATGCAGCTATGTGAAGGACTTGAAAAGTCTTAAAAGCAAGCTGCATCTAAACTCACTTTCTGCATAAAAGAGCTGAGGTACTCACTGTTTATGATGATCAACATATGTCTGGACTAAAACATTCGGTAGAAATTGAAAAGTTAATTTTACTGTTAACTTGTGCAAAACCATCTCCTGAGTCAAATACAACCATTAAATAGAAAGAATAAGCAACAGGTAAACAACTGCACTTTCAGAGTTAAGATGTACTGTTTAACCACGGTACAGAACCAACCTGGTCGCTTGCAGGTTTCATCATGCAGGTGAACACTACCATCTGGAGGCTGTTCAAGTACTGCAACTCAGTGCAAAATTCAAACTTCTTGTAGAGGTGGCCTTGAACTTCCAAATAATGTTTTTTTGCCAAGAGAAAAAATAAGCTGAGTCAAAACAGCGTTTAATTATCATTCTTTATTAAGAAACCAAAAGTTCAAAGAGCTGAGATGTTGTGTTTTGTTGAATCTGTGATTTCCTCTGCAGGATTTACACTCACAGTAAATTAAAAACAACTTTACAGCAAGTTTAGAGGTTTTAGAGATCAGGAAGAATTCCTATAGAAGGACAACATGTCATCAAGACTTTGTGTGGTCTGCTGCGACTGACTGGCATCTGCAGGCTGAGGCTTGGTGGGCTGCTGAAGCTGAGACTGGCTCTGTGGCTGAGGCTGATACTGGGGGGGATACTGGTTGGAGTAATGAGGAGGAAATGGAGGAAACGAGGGAGGTGGTCCGCTAAAGTGAGGAGGAAAAGGTGGATAAAACATTGGAGGAGGAGGAGGAAACTGTGGATTGAAAGGAGGAACAGTCACAGGAGCTGAATCTGCTGGCTGATATGAAGGTTGTGACTGCCATGAGGTTTGTGGTTGTGGGACAGCTGGAGGATTTTGTTGAGGCTGTGGAGGCGGGGGAGCCGTTTTAGGCTGTGATTGTGGCTTTTCCTGGTTCTCAGAGGTTTCTGGATCTTTGGTCCACTTCTGGGACATCTTTGATTTGTTTTCATGAGTTTTAGTCTTTTCTGGTTTTTGTCTTATCCGCTCACTGAAGTACGCAGAGGGAGGAGCGAATTCTGTATCTCGCTCCTCTCGTAGTCGGGTTTTCCAATCACTGAACATAAACTCTGGAAGCAAGAGCATAAAATAGAGAAGTGTAAAGATCAATTCCTTTAATCTTGGTACAAAAACTGTGGGATAAATATTTCAAAGTTTGACATGAATCCTCCTCCAGATATATCAACAATCTTATAAAAAAGGTGGATAGATACAAGAGAAGAGTAGGAGAAAAGTAAACAGCCAAGGATTAAGTCATGGCACAAAAAACAAGACATCTTTTTTTCTGCATTTCCTGGAAGCTTTACCTTTTCCTTTGTCCCACTCCCTCACATAAGGAACTCCAGGTTTGGTATCCTTCCTCTCCTGAATCTCCACTTCTACTTTCTTTGAAATGCTGACCTCTGGAACATCCTCTGGCGGAGGAGAGGGTCCTGTCATTTCCTCCTCCTCCTCATCTCCTGAGACAAACAATTAACAACAGCATGTTATCACAACATAAAAACACAACAGTTTCAATGTTATCATTCAGAGATCATTTGGTCTGAGTTCAGGATGAATTCGTACCATCTTTCTCCTCCATTCCCTGCTCATCTTCAGTGCCCTCCAGCTTGCCCTTCTTCATTTTTCTCTGCTTCACTTTGGCCAGTCTGGCCTGTAGGATGGCCTTCCTCTTGTCCTTCAGTTGTTCCCTCTTGTTGCGCTGCTCTGTTGTCTAGAGGACAGGGAAGATTTAGAAGAGAAAAATAGACTTAAACAAACACACTACAGGAAATGAATCATCCACTGAAACTGAAAACAATCTTTTCATCAAATATCAGCGATTGTGTGAATGTCTCTCAGTCTAGTGTTTTGTGGATATTCAATTTGTGTAATGTTCTCAAAAGTAAAAGTCTGCAGGCTGATTATCAAGAGTAGGTAGCACAAACTCCAGAGCAGTAACCATGTCTGTCCAATTATCAGCTTCTCACCTGATCTCTAAGCATCTCCAGAGTCTCTCTCTGCTTTCTGCGCTGCTCCACATCCCTAGCGAATGAAAAGTAGCCAACACCAAGCTCCCGGGCCTCTGAGGTGATAAAACGAGATACATTCTCTTTAACACTACTCTCAAGTATAATCCCCTTACCTTAAACATGAAATGCAGAAATGCTCAACAATAACCTTGTCCTCTGATGTCCTCATAGTGGATCGGTCCAACAGGCCTCTTCATAGCCTCCTCTTCCTCCCTCTCCCACTCCTGCCTCTGCAGCTCGCGCCGCATGTCCTCTGAGAGTAACGTCTTGTCAGCCTGGGCTTTTCTGTACAAATTTATCATATTCAAAAGGCACGGTAAACAACTAAAACACACTTGTAAGCTTAAAGAGCTTTTATTTGAAGATTATTTACCCTTTTCCTGTCAGGTTCTGATCCATTTTCTCAAAACTCGGCAGGTCTTTCTTCATGCATCTTCGAGATCGACCAAGAGAATCAACATAATCCACCCTAAACCAAAGAAACACAAGAGGAAAACAGCTCATATGGACATCCAAATTTATAGTTTAGAAACTGCAAAAACTACTTCAGGTATTCATTTGCTACAAATATAGTGACAATAGAAGTTATGGTTGTATTTAGATGAAAAAAAAACACACATGGATGAGTTAAGTTTCTTTTTATGTGTGTGTTTAAAGCGCCTACAGGTTATCTGCACTGTTTGGAACAATCTAGACAGTTTTGTAAACTTTGTTGTCTAGAGCATTTTCAAATCTATGAGCTAAGTGTGATTAATCTAAGGCTGTTTATGTGCAACTATTTCCTCTGATCATTTTAACTCTTACATAACCTAAACTGTGCGTTTGCTTGTCTGGTGCACAAGCTATGTGTTATAAGTATTCACCCCGAGGTAACCCCTATTGAAAAGATATAAAATTTTGTTAAAATAAAGTGAAAATAAATATGACCAGCTGATCTAAACAAATAAAAACACGGCACATATTCACAGAGCAATGAAGATAAATAAATAAATGACACATTACCATTCTTCATCCGGGTTTTCAGGAGGAGGGATTGGAGACAAGTTGTGTGTATCATCATCCTCCTTCTCTGTTTCCCTTTTTTCAAGCATTTCTCTCTTTTTGTCAATTATCTTTTGCGTGAAATCAACCAGGAACAGTCCTTCTGTCTCTTCATCTGTGTTACATGACAAGATAATGATGCAGTTTCATAAAATTTAGGGGCCCTGAATATGAAGAATGAATCAGTTTAGCTCCACCAACCTGGAAAGTCTCCTTTTGTCATTTGTTCATAAAGTTTGGCCTTCTCCTCCAGCTTTTGTCTGTTTAAGGAAAATAAATGGAGAGTTTAAATGGTTGGCCACCTTTGTAAAGTGGCAGAAAGTGGTAAGATGAGCCATCATAGTTGTTGTCTCTAACTAGAGTATCTGCATATATTTCAATATGTTGTGTATCCCTGCAAACCAACAGAATGAGTGTAAACATAACTGTCTTGATAATATAGCATGCCAAAAAAAGTGGTCTCCTATGGTCAACTTACCCCGTGTATGGGGTAAGTTGACCGTAGGAGTGGGATAAGTTGAGCCGTATGATTTTACTGAGGATGAGGAAACGAGGCAGCCGGTGCGGCTCAGAACTGAACATGATGCTAAGAGTGAGGAGGGCGTCCCATACCCGCCTGTCTTGTTCATACACTCCTGTTTCAAATGAGGCGCACTCCATAGCTGCGAGTGTAACTTCATTACGAGTGACACTCGGGAGTGAAGGGCGAGTGTGTAGGGGTCGGTTTGGGATTGGGCCTAACAGTCACTTCTTCATATTCATGTGTATTTTTATCTATCATATGCTATTCAACTGGTACAATAATTCTTTTTATTTTATATATTAGTTTTTGACCTCATGTTGTAGCTCATAGATACCCCAATTGATGTATAAAACAAATTTAAAATGATCAATTTTTGGTCTGAACACAATTCTGATAAAAATTATGACAGACTAAATTCACTTTCAAGAGTAAGAAATGTTTTTTTTGTAAATAAATGTCTAACCCCTTCACCCATGTGCTTCTAACCTTCACAGACTCCATGAATTGATGCCCATCTCCTAAATATTTGGTCACATGATCAATTTCTTTTACCATTTCCAAGCAACAGGGGGTGGCTCAACTTACCCTCTGGCTCATCTTACCCAACTCTCCCCTCATGTGTTTTCCTCACCTGGATGTCTCAAGGCTGTTCTGCTGCTCAGCCAGCTGCTCTGCGTCTTTCTCGGCTCTTGCTGACACACCCGCATTTTGTTTGCTCCAAATATTAGGTTTCTGACCCTAAACACAGAGACAGAGAGAATTCATGCCAGTTTGATGATAGAAGTTAGCTTTAAAAATGAAACACACAGTAAAACTTTGTGTACCTTTAGTTTGGATTTTGATGTCGATCCAGAACCAGACGATACTTGTCCAAATTTCTCTTGTTTGAACTGTTCCTGCTTTCTGTAAAGTTCAGCTTTGAGGTCGACGAGCTGTGAGAAACAAACACAACAGTGAGATATGACAGTAAGATGTTAAACAGGCATCTGACTCCTCAGATTATATCGACCCTGTAACGGCAATGTAGCCGGATAGCCAACCAACCGTCAGCTTTGGCGGGCTGTAATTAACACCAGCGTTATGAATATGACTTACAGTAGAAGCTGACTCAAGTAAACTTACCGATGAAGCAGTCACGTCGAATGGTTTCTTCTTTTTATCCATTTTTAACCACTTTTACTCGTATCATCGTCACCAAGCTACTGTTAGTGTTGTTTTCATTCGTTATCTAAAGGAGGTTGGTAAACCAGCTTCGAGGCGCATTACCGCCACCTACCATGCAGGAGTGTGAGCCACAGGTCCCTACTCCCATCAGAAAATAAATTCATATTTACTTTAAACTTAATTCTGTTTGCTTTAAAAACTCAAACACCTCTTCATATGCTCCTTTTCCCAAGCTAAATAAATGCTTAAGGTTCAACACTCTCATTCCACTTTCCTGTAGTTTCCTTAAAATAGTTGCTCTTTGATTATTATACTTCTGACACTTTTATGAAACATGTTCCACAGTTTCACCCTCAACTCTGAACTCAGTCACATTTCCCTGTTGGATGTTTTCTAATTAAATGCATAATTTTGTTTAATCCGGTGTGACTTAGTCTTAATCTTGACATAACTGTTAGTTCCCTGATAGATTTTCCTATGATTTCCATACTACCCACTTTTTGCTTATTCTATCAAGATGTCTTCCTTTATTACCTACCTCCCAGCACCCTTGCCATTCACTCATGATTCTGCTCTTTATTAATGCCTTTGCTTCTGACTTACTAAATGTAATTTCTACAATTCTGTTGTGTTTCAGTGCTTGTTTTGCAAAAAGAATCTGCCATTTCATTCCCCTTAATACCTCTATGATCCAGTTCTCACATGAATCTGACTGCTGTCCCTTGATGGTGTAGCCTGAATATTGTTTCTAGAATTTCATAGAGAATATCTGGTCTGCTGTGAGATAACATGGACTGTAGTGATTCAAGAGCTGACAATGAGTCTGAACATACAAGTGGCTGTTATTATTATTCACTATCGGGACAATCACTGCTTCTTTCCAACTTGATGGTAACCTACCCTCTTCCCATATTTTATACATACATATATCATATAAAAAAATATCTTAAACATATCATATACATACATACATTTTATACATACCAGCCTATTTTCCATCTAGACTCTGAAGTGTTTTCTTCCCTCTTTTCTTCACTACGAAACATGAAAAACAACATAGGTGCACTACCACCACCTCCTGCTTAAATCAAGATCTTACTGCTGGGTCTCCCTCATCTCTGGGTTGATAAAGTACTCCCCTTTAAAATTAGCATCACTAACCACAATATCCTCAACTATCTTAACTACTCAGTTAACCAGTGTGAAGTCTCAATTATTTTCTTTGGGTGTGGCACCATTGATATTTTTGCAGTCCTTGTCGTCTAATCTGTGTTGAAGATTTTTGTTATCAAATGCTCCCTCTTAACAGATGAGTCAGGCTTATCTAACCTGTACGGTGGTCCAATATCATTCAGCATTAAACATAAACATGTACAGGTCACATTATGTTCTATACAAGCTGTTCTTTTTGTCCTCAGATGTACTTGTGCCTGTACAAATAAAGCATCAATTATCTTTTGTACATGCTTGATCTGAGATTTGAGTTTAACAATAAAGGTACCTCAGTTTCTTAAGTGTCACGGGCCGAGGACATTTGGCTTTATAAAAACTAAAGAACTCAGAGCAAGTTCGCCACAGTTCTCATGCTCATCTTAAGAACTAGGTCAAACACGGACAACCACATGCCACCCCAAAGCTGTCGTTCTTTGTTTAACCTGTAGTCTTACATGAACGCAGATATACAGCCATTGATTTAACCCTATTAACAGCCGACCCCCCACCACCCCAGATAAACAAAGATTCTGATTCTGATTAACACCTAATGCTCTGGCTGGCCTACACTCTGGAGAGGCTCTAAAACTCAACACTTTCATTGCAAACAGGAGAAAAGAAAAATGTATGTACTTTCTATGCATGCTTTTTAACACATTCATCCAAGAGAGGATATGGGACTGTCGCCTCTACCATTAATGTAATCCTAAAATAGTATATTCTGACAACCTCACAGTCACATGCAGTGGCGACTAATCATTCTCAAAATAAAAAGCACTCAAGCTAAATGCCCGAGCCTGCCAGAGTGGAATCAAAACAAGCTAATGGACTCCTTTAACAGCCACTTCCTGCCGACAGGGTAGAAAAAGCTTTGCTCATGGCAAACACCACACGAGTCTGTATCAATGTGTTACTGATGATACTTTACTTTTGTCCATCTGACAACTTCAAAAGTCCTTAAACACACCCCCACATATACTCGAGACTGAAGGCTTTTCATGTGTCAAATTATATGAGCTGTAGCAGACTAAAATGTGTGAGCAAAACACAAACATCCAAAAAAATCCATAACAAGTTAAAGAGATGTTCCATGACAACACCACAGCAAAACAATGACTGTAAACACAAAACACATAGCAATTAAGTTTGCAGTGAATAATGACATGAATCACATTAGAAAACACAATGAAACACAATAATTCTGTAAACAAAATATATTTTTTAGACAACTTTTTTTTTTTCCCACTTTAACTTGTTAATAACTAATCCTCCACGTTTTAATTTTTCAGGGGATGGTGAATTTTGAACAAGAACTTACATGACATGTTTGCCTCAAAAACAGTAACTTTATCTTATCTTTTATAATGCTGATTTCATCCCAGACATCCAAACTTCATATGCCGTAGAGATGAGTGGTGTTGTCCCGGACAGTGGTAAGGATCGTGGTCAAATCAACCCTCTTGAGAAGGCTCAGCTCCTGCAGTGTATGAATGCCCATTCCAGGATGTGAGAAGTGGCAGAGTTTTTTACTGACCTGTTAAAGGCAGAGCACAGAAGCACATGTTTAACAGTCTCTATTTACAGCTGATCAGTGCAGTAAATGGTTCACTTCTGAACCCCTTATCAATTTTTTTTACATCACATAAATGTACTGAAAGTTGGAGTAGCATGAACACTTGGTGCTCCTTCAATATACACTGTATTTTTCGCACTATAAGGTGCACCATCAATGAAAGCGTCTATTGTCGTACATAAGGCGCACCGGATTAAAAAGGGCATTAAGCCAAACAAAACAGTCAGATAAGTCAAACTTTATTGAACTCATTCAATAACTCCGCGTGGCTACAGTAGCTGCAGTGTTCCGACAAGCCAAAAGGATTTTGAGTGCGCCTTATAGTGCGAAAAATACGGTAGTCCATGGCTGAAAATCAACGCTCTTGTTTCTATTTCTATTTTTTGATCATTTTTACAATTTTTATAGACTGAATATAGACCACAATTGTATTCTTCAACTAGAACTACTATTTTAGGTCAGCTTCCTCAACTGTGAGGCACAACAGCCTACTGTACTTGTTTAACAGGGGAGAAGGTGAAAAACGGATATGGCTGAAAACTTGATATTAAAAAGAGCGTAACAGCTCCAAACCATGAAGATGAACGTAAATGACAAATAAAAAAATTAGTACAAAGCCAAATCTGCTCAAACACAAGATCTCACTACTTTTCATGTTTTACATCAGTCTCTACCTAACAGCATTTATTGATCAGTTATTCATCTTATTGACAAATAGATAACTGGATCTGTGAATCATGGAAAAAATGGGAATAATGTCCATCATATTTCTTGAACTCTGAAGCCTTCAAATATATATTGCTTCAATCAACAGGTAGTCAAAATTAAAGATATTTAGTGTAAAACCAGATAATATAGAATGTCAACTACTAAAGATCAGAATTAAAAGGATAAAAAGCTTAAAATATTTGTCAGAAAAATGTCTTATTGATTCACTGTGTCAGATCGTTTCTTAGGATTCCAGCTGATTTGGACTTTAGATGAGCTTTAAAAAGCAGTGATGAACCAAATGCTCTCATACAAGCCAACTCCAGCTTCACAATTACTTCAGCTAAGCACAGTGACCAGCTGAAAATAAAATACTCAATCAAGATCCAGTATGGAGTATGAAATCATTTACATCATGACATTAAAGTCATGTTTTGGATGGCTCCCTGGACTAAAGCTTCATACCCCTCTAGGCAGAAAGTACGGTGCATCCGTCTCCACCACAATCCGGTTGAGAGGGATCTGGGAAGCTGCTGCGCGGGCTTCAGTGGCGTTGGGGTAGGTGATCAGCGCTGTAAAGCCCACATATAGGTTGGGGAACTCTGTCAGGAATGGCTCAATAACTGGATAACTGTTGGTGAAACAGTGTCTGAACACAAATGAGGAATAAAGAGAAATAATTCAGTGGTTGAATAAAACTCCCAAAGTAGGCATAATTTTCCAACTTGTATTCCTATTTGGTTCAGTGAAAAAGAGAAAAAGTAAACTGGTGGTCCGATAAAAACTCTCAAATACCACTTTCTATGAATGATCACGGTCAGTTTACTGCAGATGGACATGTGAGTTCTTCTCTCTAAAATGTCCCAATGGTTTTTTGGGATGGAAATCAAGAACCGGTTCTTGTTGAGAACCGGTTTCAAATGGTTCAATCCATCGACATCATTTACATTTCATCTCAGCGATTCCTTTCTTCCGGGTGCCTTGAAAAACGGTCTTGCGAGTGCCAGTCTACGCGAACGGGAACAGAGACAAAGGAAAAAACATGGCAGACGATACGAAAAGTCGGCAGAAACGAGCTAAAGCGTGGCTTAATTTTACTAAAAAAGATAACAACAGTGCAACATTTGTCGAGCAGTGATAAAATGCAAAAGTGGGAACACCAGCAACATGCTTCAACATTTGTCAACGGGGCACGGCATCAAATATAAGGAGTCACATGTATCTGATGCTCTCCTCCGGTGTTGTGCTGTAGAATGCACCCCTGCATCCCATCTGTCATTAGCTTCATGAAGTGCAAGAAATATGATCTAATATTTAAAAAAAAACACGAGTATTAGATCATGACAACATGTCAAATGGAGCAGCAAACTTTCGCTCTGTTTTTGTGTGTCCCAAAAATGCACATATAGAGGTGTACTTGGAGGAATAAACTCTACAGTAAGCTGTCAAGGTAGAGAACATTATTTTTTTGGGACAGCAAATATTCTGAATCAGAGGGCGATTGTTTTCGGCTTATCTGAACAGCCTGAATGAAATCGTTGAAGCACACGCTTTTGAATCCACCCGATGGTAAGGAAAACTGATTAATGGTTTGCCAACTCTCTCTCTCTCAGTGAAGCAAACAGAACATCTGATTAAAGACTACATTATTTTTGGTCAATGGCAGATTTACACAATACAAATTTCAAAGTCAGCTATGTTATATGGTGACACTGCCTGAGAACCAAAAAGCCAATCATGCCAACTATTACAAAAATGCTACCACAATGAATGTCTGTGTAAACGTAACTAATAAAAAGACAGTAAGTGACATTTTTCATTTAGCTAAAGATGGCAAGAAATACTTCAAAATATCTGAAAACAGAATGCCAAGTGTGATGGTTTTTCTCAGTACGTATACCTGTGGATTTTGTAATCCCTTGGGACACACTCCCTCATGATTTCCAGCAGGTCATCATCTGCGTCCCGACAGTGAATCACAATCGGCTTCTGCAATGTCACAGCCAAGCGCAGCTGACGCTTTAACACCTTTGTAGCCAGGAAGAGACACAAAATGTGAAGCCACAACATTCACTAAAGGCCAAGAAAGTTGGATATTTACTGGTCTGTAGAGTTTTATCATATTGGTAGGATTTACATGAATACACTACCTCTTTTTGCCTGTCATAATTTGTAGAGTTTTTGTGGGAGTAGTCCAGACCTATCTCACCAAATGCCACTGTTTTTGGATGCCTCATGGCCATCATTATATTGTGTTCATGTTTACTTGAGTAATATTTGGCAAAGTGGGGGTGGCACCCAAATGCCCCCCATACCCTGTCCTCAGCCAGCAAACCTTCCCACAGGCCCTGCTTCATCATGACAGTGGGGTTGCAGAAGTTGGCAATACAGCCCCTGTATTGTGGAGGAAAGCTTTCATGATACTCCCTTTGGAAGCTGCTGAATGTTCCAGAGAAACCGAGTTTGCCATACAGCATGTCGATATGACAGTGTGTGTCAATAAAACCAAACTGATCACTCTTGTAAGGGTAACTGGTCCACAAAGGTTCTGCCCCGTAGGATAGTCTTTTTTTGGGAGTGCAGCCATGAGTGAAGGAGGAAGAGGGGCGATGCATGTAAGCACCAAAATCTGACTGTCTGCGTGTGTTTGAAGAGTTTGAGTAAGACATCTGAGATTTTCTTGAATACAGCGGCAGAGCAAAGGGGTCTGGTGAGAAGGCCATACTGCTGGAAGAGCAGGAAGCCTTAGATTCACTTTTGGGTGCCTTTAAAGGCCTTGTTTTTGGAGGGTCTAGTTGCTCGCGAGAGACACAGACTGTCCTCTGTGAAACTGAGGAAGGTATCCTCATGTGTTCAGCAGGTCCCTGGTTAGTCCAAGCAGTTCCATCAGGTGATGAAAGGCCTGGAGAGGAAGTTGTAGCTCCATGGTAATTCACTGACTGTTGTTGTAGGCTTTTAGAGTAGCTTTCCTGAAGAGAAGGAAAAAGAGACACATTAGAGTCTGGGATATACTCCAGACCAGAGAGGTATGAGTCACAGTCCTCAACTTCCAGGTCATTTACTGTGGCAAATAAGTCTTCTTGAGAGGCTGTCTCTTCAAACCTAAAACCTGAAGCTACACACTTCCTGGAGAGAACCTTTCAGCAGAACATCCTGCAAGTGTGAAAAAAAGAAATCATCTTCTTTTGGCTTTTTATCACAAATTGCATCTCAAATTGCCTCATTATTACACCGTAGTGTCAAACATTTTTGACGTCTTAACAGATACGGTGTATCACTAATGAAAAGGAAATGATACTTGAAACTGAACCAGTTATTGGTCTGTCACTTAATACTGAATAGATCAGATGCAGGATGTTTTTTTAGTGGGCCAGAAAAGAAAAGAAAAATAGAGGAGCTGGATTTTTTTTTCATTTTGCATCTCCGAGAACAAAATCTAAATTTCAAGAAAAAAGATGAAATTCCCCCTCAAGAGAAACATCTAAATCTAATGTAAAAAAGTTGACAGTCACTGTGTGGAGATGTCACATTCCAGCATATACCTGCGTTTTTAAGCAAGTTTTAAAAGCAGTGTATATCTCTGTGTTAACAAATCAGAGTCCAAAATATGTTCATTATACTTTTTCATAAATCTATCTGATGTTCCAGTTACATGTTATGTGTTACTCTCATGTTTTGGTTGGCATGTTAATGATTCAGGGTGAGTCTGACACTGTGCTGATAAATGGACATGATGTTTCACATATTTTGTAATTAAATAGCTCATCAGCTGACCCGACCTTGCCTATGCAAACCCAAAATTTTTAGTGCTCCTTAGAGAGGTCGAGGTGTCTGTCACTACGGTTTTAGCAAAGTGTAAAGTCTTCCACCCTCTACATGACTCTGTTTTAACAAGCCAGTGGGGTTGCAACATAGACTGTATACACCATGACAACTTGGTCCCGCCACCCTCCAGTACACAGATTTGAAGCGAAAAAGCTCTGGGGGGGGGGGGGATATATCCTGAGTAATAAATCTCTAAAGTTTGTCCACAGCTCTATAAGGATTGCTAGGGAAGGCGGGATTTATGACCTATACTGCAGCCCGTCACCAGAGGGTGCTGTTCTCGAGGTGGCTTCACCCAGCGAGGAGGCAGATGGCGTCCATTCTATATACAGTCTATGGGTTGCAATCACAGTCAGTAAAAAAACATGGTCACATGGTCTAAAGTATAAAGTACCCGATTAGTCGATTTTGGGTTTTCAGGGTTTTAGTTGACCAAGAATTTATTTGGTTGATTACAGCCCTCTGGAGTTCTGCATTTTTAGTGTCTAAAATTACAGTTTTAACAGTATCTCTAACACATACCCAAACTGTCACAACAAAACATGTTCCACAGGTACAGTCCCAGAATTGCAGTCCTGAAACAGCAGGCCTGGCAAGTGGGGCTGAACATTGACAGTCCAACATGGGTTCCTTGCTGCTTTCACAGTCTCTTAGTTCAGAACCACACTGAGTCATTTCACCCACATATAGTACCAAACACTGGAAAAGTGCAATGCTGTAACAGCATGTTCACAGTATTTACTGTTCTGTATGATTACTATTCAAAAACTCTGCAAAATTTTTACATTAATTGTGACTTCCCAAAACACAAATTTGTCAAAAACCAGAAAAATGTAGAGAAAACAAATAGATTTTATCCAAGGGTTCCCAGTTTCAAGGTGACTGACCTCGTCATCTGTTTTGTGCTCTGAGTTATCACTTTGGGCTTCTCTGTCCTCAAACCCGTAAAGGAGAGACCACTGACTTTCGTGCAGGGCAGAGTTGTCCTCATCCCTCTTCTCAAGTCTGCTTAAGGAACAGTGTGCAGTCATGGCCATACTGCCACATGATGCTGGACTTGTGTCTTTAGTTGTCACTGGTGAAGACTCAAACGGCAAAGACCGGCTCCTAGAGTCAGTACTGGGAACTTTTTGAGTGCTGGTTCTTGTTTTTGTGCTGCCAACGGCTGCAGTCACTGTATTCTTGTAAATAGCCTTTGACCCCTCCTCAGGTGCCTTCTGTTTCTTTTTGGAAATGAAAGAATGAGTTTGTGGTGTTAATACGTCCCTACTTTTCTTACATGTGAGATTTCAGGCTCAGAAAAACTGTACATGTAGTATTAATATAACTGCAGGGGAAGATTTACCGATGGGGTTTGGAATTTTCCAAATTTTCTCTCGGAGAACTTCCTCAGCTTCCCTGTCCCTTTGTGGTGCCTGATCTCATCAGGGGGAATTGCTTTCCTCTTCGGAGTGTCCAAGCTCAGTGTTCCCAGTGTGCCAAGTCCTGGAGAGTCACTTAGCGGCGCAGTTTTCCAATCTTCATTTGAAGACACATTTTGGGAGGAGGATGTGTCTGAGCTGCTACCACGTCCTTGAGGTGGTAAAGGTGTAGTGGCAGCTTTTCGTTTCCACTTCATTGAAAACTTCTTTTTCTCTCTGTTCATATCTGTGAGAAAAAAAGGGCTTTATTTCAAATAGTCATGAAGAAGATCTAGTACACTGTGCCTAGTGGAAAAAGCAGTTACGAGTTTGTCTCGATTAAATGCCAAGGCAGAGATGGCACCAGAATTTTGATTCTGGATGGGCCTCCCAGTTACTAGAGACAAATATTTGCCTTTCCTGTATTTTGCTTTATAGTTTTACTTATTGAGGTGTCTTTTTTAAACATTTCAGATGAAGGAAGGCTTTTTTATCCCCTTCTCTTGCTATTAGAGGCTACTCTATAGAGACACCTCAAACATGTTTTAACTTTGTTTCAGCTTTCAGGTGGATGCTTCACAAAAAAAAAAAAAAAAAAAAAAAAAAGAAAAAAATGTGGTTTTATAACAGGCAGGTGCAAGAGTGTGAAAATTAGGCCTTCCTATCTCTTTGAAGCACTTTGACTGATAGCATTTATTAAATTAATTAATCATTATAACAATAATAATAATAATAACAATAATTAAAATAATGTATTATTATTATTATTATTATTATTATTATAAATGGACCATTTGGGCATTTTGACATATAGTCCTTGAGCCAAGAACCAAAATTTCACATATCGGTACCACTTGGGTGGGCAAATTCTAGTTGTGATTTTTTTATTGCTATACATCCCTACAATAAGTTTTTATATGATAGACCTTGGTAACTGGTAGCTTTATTGTAGTTATCACTCATTGAACTAATAGAGTGCAGCTGTTCAAAAACGAAAAATCGCCTTCCTTCAAAATTAATTTTCTTTCATTTTAACCTCTCATTTAGGTGTGTTTGAACTATTGGCTAGCCATAGAGACTTGTAATAACCCCCTAAGTAGTATTTCAAGTAATTTATCTAATACAGGTGTGTATATATAAGCTTCAATTAGCCAATTGTCAGGTCTAATTCAAGGTCTAAATTAAGGATATTTTTTTACTTAGAAGTAGAAGTAAAGTAAATGCAGACTAATAGCATTATAATAACACAACTTTAATATGACACTGACATGCAGGAACTCAATATACAATCATCCTGGCTGGTGCAGGGCAAGAAGACATTAGCAACAAAATACGATCTACTGATGTATACACTCTATACAATCATCTGAGAAAAACTCAAATTCCTATTCAAAGTCCTATTCTTTCCATAAGGAACAGTGACAGCAAATATGACTGTCAAGTTTTGGCTCAGTACATAATACTGTCACTGAGTCACAGTGGGTCTGTTAACATAGCTCCCTTTGGTCATCACTTATTAATCGACATCAGTAATCGACATCTGTATCTGTATCTTCTTCTACATCTGAGTCTGCCGGGTGTGCAAGGGGCTCTTCCTCACTGTACTGGTTGGCACAAGTTTGTAATTTGCACAGGTTTGTGCACTTCAGCCCATTGCTGAGACATGTGCAGTCTGGTGGTTTGCATGTCCTCACACACTTGCAGGATAGCAACTGCAAGACCGCATCTGGTGCTGGGGAACCACGCATCCACTGTTTTCTAGCTGCCCTTCGTCATTTATGGTCCACGCATGGTCCTTGGGGCTTGGTACAGATGGCTTGGTATGAAGAGACCATCTCCAGATAGCAGCCTGGTAGTTGGCACAAATCAAATGCATTAATACGCAATCCTGACATGGTGGAAGCTGGCTTGACTCAACTTTAGCCAAGGTCCTGCATGAAGGTGGTGAAAGTGAAAGGACTGACGTTGTCTTTGACGTTTACAAGGACATGTCAATCAAAAATTCAGAAAGACTAAACAGAGGTGCAGACATGGGGATCCAGTTCAGAAACATTGTTTCTGTCCACAATATTCAGCAGTGGAGGAAACTTCTCTGCAGTCCTGCCAATAAAGCCAGTCTCATCAAGTTCTTGGTGGAGGAATGGAGTTTTTCTCAGATGATTGTAAAGAGTGTATACATCAGTAGATCTTATTTTGTTGCTAATGTCTTCTTACCCTGCACCAGCCAGGATGATTGTATATTGAGTTCCTGCATTTAAAATATGTCAGTGTCATATTAAAGTTGTGTTACAAAATTGCCAACCAATACAGTGAGGAAGAGCCCCTTGCACACCGGCAGATTCAGATGTAGAAGAAGATACAGTTACTGATGTCGATTACTGATGTTGATTAATAAATGATGACCAAAGGGAGCTATGTTAACAGACCCACTGTGACTCAGTGACAGAATTATGTACTAAGCCAAAACTTGACAGTCATATTTGCCGTCACTGTTCCTTATGGAAAGAATAGGACTTTGAATAGGAATTTGAGTTTTTCTCAGATGACTGTATAGAGTGTATACATCAGTGGATCTTATTTTGTTGCTAATGTCTTCTTGCCCTGCACCAGCCAGGATGATTGTATATTGAGTTCCTGCATTTAAAATATGTCAGTGTCATATTAAAGTTGTGTTATTATAATGCTATTAGTCTGCATTTACTTTACTTCTACTTCTAAGTAAAAAAATATCCTTAATTTAGACCTTGATTTAGACCTGACAATTGGCTAATTGAAGCTTATATATACACACCTGTATTAGATAAATTACTTGAAATACTACTTAGGGGGTTATTACAAGTCTCTATGGCTAGCCAATAGTTCAAACACACCTAAATGAGAGGTTAAAATGAAAGAAAATTAATTTTGAAGGAAGGCGATTTTTCATTTTTGAACAGCTGCACTCTATTAGTTCAATGAGTGATAACTACAATAAAGCTACCAGTTACCAAGGTCTATCATATAAAAACTTATTGTAGGGATGTATAGCAATAAAAAAAATCACAACTAGAATTTGTCCACCCAGGTGGTACCAATATGTGAAATTTTGGTTCTTGGCTCAAGTATTGTGATACCTGAAAGAACTGCTCCACCATCAAATTGGGCCACTCCCACTTCATCAACTCATTTAATTAGACACAGGTTTGATTCATTTATAGAATAGAGCAGTGTGACCCAAAAAGAGTATGACTTTTAATGTGCTTTTGACCATCTGTGTTGCTTTTGGAGTTAACAAAAATTCGCCTATTGAGGAAAATAACAAAATGAGAAAAAATATAAAAAGCTACCCCTATGAAAAGTCTATCATATTTTAATTTACTTATATTGACCCTAAAAACAATTTAGTATATGTAAGGTTTTGCCCACCCAAGTGGTACCGACATCTGGTCCGGCTCAAGGACTAATAAGCAGTATAACAACATGAAAAATGACTGTAAATGACTATTCTTTTATTTTAACTAATATTTACATTACATTTTTTGTTGAACAATTTCAGACTGAATTTAAAAGCCTCTTGTACCATTATTTGACTGAGACCCAAATTACTCCATCTGTATTAATTTGATGACATGTTCACTCAAGTTCAGTAATTTTGTTTTTCATTTTTCAGCGTTATATACCTGCCATCAGCCCACCTGCTCACTCACAGTAAGTAAAATAAAAAAACTGTCATTGGTAGACCACTACTACTTTTGTGGAGGTGTCTTAATTTCTAGTGATGTCTTAATTTCTTTGCGAACCAGGAATGACATGTTGTAACAGTGTATGGGCCTTAAGCCTCAGCCAAAATGGTGCATCTGAGTCAAGGCTGACTAAATGAAATATTGTCATCCATCCGTGGAATTATTTCAAATCATAATTGATATAACTTCTTAACATCAAATAAAAGAAAACAACCCTCACTGACCATCTCTTACATATTATATTCTCTCATTTTTCACTGTCCAGTGTACATTTGGTGTACATTGTTGTCGTTCGCGAACGATTCCTTCAAAAGAACCGAATCTTTTAAGTAATCGTACTGAACAGAATCACTTTCTCAAGTGAGTAGTTCGTTTCGCAATTCAGTTGAGCTGTCAGCAGCACAGCTGGTATGGCACGCAGCATTGCCAGGCAAGCAGCCAGGGGACAAGGGACTGCATGCACTGACGCCTGAATCACTTGATAAACAAATCATACATTGAAGTACACTCTCTGGAATCATTTTTTTAGGCAAAACTAACTTTTAAATTTTTTTACTGCTAAATTGCCACCACAACAACTTGCATACAATTTGACACAACATGTAACATATTGCAACAAGTGCATAAAACCCGCAGCATCTGATCATTGCAGGGGTTTGCGAGGGAATGATGCATATTCAGTGTGAATTCTTCTAAACCTTCAGTGAATGAATCACTCACTGAGCCCAATTTACCAAGCAGAGCTGATAATAACATACCATAGGACAGTACACTTAAAACATCATGACTTATAAACAAGGTCATTTTTACAAACCTGTTTGCCAAAGCAACACAGCCGAACACTCTCGTCTCCCGGTCCCAGAATCCTGAATCCTGATCGTTCAGCTGTGTATCAGTTTAGGATTTCAGAGTCGCAGGCTCCTCCTGCCAAGTGCTTAACGATTGGGTGATTCAGTGAACGAATTTTTTGAACGAATTTTTTTTAGTGAACTGATTTGAGTGATTCAGTCATAGTCCCATTCAATGAAGTGGATGAGAGTTCAGTTCAGGTCACATTATTGTTATTCTTATAGCCAAAAGATTTTGTTTTTAGAGTTGAGGTACGGACATAGGTGGACCCAAATGAGAAAAGCAGGTCTGCTTTGTGCGCTGACTGGTATTCAAAAAAAAGAGTAATCTGAAAACAGTGGACTTGAATTTAATTTTGTGACGTTAAGTTTAAATTTAATACTATAATCATGACTAAAATTGAGGATAATGGAAATGGAAACTATCTCACTTTACTGAGGCGAGCAGGTGAGTCTGGCTGTAGGTGGCCTTGGTCCTCAGGTGTTGGGTCAATGTACCACAATCAGTGTTGGAGAGAAATATGGTGTGGTTCTTCCGTCGTGCTGTAGTATTATAATCTAAATTGGCCTCATCTTAATTTTACAGCCATTGGTGGGAATTTTTAGATGAATCAGACGTGAAGCTCTAACCATAGCTTGACAACGGTAACTGTAAGACCAGTCTTAGCTAACCAAACCTCCTTTCACGTATTTCAGGAAAAGAAGAAAGGTAAAAGTACAACAAAATGTTCAGAGAAACGCCAAATATTAATTGCGTTTCATGTAAAAGGCTAATTGATTTTTGTTTTACTATTTACAGCAGTTTCAAGAGTGTTCAAGTTACCTTCTTAGTCCTCACGAGGCGGCGGCGGTTCGTCTGTCCAAGCAGAAGTTTATGTCAGGTTTATCCGCGTTTGTTCAGACAAACACGACAACTTCGACGATTTATCCACAGAATCGTGTACGTTCGGGATAAAATAAACACGTATGATTTTCTGTTGACGAATAACATCTATAAATCTGAACCTCCAGGTGGGAAAGACCTTACCAACTCCCTTCATCCATCAGGCAGGAGCATATCTACGCGTATCTCTGAATATCGCGAGATCAAATCCCCGTCGAGATTTATGTAAGTTTTATGTATATAAAACATGAAGGGACATGATGATTGTGTTCAGAGGAAAATATTTATGAAGCTGGGAAGATTCCTCCAAATTAGTAGCGTCCAGTAGGGGAGAGTGGGGTAAGTTGAGCCACCCCCCTGTTGCTTGGAAAAGGTAAAAGAAATTGATCATGTGACCAAATATTTAGGAGATGGGCATCAATTCATGGAGTCTGTGAAAGTTAGAAGCACATGGGTGAAGGGATTAGACATTTATTTACAAACAAACATTTTTTACTCTTGAAAGTGAATTTAATCTGTCATAAGTTTTATTAGAATTGTGTTCAGACCTAAAAAGGTCATTTTAAATTTGTTTTACACATCAACTGTGGTATCTATGAGCTCAAACATGAGCTCAAAAACCTACCATAAAAGTCCACCATTTTAGCTTAGAGGACTAATAGTCATAATAGTTATTCTGGGGTCAGGATCAGAGTTTCAGTTCAGATTGTTAAAATGTGTTACTTTTTTTTTTCAAAAATACAGCTGTGAATGTTCTGAATCACTTAAAGACATGTTAAAATGACTTTTTGCAAAACAGCTTTTTAGCAGTTATACGCAATAATGGTAATAAAACGAACTATTGTGCCAGTTGAATAGCATATAATAGATAAAAATACACATGAATGTGAAGAAGTGACTGTTATATAGGGAGAGAGAAGGTGAGGGAGGGCTGAGGTGGAGAGTGGGAGGGTAGTAGGGACACGGCTCAACTTACCCCACTGCTATGGTCAACTTACCCCATACACGGGGTAAGTTGACCATAGGAGACCACTTATTTTTGGCATGCTATATTATCAAGACAGTTCTGTTTACACTCATTCTGTTGGTTTGCAGGGATACACATCTTGAAATATACTGTATGTGGATACATTAGTTAGAGACAAAACTATGATTGCCTTGATGTAGTGATCCGAAATATGAAAAATGGCTCATTTTACCCCACTCTCCCCTATATATAAAACATAAAGGGAAATGATGACTGTATTCCGAGGACAACATTTATGCAGCCGATGTTATGTAATGTCAATTACATTTTATAAATAGGAAGCTTCCTCCAAATTAGTAGTGCCCAGTACTGCACCTGAGGTCAAACTGTGAAGGAGTTAAAGGACCTTTTCTTCTCGCTCGAAGAAGGATAAGAAGGTTCAACTGCTCTGAGATGTTCATAGAGTTTTTATTTAGACTAAAACAATGTAATGTAGTGTTCTACTTACAATTTTAAATGCCAAAGTATTATAATTATTATATTCCAAAGAGTAAAAGGATAAACTTGACAACTTTTTAAACATGGATACACTTGTGTTGGGGGGGGGGGGGTGGGGGGGGATAAATGAGTCCTCACCTTCAAGTAGAATTAATTAATTACAGAGTATTTTTTTAAAGGGGGTCAGAATGTTAAAGATGCTGATTTGTGACACTTCTTAGACCTTCGGTAATCCAAGGTAGGTTTTGTAGGCACCAAAGCTGTGTCCTTTACCTGTCAGCAAGAAATAAAGGTTCATTGATGTTCTGATAATTTTGTAAATCAATAAATAAGTTAACTATTATTTCAAACCAAAGACACATTGTTGCCACACTTGAAGATACTGCTTGTAGTATGGAGAGGAATTTCTATTTCTATTCTTAAATGCATCCGATTCTGATCATTATTACAAGTTCAGACATGAATAATATAATCTGCATCCAGACTTAAATTTCTGGAATTGTTGGGTGAGAATAATTATCAACAAGTGTTGATATTTTACCAGTTCACCAGGTCAGACAGTAGGACAGAGTGGGGAGGTGTGAAGTGACCTGTTTGTTGGTCGAATTAGGGTCAGCAATGCAAAAGATTTATGAGTTGGATCTAACACCTGTTTACCATGGCTCAGTGTGAATATCACACCAAAGCAGTACTTATAGCATGGGTGACATACTTATGCAGTCAGGGTTTGAATTAGTACATACATGCCAAGCCCCTCTTGTCAATGAACCAATAGCAGAAGTCTCTTCTGGCACGGTCATTGTATACATTCCTGTACTGGGGCATGTTTTGAGGAGAGGTGCTTGGTTTGCTCTGATGCATGCCTACAGAAGAACAGTCGATCATGAAAAGATAGAGAAACAAATGGCTGTATACAAAATCATGTTTGTATGATTCCTACCAGAATCTTGCAGAAGCCTACCAGATTTATCGTCTTCATCACAGGTAAGAGGAGGTAATGGGCTCCTGGTGGTTGTGTGGTGTTGAGCTTCTCCTCCTTCTTTGTGTGAGTCAAATACTTTAAAGTATGCAATAAAACAAAGAAACAACACCCTCTAAACAAGACTCTCTCTTTGCTGGTTTTTAATTTGATATATACAGTGGCCGAGAACTGCCACTGCTGCAAATAAAAAGGAATGCAAAAAAAAAAAAAAAAAAAAACCACAATAGCAGTTACTGATGCAAAAAAAAAAAGAAACCGAAGCCCATTGGAAATAAAAAAGAAACGGTGTAGATAAAAAAAAGAAGTCACAATGGAAGTTAACAACGCAAAAAAAACGCGGCGATGCAAAAAAAAGTACACTTACTGCAAAAATAAAAGGATGCAAATAAAAAAAGCCACGTAGGAGGTGAGCTGCCAGCGACCAATAATGATGATGCACCGGTGTTTTACGATCTAGGCACAGAAGACGACAGTGAAAAGACGAGCAAAGAAGTAAGTGGAAAGTTTATTGTTTAATTTCACTTTGTGTTCTTTTTTATGTTTAGGCTATGTAGCGCCTGAGTCAATATACTTTTTTTTCCATCGCCACTTTTTTTTTGCGTCATTAACTTCTGTTGTGGCTTTTTTTTTTTTTTCATCTGCACAGTTTATTTTTTATTTGCAGCGGGCTTCGATTTTTTTTTTTTTTTTTTTGCATTGGTAACATCTGTTGTGACCTCTTTTTTTTGCATTCTTTTTTTATTTGCAGCAGTGGCGGTTCTCGGCCACCAAAGATATAAGCTGTGAAACTGGGTAACTTTCACAAACCTCTGTCTTCTAACAAAGCAACAGGAACTGATGCAAGATAAACTGGAACCTAGATGGAAATAATTTGGCATAGTTTCACACAACTACAAAGGTATTTGTAATTTTTTCAGATAAATAGCTTTGAGTTTAAAGGTTATTGTTTTTGTAATCACTTCACCGTTGTTTTCATTTTGCTCCAGTGGTCTGTGTGCAGATGTGGGAAAATAACTGGGTGACCCTTTTGCCAATGCGTCATGCTGGGGAAGAGAAATAACAGACTGATGATGATGGTTATAAAAGTGGATCTCGACAGCACAATAAATACTGCACATGTATGTGAGACAAAGACAGAGCATTTGGCAGTGATAGAGCACTTACTGTTCTCGCCTGAAACGAATCGAGTCCCATGTTTTTTTCTTCTCCCCCGTCTGCATTCTATTGATATTGCTGCACCCTGCTCACCTCGTTTCACACACAAACAAAGATGGGTTGTGTTACTTTGTTGCTTAGCGACACCTTTGGCAAAAGGACCCACTGCAGTACACTGGAGCTGGTTATAATTTCAGACTTTGAGAAACCACCTGGGATGGATATCTTTGTGTTTTTCAGTGAACTTACATCTGTCAGGCCCAGGTAAGTATAAAGTATCTGAATCTAGTTATTTGAGAAAACTCATTAACTCATTTCAGCCAGCTAGAACTACTACTCTGTAAAACAAATAAACCAAAGAAATCAGTAATGTAAAAATATAAATTAGGTGATAAATACCTTCACAGAGCAATAATTGCAGGGTCGACAAAAAAATATTAGTCACAATGCTTCAAGAGAATAATCTCAAAACGACAGGACAAGGTTATTGATTTATTCAATGTTTACAAGAAGAGACAACTTGTATAAACCATCCCTATGTTCACCTTATCATATGCCTGAAGCAATACTGACTTGCAAATGATCTCTGAACAATTGCAAAAATAGTCATCAGTTATATTTATCTAGCGTGACAGCAGGATAATTAACTATAAGTATATTATTTTTCTACATGTAAGACAGATCATAAACAAAACTTGAATTTCTTTAAGTGTCATCTTGTGCAATCAATCAACAGGGATTCTTTTCAGAGTTTCTTTTGGTCAGAATAAAATAAGATGTTGGCTGGGTGCTTGTTGGCCTTGGGGCTTGATGCATGTCCTACACAGTATATTGAGCTCAGAGTCCTCACTGCAGCTGGTTTGATTTCTGGCCGTGACACTTTGCTGCATGTCATTCTCCACTCTCTTTACATTTCCTGTCTTTCATATCTCTCTCTTCATCTGTATGATCTATTAAAGGCAAACATGTTCTACGTAGAAAATGTAACAGGTGTAAAAGGCTAATTTCACAATGTTCACAGTGACCAATAAACAATAACTGCTGAAATCCTCGAAAATAAGAGGAAAAAGTGAGTGTTACATTCACTACAGTGAGTGAATGTAACAAGTTGGTCAACCAACCTTTACAGCAAATGTAAGCCGCCTCAAAGAGTCTATGTCGTTTGGTAGTGACACTAAGATTTTGAAGTCTTTTACAGTTCTGACTCCTTTGCTTTCTAATGGTGCAAAATTCACTATTGCTGTCAATAAATGACTGTTAAAACCACCAAGTAATTTGCCTCATTCCTCCTGGCTTTGGATCGTCTCCTGCAGATGTTGCACAACCCGCTGATTCATGCGCTGCAAATCTTTTGACATGCTGGGCTGATCTTCCAGTTCTTCATGGAGACTTAGGGCTATTTCCAACTTCCTGTAGTCATCTGGTCGTACCAGGCGCCTAACTACCTGAAGGGCACGATCCTTCAGGCTGTAAACTGTATGAACCAAACAAACTGGTGTTAGGCAATTGTTATAAAAAACTTGAGGTAAGCCAAATGCTACTGTCCTTGATAAGTTATGTGACTTAAAGGTCCCCTATTATGAAATATCTACTTTTGGGTGGTTTTCTACCAATAATATGCTTCCCCTTGAAGCCAAAACCCGCCCCCCGCGACATAAAAAAATGTAATTCTCTCCCTCGCTTGCTTTCCCCCGCCTTTCTGAAAACATGAGCGCAAACGGGCGACTCTATTTCTGCCTCCTTCGTCGGAAGATTTGAGGACCCCGTGGATTAAATTCATTTTTGATAGAAATGTACCCACAACAACTCTGAAAATGCTGTATGTGTGCAAAGCATTTCATAACAGACTGTTTTACCAACGAGGGGCTGAAGCTGAAGATAAAACCTGGATCCGTACCGAGTGTCCCATGTCAGGGACCCAACTTCAAACATGGAAGCTGTAAGTTTTACCATTTTACGTTGCTTTACCACCGTCCTAGTGCTTTGGCTGCAATCGCCTGTGTTTACCATTGTTGGTATTCGTCTTCAGACTCGCTTCTATTTACTTTTATTACCATGAGCAGCTGGTGTTTGTTAGGGGCGTAGAGGCAGGCTGGTGCATCCAGCCGCAGTGGTCTGGAAGTCCTCTGAAGAGGTCCTCAGAAGATCTCCAGACCACCGCTCCTGGACCACCGCTGCAGTGCCGGCAGCTCAGAGTGGTCTTGGGGTGGAAGAGCGCGGTTTCACACAGGCACAGCTCATTACAGGTGCAGAATCAGCCTGTTCTAAGCTGAGCTCAAAAAGAGGGGGCTACAGACTGGCTGATATCCACAAATAAACGGGTGTTTTGGACAACAAACTTCAAATTTACTATTGTGGGACCTCTGGGACCAATTTAAACTTGATGAAAAATGCCATAATAAGGGAACTTCAAAATCCTACTAAAATAAGTCCAAAGTTACCTGTACAACCACACAACTCTAGGGGCAAGTGTAAAATAAAACAACACTTTTATCATGAGGAGTAAACTATAAATCTAACCGTACATCATGAATGAACTTTGGCTTGTACGTTTTGAGTTATATAATTACGCATAAACTATTGGCTATAATTTTGAGTTATTTGTTTATTCTCACCTGGTAATGTGATATTGGCAAACGCACCCTCTGCTGGTTTAGGAAGATACAGTTCTTTGTTGTTCACCCTCAGTGGCTCATCAGTCTTTGCATCTCTGAACATCCATGGATGACCTGTAGAGACACACATAATAAATAAACGTGACATTGACATTGACATAATACACACAGATCCCAAAGATGGCAGAGGGTTGTGGGAGGTTTACAGCTTTCGATTTAGGGAAATTGAAATGAAATGAAACTTTAAAAAATCTCATTTGCAAGAATGTCCTGGCCAAGACAGGCAGCAGTACATTTACAAAGTTTCAAACATAAATAACAATTAGGGACATATACAGACATAACAACCTGCTAAGTCGAAGTCGCAGAGCAGAACATTTTCAGTCAAAGCGTTTACAGCCAGCTTCATCTTCCTCCTTGGCCTTTTGTCTACATTTAAAAATATTTAAAGAGACCAGCTCTCCAAGACACAATTTTTCTTGTAGCAGATTCCAGTCTGCAGGAGCAGCATATCTAAAACTTCTTTTACCCATATCAAGACGAACTTTGGGGACAGATAGCAAAAGTAGATTTTGTGTCTGAAGACTGTAGCCTCCATAACTTTTAACATGAATACAATAACACAAGTATGGTGGAAGCAGGCCAAGTATAGCCTTGTAAACCGGGACGTGCCAATGGTTCAGTTTACGCATGGTTAAAGAGGGCCACCCAATGATGAGTTAAAGCCTTATAGTGATGGGCACGGCAGTTCTTTTAGATGTACTGAATCACCAGAATCGGTTCACTAAAATGATTCGTTCAAAAGATTCGTTTACCTAATCATTGAATCGTTCAGTGCTTGGTGGGAGGAGCCTGTGACTCCGACCTCCTGAACTGATACACAGCTGAACGGTTTAGGTTTCAGCTCAATTTATAGCTTCTGGGATGGGAGACATGAGTGTTTGGCTTTGTTGCTTTGGCAAACAGGTTTGTAAAAATGAACTTGCTTATAAGTTATGATGTTTTAGATGTACTGTCATATGGAATGCTATTTATCAGGTCTGCTTGGTAAACTGGGCTCAGTGAGTGATTCGTTCACTGAACGTTTAGAAGAATTCACACTGAACATGCACCTTTCCCTCACAAGCCGCTGCAATGATAGGATGCTTCGGGTTTTATGCAGTACTCATGACATGCTGTGTCCTATTGTATGAAAGTTGTTGTGGTGGCAATTTAGCAGTAACAAATAATAAGTTAATTTTTCAGACAAAAATGATTCCAGAGAGTGTAGTTCAATGCATTTGCTGGCTGCTCACCTGGCAATACTGCGTGCTATAGCATCTGCCCTGCTGACAGCACAACTAAAGTGAGAAACAAACGAAACACTTGAGGAAGTGATTCGGTTCAGTACGTTCACTTAAAAGATTTGGTTCTTTTGAACGAATCGTTCGCGAACGACAGAACACTAAAGCCTTGAGGTTTGTTATGAAATGTCCCAATTTGTCAGAGAGCAGAACAACAAACTCCAAACACTTGATGTGCATTGACCAACATCACTCACCAATAAAGGTGTTCATCTCCCGTCCTGTTCCTGGCTGAAGATCCTTGTACGCCTGCGGTTCCCCACGGAAGTTTATCCACAGTGGTCGTACAACACAAGGACTGCGGTTACAGAATACAGCTTTGATGGGTATACAACTGTTCAGAGAGCGCACCAGGGGGAGAGACTGCTCTCCGTCTTGAGGCATACTGCTAGATAACCATAAACTTGTATCGTACTGAGACTATAGTGCTAACTCTGGCTAGCTACTAGCTAACTGCATATCCGTACGAGTCTTCCGTGGTGGAAACACGACGGTCCTCCAGTTAAAAATGAGTAGCCTATGCCACTGACTCTGTCGGAGGAGTTCAAATCGTTCAAAATGACAAAAGCACTATCTTTTGTGATAGTACAGCTGGGAAGTATGTTCATAAACTCTACTGGTTTGTTTACATTCACTCTTCCGGTTGGAAGCGACGTGACGTCAAACTGTTCTGTAACGCCATTGGTCGACCTGCAACAACACGGCGTTGAAAACGGGCGCCGCCATAGAGCGGACTTCCATGGAGAAGTGTAGACGTGATAAGGATAACGTACGCATTATGAGCTAGAGTTTCGCATGTCAAATATAAAGAAGTGAATGTGGTGTTTACTACTTGTCAGTTATCAGTACGAAGGGCTCCAAGGGCTTTTTCAGGAGTTTATTTTGCTACACACACACACACACACACACACACACACACACACATATATATATATATATATATATATATATATATATATATATATATATATATGTATACATAGCTTAACACCAAAAGCGTGAAGTAAAGATAGTAAAGACAGTAGTTAATAGCAGTGAAAAGATAATGGCTAACAATGAATAAATTCTCTACTTCTGAGCTTTGACATATAGTACTGGTTTAAAAAGGATATAAACTGTGATTGGTCGGATAGTATAGACTACACTTATTTATTATTATTATTATTATTATTATTATTAATATGATTATTATTAATGATAATAATATTAATAATAGTAGTAGTAGTAGTAGTAGTAGTAGTAATAGCAGTAATAGTAGTAGCAGTAGTAGTAGTAATAGAAGTTTCAGCATTAGTAATTATAGTAGTAAAAGTGGTAATAGTAGTAATAGTTATAGCAGATATAGTAAGAGTAGTAATAGTAATAGTAGTAATAGCAGTAAAAGTAATAATAATTGTAGTAATAATAGTTATAGTAGTAATAGTAATAGTAGTAGTAGTTATAGTATTAATAGTAAGAGTTATAGCAGAAATAGTAGTAATATTAATAGCAGTAATAGTAATAGTAGTATTAGTAATAGTAGTAACAGTAATTGGAGTAATAGTAATAGTAGTAATAGTAATAGTAGTGACAGCAATAGTAGTAATAGTAATAGCAGTAATAGTAATAGTAGTAATAGTAGAAGTAATAGTAATAATGGTAATAGTAATAGCAGTAATAGTAGTAATAGTATTATTAGTAGTAGAAGTAATAGTAAAAGTAGTAATAGCAATAGTAGTCATAGTAGTCATAGTAATAGTGGTAATAGTAATAGCAGTAATAGTATTAGTAGTAGTAAAATTTATAGTATTAGAAATAGTAGTAATAGTAATTGTAATAGTAATAGTAGTAGAAGTACAAGTAGTAGTTGTTGTTGTTATTATACTTTTTCCTCATTAATTTTTTTCTCTGAATACATTGTTTTTCCTTTAATTTTGTTGCCTCAACTCAAACTGACACATATAAGACGTAGGTCTACAACTGAATTCTTAACAGCTCTGCTATGACCCAATCCTGTCTAGACAGAGCTGGAAAGGTCTTCTCGTTATCTAATTATCCATAATTTGACATTTTCAGCAAAAAATATGTTGACAACAGGCGTTACAGGAGAAACTTTTCATTTGTGATCAATATTCACTCTTTGCGTGTTTTCACAAAATGAATGTAAGCTCCACCCTGTTTCAACCTTACATAAAAACCAGAGGCGCAGTTGGAGGGACATTGTGGAGCAAGATCAGCCTCCTCTCCAGACACTTGTCCAACTTGAACTTGACCACAGAAATTTCACTTCAGCTTAAGCACTTTTGGGGAAAAGACTCATAAAGGTAGGTTGGAATAGGCTATAGGCTTTGGAGTGTATTACTAAAATAAAATCTCAAATGTGTGGCCTTTTTTTTAACACTTTTTTTGGGGGAGAATAAGACTTTTGTTCAAAATACAATACATGTCATCAACTACTTTGGGTATTTTCACAGTAAAATGTATTTTCATATCGGTGAATGTTTCATTTTTCATTTTTCAAATTTGAATATCCCCCCTTTTTTACTTCCGTTTGTCTTTGTGGGCAGCTGGTTAAACTTGTTCATCAACCAGATGCGTCCTGGAAACGACACTTTCTTTGTGGATGCGGAGGACGTGCCGAGAGATGAGGTTCTGGCCCGGGTGGAGATCGCGCTGCTCAGCATTATCTTTGTCAGTGCATCCATCCTCAACGGCGGACTGCTGCTTGTCCTGTGGAAACAGCGCAAACAGATGACCAGGATGCGCGTCTTCGTCTTCCATTTGTGCCTGGCGGACCTGGTAGTCGCTTTCTTTCAGGTGTGCCCGCAGCTCATGTGGGACATCACGGACAGATTTGTTGGACCGGACCTGGTCTGCCGCCTGGTGAAGTACCTGCAAGTACTGGGGATGTTTTCATCGACTTACATGATTGTGGTGATGACAGTGGACAGGTATCAGGCTGTCTGCAACCCTATGGTGAAGTTTCAGCGGACGCGCACGAGACTGAACATCCCCGTGAGCATCGCGTGGGGGGTTTCACTGCTGGGCAGTCTGCCTCAGCTTTTTATCTTCTCACGGGTTGAGGTTGCGCCAGGTGTATATGACTGCTGGGCTAAATTTATCCAGCCATGGGGGCTGCAGACTTACATAACCTGGACCACAGTGGTCATTTTTATTTTACCTGTTATTACAGTCATGGTTTGTCAGGTGCGCATCTGCCGCGCCATCCACATCAACCTGTACCACAAGATTCAACAGCAGGGCAGCGTTAGCCTCCCACTCCCACCCAGAGCCAGTGGTGTGGCCGGCATGTCCAAGGCGAGAGTGAAGACGCTGAAGATGACGGTGGTTATCGTGCTGGCTTACATCGTCTGCTGGGCTCCTTTCTTCACTGTCCAGCTCTGGTCTGCCTGGGATTCAGATGCGCCAAAAGAAAGTGAGTTCAGTCGGACAGCTGACGAGGCTGTAATGTTTACAATCTTATCATCTACAGAGTATAGGCTATATTAAGCAAATATTTTACATTGATAACCAGTAATTAAAAATGACAGAGGTGGCCGATGTATGCGATTTACGCACAACTCTTACGCACAAGGCTCCTTTATACATTGGCAGGTACAGAGGACGTTTCTTTGCGGACTCATAACATTTTCATTGTCTTTTTTCATTCTAGCCGCGACTTTCACCATCTTGATGCTGCTGGCCAGTCTGAACAGCTGCGCAAATCCCTGTATTTACCTACTATTCAGTGGGCACTTTCCCCAGAGTCTGCTCACACTTTTGTGCCAGAAGCATGCCAAAGATTCAATACATGAGGAAGCAACGTTGGTCAGCACGCTGTACATGAGCTTCAGAAACGTCTCTGAGGCCAAGTGACGCCAACGCCTGATAAGATGTGGGGAAAAAAAGAAGACTGGAGAGACACACGTCTGCCCAGTCTGTGCGCCTGCTGAACTCTGCGGCTGAGACTTCTTCTGAACCAGATGAGCTGTTTTTCAGAGGATGTACGACGGCGACACGACACGTCTCGGCTTCTCACTAAAAGAAAGTATGTGACTGTGAGAGAGGAAAGCTCTCCAGATGTGGGTAAATGACGGATGGGCATTTGTGTGTGTGTGTGTGTGTGTGTGTGTGTGTGTGTGTGTGTGTGTGTGTGTGTGTGTGTGTGTGTGTGTGTGTGTGTGTGTGTGTGTTTTAAAGAAAGAAGAAAAACCGTCGATGATAAACTTGAATGTTGTTTTGTGTATGGAGACACTGCTATGTTTTTCCCAATTAATCAAAAGATTTTGAGTTGTAAAAAGAGACTGTAATGGTTCAAATGTACGAGTGTGCGAGATGGGCAGCATATAAAGGCACCAGCCAGCTGAAAGCTGTTGAGACATGAATGCATTGTAGTATAAATTTTGACTTCTGTGAATGTTTTCTGTTGTGATTTCTGTGTTTAAGTCACACACTGAAACTAAATTCTGTTCAGTCAAATATATGAAAAAAAGTTTGGAATAAAGTCATATTGTCACTGATGCTTTGTGTTATTATACTGTTTATCATTTGGGGAGCTATATGGGAGAGTGTGGTAAGATGAGCCATTTTTCATATTTCTGATCACTACATCAAGGCAATCATAGTTTTGTCTCTAACTAGTGTATCTGCATATATTTCAAGATGTTGTGCCTCCCTGCAAACCAACAGAATGAGAGTAAACATAACTGTCTTGATAATATAGCATGACAAAAAAAGTGGTCTCCTATGGGGTGTATGGGGTAAGTTGACCATAAGAGCGAGGTAAATTGAGCCGTATCCCTACTACCCCGCCACTCTCCACCCCAGTCCTCCCTCACCTTCTCTCTCCCTAAATAACAGTCACTTCTTAAAATTCATGAGTATTTTTATCTATTATACACTATTTAACTGGTACAATAATACTTTTTTATTATTATTGCATATAACTGCTAAAAAGCTGTTAAATAAAATAATATTTAGCAGTACATGATACATTTTTTTTAACCATTTCCAAGCAACAGGGGGTGGCTCAACTTACTCCACTCGCCCCTATGTGTCAAAAATCATTTGACGCTTGAAAAAAGTTATCAGTAACAGTCACTCACCTCAACACCTGCTTCACATCTTGCATTTTTCGAGGAAAACCTGAAAGGCACAGGTGCAGAATCTGAATAACCAAATCTACATTTGTAAACAGCGTTACATAAGCACAAATAATTATCCTCAGAGCCTTGAGCATTATTCACAATGACCATGCAGGCTGTAGTTGGAGATAATAAGGCATTAAAGGGAACGTGTGCATGCATCACTTAGACATGTCATTCATGCAAACATGGATGAAGTGAATAATATCTCTCAGCACATGTGAATGAACATGACATTCTCACACATATATAGTGATAGCATCCACCTACTCACGTGGTGTTGAGTGACTTGACTTGATCACGTTGTCTTCGTCGGCACATAGAGTTTAGATCAAACAGATCACAGCTCCTGTAAATCTGAGTGCTTTTGTCTAATCTAAATCTAAAAGCTTTAGGTATCTGGCAGTTAATCTTGGAAAAAGCAAACAATAAACAAATAATCTTAAAAAGCTACACCTTTTCTAGATTTTTTTTCTCTTTCTCACGGTTTATAATGCATATTTTAACATGACTGTGATGGGTGATCTAAATGTTTTATGCAGAGTGAAAGCAGAAATGTGGAATACCTTGAAATTTAAGAGCTTCAAATGTCAGCGTATACTAGCCCATGATGTTACATTGTGCAAATGCTGTCAATACCAAATATTTAAACTAACTTTGATAACATTTTTCATTCACCATATTTATCAAATATGCCAAACACTAACTGGTTCCAGAAAAAACATTAAGGTGGCTTTCTGTGATTTCAATTGATCACAGTTACATCTCGGCTCAGGCTTTGGGTAAAATTTTACATTTTTAACTCCAAATGAAATTCAGCTTACAGCTAATTTGATTTAATGACAGTTGTTAAAGCCCCAAATCTAACAGACTAGCATCTTGATGAAAGCAGGTTTGAAAAAAAATTCCTATTTTACTAGAATGCGGCACAGGCAACAGCATAAACATGCAATTAAAAAAAAAAAAAGATTTATGAGGATAGCGAGGATAGAGAGTTTACTAAAGAGAAGCAGAGACAAAACAGACCACAAAACAAGTCAGGAGTTTTTTTAGATATCAAGCTGAAGTGGAGAGATGAGAAGTCCCACCTTGCATGTCTCAATCCCTGTCAACATCATTACTATTAATGCTTTTCTGCAAGGGACCCTCACGTGGTCGTCGAGGCTCCTAACCCACTCACACAGACTCATTAAACCCTCACTGTGCCTTGCATACAAATTATCCTCTGTCCCTGTGTACCGGCACACAAGAATGGTAAACTGCAAACTTAAAATAGTCAAAGCAGACACGTGAAAGCACACAAACATAATGAAGGCACCCGCTGATTTGTCTGCAGAAAGATTTCCGTACTTGTGAGTTCATGTCTCTCTCAAAACTGTAAATCAGACAGATGTGTTTGTTTACTTGGTGGTACAGTGAATGTTACTGAAAATAAATTAAAGGCCTTCTATGGATGGAGAATACCGTATGACTAATATAACAGTGATTACAATCAAAAAGGGATAAACATAAGATTTGGGATGTAATGCTTATAATAATATAAGAACAAATCCAAAACTGACAAAAAGAAAGAAAAAAAGAGGAATAAATGAAACCTCAAATGTGGGAAGCTGGAACAAATTTCCATGTCTGAGTTTGTTCACAGGTGTTGGAAAGAATTTCTGCATATGCCAAAAAAAGTAGAATTACACAGTTTGTGGCTTCATAGGACTTTTCCAGACATACATATATTAAAATTGTTGCATTGTGGGTAACTAAGAGAAGAAAATTGTGATTACATGTAGTATTACATGGGCACTCCTGGTCCAGCAACAATAATATTGATATTGATTCATTTTATACTGGTACTTGAGAGAAGGAGAATGTCCTTGGAGTGAAATCTGAATTCAGTAGAGTAGTCTTACAGTAAAAGACAACCAGACCACAATGATATATTAAAACCAGACTCAACTCAGAACCACACAAAACAATGCGGAGGCCCTAAGAGTGACATGTAAGAATCTTTAATTTGAAAGGCTTTGCCCTTGAAAGACAGATTGAGACATTCTGTCCAGTACAGGTTGTTGCTTTAATAATGTCATAGATTTTGAGACACCACTTATATCAGTACTATAATTGTAAAGCTACATCTGGTTAGCCTAGCTTAGCACAAAGACTGGAAACAGGTGAAAACTGCTAGCCGCATTCTACCAGACCCCGTAAAGATCACTGACTGACAAAGTATACTTTTTTTTGTTCAATATGTACAGATATTAAATTTAAAAAGAGAAAATCTTACTCCTCAGGTTTGCAGGGATTGAATAAATCAACTAATCTTAAAAAAAAAAAAAACATTCAATCAGAGAACATACCACCAGATTTTTGTGACATAGAGATATGTGAAATAAACTTGGGCTGTATTGACAGTAAAACACTAGTTATATTACCGAACAAATGCTATTACTGCCTCTTATGTACAGTCACATTTAAACTGATGTGAACCAGCAACTTGCAAAGAGTAGCAAGCAGTAAGATGATGAAAACTCTGAGACTATAAACCAAGACAGATCTGCATAAACTAACGATTATGCCCAATCGCTTTGTCACTTTTATCCCTAACAATCTCTCACTCATGTCTGGGGTGCAGTGATCCGTCATTTATCAAAGACATTGATATAAGACTCTCTTTTTAATCAAACAAGAACAAACTCAATGAAGAGGGGTTAATGTTCGTCTCGCTCTCTGCGTTAATTAGCCCAGACTTTTTAAATAACTGCCATTAAGGCATCAAGTTCTCTCTAAATTTCACATGTGCAACCAGGGATGAAGCTTGTTTCCTGAGCACATTATCTGATTGGACAATAAGCCACCTTTTGAATATGGAAGAAATACTGATTAGATCAAGTCTGACACACAAAGCACAGTGGTACACATGGATGACAATATGCAGTTAGTTACCAATCTGTCCGCAGACACAAATACTTCCAATTTGACTCCAGAATAGTCCTGGCAGAGACAGAGCTACACACACACACACACACTCGCATACACACAAGTTTACTTTAGTTGAAGCAGTTTCCAACTACAGCAGCTGAAAGTTCTGGTATAACAGAAAACATATCTGAGAAACAAAAGATATGAATGCTAAGGGAGTTTGTCTGATTTGGATTGTTTCAGAACCGATTTTATTGGCTCACTCGGCCTGATTTCCAGCGATTTCTCTGCCTCACCAGCTTGCAGTCACGTGTTAACATACAGGGGAAAAAAGGTGAAGGGATATTATGCACTGAGCACAGCTTCTGCATTTGCGTGTCTGCAGCCAGAAAGTAATCAGCTGGATAGAGGAGCATGCTGGGATGTTACCACATTACTTGTTCAATCTGCTACTCTGTATGACTTCCTCACTTCATCAGAAAGCACTGCACTGTCTCATTGCCAACCCTGCACTGCAATCACTTGCACCCTGTTCACCCCAGTCACTTCATCTAAAAGCTAAATGAGCTATCCACGACAAGTTTGATCTGCTACTGCCACATTACAAGGCAGTGTGGGATGCATTGATTATAAATCATAATCACAGCCAGCGAGTGTTTGAAGATCCAGGTGGGGTTTTTTTTTTTTGGAGTTTGCAGGTTTCTGTTTTGAATAAATAGTCCAACATCACAGGCAGAAGAGACGGGAGCCACCTCTTCCCTCCTCCCCCTCGCTCTGGGGGATACGGGGCAGCATGGCTGAACGGGTCAAACCCCAGAAACGGGGCGGAGACAAGTCCTTCTTTGTGGCAGTAAACTTCCAACCCATGTGAGACCCGCAGGTTCGGCACTGAGCGATTGTCCAGGCGTACCTGAGAGCAGAGAAAGACGACAACATGATTGGAATATGTCAGAAGACAATGATGATCTGACAGTTTGTCCCATGAAATGGTTAAAGGTGGGGTAGGCAGGATCTGAGGACGTGACAGTTTTTGAGAGGAATCTTGAATGTAAACTCTACCCCTCCCAACCAGTTTTCCCATCAGCTTCTCCTCTCCCCTTCATCTCTGCTCCAACAAGCCCCGCCCACAAACGGACGCTCCTGCTCGCTCGTATCGTTCCAATTAAATCCAGATATACTGCAGATAAATACTTCAGATAATTACAAATGGGGCCCAGTCAACATGAAAGTAAAAAGCATTGTTGCTACTGTAGATGCCAACAGACTACCAGCAAACACAATGTTAGCAGGACCTCCACAACTAGGATAAAGTGACATAGTCCAGGACCTGAGGTAAACAGTTTAGTGGCACTACAACAGGTCCAGCAGCGGTCCAGCTTGACAAGAAACACTTCTGTTACAGACACTTGGCTTACTTTGTTAAAGCGGTTTACCTGTCCAGCAGAAAGGTTACAGGGTCCGTAAGATCCTAAAGTGTCCCCAAAGCATTAATGCTTCATTGATGTTGACCCGGCTTTTTAGCGCTTGTCTGGTCTACCTCCTTTTTTAGCGCCCGTTATTCCGCCAGAGTCTCCAGTATTTACTGTGCGTTCTCGCTTGTGTCGGTAGTCATGGCCAAAGGAGGATTCAGACATTTTTCCGTACTTTCAGGTTGGTTTCTACTGTCCGATATTGTAGCACGCTAACTTTGTTTAGGCTTGTGACGTGAACGTTATTCAAGGATGTGGGGCGTGCCTCACAACACAAAGGTGCAGCGTCTGCCTCACAACCAATCAGGTTGGGGGAGGCGGAGAATGGCTTTGTTTACAGTCAGTAAGAGCGGACCATTCAAAAAATGTAGTGTTGACAACACAGACATAACTATACACAGCGATATCGTTATATTACCAAATGTCATCAATGACTAATAGCTATTGACTGATATCAAAAGCTTTTTTATATATACACCAAAAAAAAAACATGCGTCTTCAATGGATTGCTGCCTACCGCACTTTTAACCCTTGTGTAACGCTGTGGCTAAAATCAGCCACTAGGGGCAAAATTTAGCCACTAATTTCCACGTTACTTTTTTTTTACTGCAGCAAATGGGATGATTTTTTGTGCAGATGCTTATATTGATGGACACTTTGAGAATATGACTTCAAAATTTTCACCAGGTCAAAAATACCCGCTGGGCAAATTTTCATCTGTTGTTAACGCTCAGGTACTAAAAACAGCCACTAACTTTGACTGCTGTAAAAACATATTGGGTTAATATTTTTTTCCAATTTTTTTTGTCTCTTAACTTCTGCTTTGATCAAAACTAGTAAATGTTTCATCTAAAAACATTTTTTAACCCTTTGAAGGTCCATTCAAAACATAATGTCACTGATATGGTAGAAAATGAATCTAATAAAAATCAGACATGTTTCCCATTTCTTTCCCAATATTAGTGACTTTATGTTTTAAATGGGTCCTTAAAGGGTTAAAATTTGGATTCTTAATGAAACATTTACTAGTTTTGAATAGAGCAGAAGTTAATTAAGAGATGTATGAAAAAAATCTGGAAAAAATATCAATCCAACATGTTTTTACAGCAGTCAATGTCAGTGGCTGTTTTTAGCCACTGAGCGTTAAGAAAGGATGTAAATCTAAGGGTTACACAAAATAATTAGTTCCATATATTAATGTCATGTAATCTTACTCTAATGCACATTTTTTGAGGTGAACACACAGAAACGCTCTTTCTTGTGCAGATACATATGGCTGAAATGTGATTCTGTTTTTGTGTTTGTAACATGCTAAACATATGGGGTGGTTTTATTATATTGAAGGAGTGGTTTGGGAAGATTCTACATGAAGTTTTGCTGTTTTCCAAGGTCGTCTGAGTTCATTGTATCTGCTGTGAATTCAAGAGCCTGATCTGACCTTTCATTAGGTTTCTCTCGTTAGGATTGGTGGATAACTTTTCTGTGCCTTCCAAAAGGAGAAAAAAAAACAGGAATGCATCGCCACACCATGTGAAACAAACAAACAAAAAAACACTACACTCATTGGTTAAACATGAAACATTAGCAAAAGAGAGACAGTGAACATAATCTGGCAGTGTACTTTGCTGCTCACTGAGGTCAGAGCTCTATCAACTCTGCTAGCAACTGTTGATTCACTCATCTGTATCCAAGCGTGCAAATGTTCCTGGCTGCAGAAGCTGTTTAGTTTAAACTCACAGTTCAGTTCATAGTCTGGTCAGATTAAAGGTATGACAGTGTTTTTACTGCTCAGAACCACAATGTCTGTGGCCAGATCGAGACTGCTCTCGCTGGCACCAAAAGGTACACAAAATACTTCATGAGCAAAACAATGTTGTTCTTTTTTTTTTTTTTTAAACTGATGTATTGATGAATTTTCAAAAAGTGTGAATGAAGAAGAGTTAGGGTTTATTGTTAAAAAAGGCATTAATAACTTTTACAGTCAGGTGTAACTGACTCTGTGTTTATAATTCTGTAACTTTCAGCCGAAATGTCTAAGACAAAAGAAAATCTAAGCAGCCAGCTCTTACACTGAGTGAATTATCATGGTGACAAATAAGGAAAAACGTCTTCTTCTAACACCCTGACTTACTGCCAAATTCAACTTCTTCCTCATGGAAAAGAAAGTGTCAAACTTTCCTGATTTGCTATTCAAACCTTCAGGCAATGTATATTTAATTATTGAAGCAAAATATTTGAATGGAATATTTGTCAAGGCGACTATTTCAAATATTAATATCACCCAAAACTCACAACTCATTCTGGCACTTCTTTTTTCCACCAGAAGCTCTTACTTCTGAAAACCAGAAGACCATGTATCTCACTTTTAACAACTGTGATATGATTTCACAGCATGACTGGTGTTTATGTATTTTCTGTTTTATACGCTTTTTACTAAGCTTATAAGAACCTATGGGTCTGCAATAATATATTATTTTTTAATCATTTTTCAGCTACTTCTAAGCTTCCCTAATCAGATGCAGTGGCAAAATACTAAAGCACCTGCTTCTGCCTGTTTTAAATAATTTGACGTTTCCCTCCTTTGATACTTGACTAACAACCAAGACTGGACCAAAGTCCTAATTGCCCTTATTTTGAGGGCAGACTTCAAGTCTTGGACAGCATCAGAATGATTAACAGCAAGAGAGGGCAGTGTAACAGCCTATTTATGTTCAAGATGTCAGCATCAGTGACTCAATTAGGTCTTACATATAATGCTGCATTTATGAAAAGCACAGTGAGGGGTCTGAAAAAATCTATATTCAATATACACTCACCGGCCACTTTATTAGGTACACCATGCTAGTAACGGGTTGGACCCCCTTTTGCCTTCAGAACTACCTCAATTCTTCGTGGCATAGATTCAACAAGGTGCTGGAAGCATTCCTCAGAGAGCTTGGTCCATATTGACATGATGGCATCACACAGTTGCCGCAGATTTGTCGGCTGCACATCCATGATGCGAATCTCCCGTTCCACCACATCCCAAAGATGCTCTATTGAATTGAGATCTGGTGACTGTGGAGGCCATTTGAGTACAGTGAACTCATTGTCATGTTCAAGAAACCAGTCTGAGATGATTCCAGCTTTATGACATGGCGCATTATCCTGCTGAGAGTAGCCATCAGAAGTTGAGTACATTGTGGTCATAAAGGGATGGACATGGTCAGCAACAATACTCAGGTAGGCTGTGGCGTTGCAACGATGCTCAATTGGTACCAAGGGGCCCAAAGAGTGCCAAGAAAATATTCCCCACACCATGACACCACCACCACCAGCCTGAACCGTTGATACAAGGCAGGATGGATCCATGCTTTCATGTTGTTGACGCCAAATTCTGACCCTACCATCCGAATGTCGCAGCAGAAATCGAGACTCATCAGACCAGGCAACGTTTTTCCAATCTTCTATTGTCCAATTTCGATGAGCTTGTGCAAATTGTAGCCTCAGTTTCCTGTTCTTAGCTGAAAGGAGTGGCACCCGGCGTGGTCTTCTGCTGCTGTAGCCCATCTGCCTCAAAGTTCAACGTACTGTGCGTTCAGAGATGCTCTTCTGCCTACCTTGGTTGTAACGGGTGGTTATATGAGTCACTGTTGCCTTTCTATCAGCTCGAACCAGTCTGGCCATTCTCCTCTGACCTCTGGCATCAACAAGGCATTTCCGCCCACAGAACTGCCGCTCACTGGATATTTTTTCTTTTTCGGACCATTCTCTGTAAACCCTAGAGATGGTTGTGCGTGAAAATCCCAGTAGATCAGCAGTTTCTGAAATACTCAGACCAGCCCTTCTGGCACCAACAACCATGCCACGTTCAAAGTCACTCAAATCACCTTTCTTCCCCATACTGATGCTCGGTTTGAACTGCAGGAGATTGTCTTGACCATGTCTACATGCCTAAATGCACTAAGTTGCCGCCATGTGATTGGCTGATTAGAAATTAAGTGTTAACGAGCAGTTGGACAGGTGTACCCAATAAAGTGGCCGGTGAGTGTATATATGTGTTACTTCCTGGGTTATATAACATAACAGTCTGATAGGTAAGAGTAGGATAAGTGGCATGAGTTGAACAGTTACCCTGGAAACCAGCTATGCAGTGTGGATGGCCTGCCGACCAGGTTGAGGTTGTTGGCTTTGTAGACAGTCAGGGTTTCATGGACATAACCATGAGGGTTCACGTATGCAGCCATGGGCCCGTACAGAGAAAGGCTGCAGGCAGACGAGAGGCAGGTAGAATATGTCATCAGCACTTAGATAAACTGTCATCAGTCAACACAAATGATCTAAATGTTCCTTCGTATGAAAGAATATAACACACTGATTAGAGACCGGCGGGGGGAAAAAAAGCCTTTAAATTATAGTTTTAAATTCTGCAGCCTCTGTGACCCTGGCAGTGATTTAACAACTGTTTAAATCAGACTCTTTTCATTCTTGTGATGCAGGAGTTTTTCTAAAGACATCGTCTTTGTAAGTTTTGTGGGGTTTGGATGAGGACACTGAAATATTGAAACTGATAATTCAGAGTGGAAAAGTAAGTAAAAGATGCTATGACCAATATTCATCCATACTAAATATAGATTAATTAATTATATTCAAAGTTCAACAAGGTACTCGATTGGTTAAACCCATAGACTATATATAGAATGGATGCCGTCTGCCTCCTCGCTGGGTGAAGCCACCCCGAGAACAGCACCCTCTGGTGACAGGCTGCAGTATAGGTCATAAATCCCGCCTCTTCCAGCAATCCCTATGGAGCTGTGGACAAACTTTAGAAATTTATTACACAGAATATAATTTTGTTCCCCCCCTGGTTGGGATGTTGACATGTAGTTACTATAAGACTGATTTGTGCTCCAGCCCTCTTTTTTCTGTGCAGCTCCATTTTTAAAAGTTTTTAGGGGGTTCATGTTTTCTATTATTGACACATGATACAGCCTATTGGCGTGCGAGGATTGAGCAGCTCACCCAGGGGATACGCTGTTTGAGCAGAGCGTCATCACAGCGACTCGGCGACTCTTCCACCGAATACGTACAATGCTACTCCACAAGTGGTGGAGTGCGTACAACGCTACTGTGCAATGTTGGAAACCCGGAAAACCCAGAAAATACCAAGAGCTTTTTGGCTTCAAATCCATATACTGGCAGAAGGCAGAACCAAGTTGTCCATAGTATATACAGTCTATGGCTGAGACACATATCATTGTTTTTGAGTGATGACCCACAATGTTACTTTTCTGGCACCTATTTGCCTCTCCTCAAGTGTGCTTTGAACTCCAAATTGTGTCAAAAACACATTCACTTTCTGACACTTCATCTGGATGTCTTCAGATTAAACAGGTTACGCAATTTTCCTCTGAACACACAATGTGAAGGTCTGGACACCTTCAGTGGTGTCAGGGGTTTTGTGTGTCCCTCCTAGACCAACGCATGAACCTTCAGACATCATCAGCGAGAAAATTATATTATGTAACAGTCTGCTCAAGTGTGTGTGTTCACTCTGACTTTAGAAGTGCAATAAAGAGAGGAGAGGAAAGTCAGTATTGATTTGGCGGTGAGTAAAATTATAGCCATGATTGTCGTGCATGTCTTTTTGTTGGCGGAGCACCATTGTAAAACCGTCTTAATGTGTTTTTCTTAATCCTCACAGTTCAAACAAAGAACAAGAAAAGGTAAAAGTAAATCGTCTCAGCTCAGGATCTTACAAAAGTTCTTTGCTGATTAATATCAGAGGGAGAAAATCGATACAGCTCAGAGTTTTTAGCTCTTGTCAAAATCGGTTCCTTGTGATGTAAAATAGCTGCTCGTTCCCCTGATTACAGAAAACAGACGAACTCAAAGACTTGTTTCAGCTTTAAGTCAAACAACAAGCTTCAAGTGTAATACTTAGAGTGATGAATGACATAAACTAACGCCAAGTCTAGTCCTGTTTGTATTAAACTTGTGTTAAAAATCAGGGGCACTAAAATTGGACTGAGTATCTAAGACCCTTGGCTAATAATGGCTCAGTAAACGCAAGTGAGCAGCCATGGATGTGAAGGGGCCTGAAGTAAAAGGCCCTGTGCATTATGAGCTACTTATTGATACTGCCATGTGAATAAATGATGCAGTGAGAAAAGAAAACAACACAAAACAGAAAAACACATCTTCAAAAGAAAGAGAAAAAAAATCCTCACCTGAAGATTTCATTTTTTGTGGTGATTTCTGTGTCCTGGCACTGCTTACAGCACAATGATGTGCACTAAGGAGGAGGAAAGGAAGAAGACTGTTAAGACTGTTATGAGGACATATATATGCTAGATGTTCTTCAAGAGCTCTTAAGGATGAATGAAGACCCTATCTCATCAGCTTATCCGTCCATTAAGCTCCCACTCGCCACTCACTAGCTGACACCCGGACAGGCCTTTTGTAAGATCCACTATAGTGACTTATTATCCTTGAGTAAGGCAGGTACTAGCCCGTTAATGAAACACTTGAAACATATGTGTAGAGATATGGTTCTAGAATTACATATTAGAACCTGCTGAGGCAGACTTTTCATCTTTTATTTGCTCCCTTTAAGCCACCAGAGCGTAACTTTCATCACAAAGAGATTCAATTTCACCTGATATATACCTCATATGTTTGTATAGTGTAATTGTCAGCATAAAGTGCTCCAAACCTGCAAAGGGCTTCAAACAACCATAAGAAGTATTTCTTTCTGGCTCTGCTGCTTTTTTTTCTCATCTTTATTTGCAAAATCCTGTTATTGCGGACAAATTTTAATTTTCCTGTTAGTCAATATTATCGATCAGCCTTTTATGTAACTTTTCATGGTTTGGGAATACTTCCCAAAGTCTAACTAAATGTTGAGGTCTATATACAGTTTTAGAGGAAAGCACACAGTTGAGGTTGTCAAAACTCATTCTTAGACGCAACATTCACCATTTCACAAAAGAGTACTGCTGCAACTATCTGTCTGTCTCTGTCTAGACACTGCCTTGGTCTTGCGTTGTAATTTTGCTTTCATTGTGATGATTATTCTTTCTACCAAATGATACGACATAGCATTCATCTCCTGAAAAGATCTGGTCGTAGTAAAAGACTGGCTTGATGTTTTGGTTCTATGTTAATATGAATTGTTCGCATGCTGTACAGCCTGCAGTGTGGGTCCAACCTCACCTTTGGGTTAATCACCTCAAGCAAACCATGAATATCATCACTTTGTGGGCACAAGGGTCTTACCACTGTAGAAGTCACCTTGTTAATGACCGACGTCTGCTGTGTGAATAATGCTCTTGTAGGGAACATTCACTAAATGTGCCTTTTTGCAGACCAACCATGAGGGATTGCTTGTGTATAAAGTATATTATAACAGTTTTGTTCGTAGGATAAAATCCAGCTTTCAGAGCTAACATTAAATGATCTCTAAACACTTAGGCTGAAAGATCACAGCAGCCTCACATCCGTCAGCCCAGTTCAGGCAGAGTTAAATATACCACAGAACCTCAGTGGGGAAAAACAGACCCTGTTAAACAAAAGAGGGGACGTCAGATCTAGATCTTATCACAGAACAAAGGGGAAGATGGTGTTTGTGCTATGGTGTTAGGTGAGGAAGGGTTCGGTGTGACCTGTCCTTACCCGGTCCATTATGTCTAGCTCACAGCGAAGTCTCTGAATGGCACTGCCGATCTTCAGCAGCTGGAGCCGTAGAGCATCGTCTATGGGTAGACAGGCCGCCACTCTGTAGGAGAAGTCTGACAGAAACCAGACAGGCAGAGAAGAGAGAAGGATGAGGAGGAAGGACAGAAGGCACAAAGAACGCAGCAGTACGTGTGCATATGTGTATGCCTCTGCTATCCATCTGTAACACACTGAACAGGGGCTGACCTATGGCGTTCGTCGGGAGGGAGTCATCCTTCAGATTCTCGTCCCATTCATGGAGCTGTTTCTTCACCCTGTTCATGAGCGACTCCTGTAACATGAAACACAGGAGGATGATCTGCTGGTTTACATTCACTCCCATGATGTTTACATGCAGTGGAAATTCTGTACAATGCATATGGGCCCTGGTACTTACAGAGTCATAGAGAGCATAGACCCAGGGTGGCCATGGTGTCAGACTGGCACTATGAAACTTCCTCTGTGATGAAAAACAGACACGCTATTAACAAATTTAATCTACAGATAATGATTACTTAAAAGTTTCTCTTCCCAAATCATGCTGCTATTTCGGACTTACCCTTCCTCCTAGCTTTTACTTCGCACTCACTCTGTTAAGGGTCGGTTTCGACCTGTGTCTTAAATCATCTGTAAATTACACTAAAAAACATTTCTCTATCATCCAATTTGGTTCTCATCTCTAGGTTACCTTGTTAGGCTTCATTATCCGTGTCTTAAATCAGCTGTAAATTACACTAAAAACAATTTTCTATCATCCAATTTGGTTCTCATCTCTAGGTTATCTTGTTACGCTTCATTATCCGTGAAAATATTGCTGATAATATTGTTTGTTGTGGTCCTCTGGGCCTTTCTTTGTCAGTATACCCCTCATACAGACATCAATACTGAACTGATCTCACATGTCTGGACATGCCTGACGTTGTTTTTTGTGCAGGGAAAAAAATAGCAAAATGAGAATTTTTCTGGAATTATTAGATATTAACCTAACTTGGTCAACAGCGACCCTAACACGACAAGTGCCATGATTTTAATAAGAGTATTTTATAATTTAGTCAAATTAATTTTTTATTTTTTATTTTGTTGAAATATAAGTTCCTGACAAAAGTCAAAAAGTCTTGATGCAAAAAAGCTAATTTAAGTGATTTTTTTTTTTTTTAAACAAAAACAGGTCGGTGCAGACCCTAACACGGGAGGAGGGTTACACAACATGTCTAACAGTGAGTGAGGATCCATACATGAAATCCAAACACTGACTTTTCCCTGTGAATTAAGTCCTCTACTTCTATGGTAGGGCTCTTTCACCTGGTGCCAAAGAGTTACAAACGCTAATTGTTTCAAGTATAGATGCATAATTAAGAAATCATTTACCTGCAATTAATAGCCCTGACTAAAGAAAATAAAGGTAAACAAATTAAATGGACTGTCTGCACACTTCTGGTAATTGAATCAATAATGCAAACACAACTTCATTATCTCTCAAATTAATTGATTACTTAGTTAATAATATTTCTTGAACTCCATGAGGTGGTGTCAGTGCATTGCCTTGAGTTGACTGTATATCTATCTAGATCACAAAGACGTATAAATATCCTCTCAAACAAACAAACTCAGATAAATCTTGTTGAATCTGTAATAAATAAATGATCTGGATTGTTCCAAGTTTGGTTTTAGTCCTTCCGACAATTTATCAATTAAATAATTGTATCACATCCCATATTTACATATTGTACTAATTCAGGAAATACTGTGTGGTGGCATTTTTGAGACTTATGGATTCAATAAGTCAGGTGAATTTTGGTCCCTTCATTGGGTTCTTAAAGCAACTTTAACCTTTCATGATTATACCTTTGAGAATTCTGCACCTCACAGAAGTTCCTCCTATCTACCAGAACCTGCTGTGTTAACACAACATTATGTAATCTGTGACGCAGTTTGTTGACAGAGAGTTGAGAAGCAGGTCCTGGAGGACTGCAGCAAATGGTCCAAGATTTAGAGGACACAGCCAAGTCCAACATATGTGGCACAGACATTTCATGCAAGGGAGGAAGGACGTCTTATATGGCGAAGCACTTGTGAACAGCATAATGTGATTTGAAGGAATGCGCAGATGTGCTGCTGTCTCCTGTTTACAGAAATGCCACTGCTCATGGCACCAGCTATACGAATATTCGTCCACACTCAGGTACAAAACACAGCCGGTTTACTATTTATACTATTAATTGGTACCATTTATGTTGAGCTAAACTAATCACTTTTACAAATATTTCAAATATTTTTGTCAAATACAAGTTCAGAGAGCACCCCTTGACCATATGAGGAGACATTGTGGATTAATATGCAATTAAGGGCAAAGTGAAAACTGTGCCCCCTGCAGTGACAAGAAACGGTGATGAGGTTACACCCCTTTTCCACGATCGAGTCACCAACATTTAGATATTCAGATTTACTCTTATCTGGTTATTTATGGGGCTATCCACAGATTTGGGTCTTGCTTGATATCATTATGTGCTGAGATTTGTTCATTAGGTATTTGTTGTTGTACTACACCTTACACATAATGGACTTGAAATCAAGAATCAATAAGAATCAACAACCAGATCCAATTATTAGTATGTTAACACTAAGAGTACGAGGTCAACAACTGGAATAGTATGTAACCTTGTGAAACTGCTCAATCAAGACTGTTCAAATATGTCTTGCTCGATGATCAGCTGTGTTGTCTTTATGAGTTTGTCAATGTAAAATTTAACATCTAATAGCACATGATCATTTACATGACTTGAACAAAGAACTCCCCAAAAGACTTCATATGTATTCAGACATCAAATTAACACTGAAACTGTTCTAATTATTAAACAGGGCTAAGACTAAGTCATGTAAGACTAAACAGGGTATATACTGGGCCTGCGCAACTTTTCTGTAGTGACAAGATACATTTCATACAGTTGCTGCACTGGTGTGTTGTGTGTCTGACCTGTTGGTAGTTATTCCACCAGCACTGGGCCTGTTTGCAACTCTGAGTTGGGGGTTTGGGCGAGCCTGTTTGCACATGGAGCCTGGAGAAGGTAGTGAGCTGTACGACGGAGAGGGGATCTGGAAGGATTCGTTCTGGAAGAATCTGTACTTTGGCTTGCCTGATCCTGAGGAGAAAAACAAACAGACACAATGACACAGGTAGAGGAACAAAAGACAGGCACGGAGGGAAGTGTGAACGAGAGCACAGGAGTGAAATGGAGCAGATGAATAACAGATTAAACAAATGGTGGACCGGCTAAATATTAGCTGGTGTGTGACAGGATGTTTGTAAATCTAAGACGATTATAAAAAAAGAGGCTGTCTGTGTATTGTACATAGCAGCAATGAGGACTATTCCTCCAACCTCCTAACTGGGCGCACCCAGTGAACTTCCTGACACCCGGTCATGCAAGCATTCATAAATAAACAACCAAATAGCCATAAAAATCTATTAAGCTGTATCCAAAAGATATTATGCAGTTTAAAAAGTAAAACCATTCAGTGTTGGCTATTGTGTTGGCACTGAATTTCACTGAAATGTTTGTTTTTGTGGTATGATGGGTGAACAAAAACCAGCAGCCTCATCTGGTCTCCTCACACCATATCACGTCACATACAGGCACACAGAATGGGTATTATTTTTTCTCATGAATACTAAAAACAAACTACAGCTTAACTCATGGAAAAAAAAAAGAAAATCACTTCTATGTCACCTTTAAAGACAAGTGACAACTGGTAAAGCCTGGCCAAAAACTCTTATGCGTAAGAGACTATAGATCTGCACTCTTCATGTATGAACATGTAGCGGTGTTTGTAGTTCACCTAGATGACTGTAAGTAGAGTTGGTCTGCCCTCTAGCTGTCAGCTAAGGGAGCAGCACTTAAGGAAACACTGATCTGTTGACTCAAAGTATTGGGAGCACAAAAAGATGTGTGGATTGTTATCACCACTAACATGGACTGACATTACAGACAAGACCACCTTTCTGCTCTACAGACTTAGTTCAGTTATTAACAGAGAATAATGGAATAATTCGAATTGAAACCTTGAGTGCTGTAGGTCCTTGCAAAAAAAAAAAAAAACGTTCTTGTTTCATAGTAAAACTGATATTCGTGTGAAATCTATATACATTTATTAAACCTTGAACTTTGATTTCACTTTTTTTCTTGGTAATTCAACTCACCCGTCTGCTTGAGTTCTGATCTCATGGACCTTAAATCTCTGCCTCCCCACAGCTTTTACTTTAACAGTTTCGATTCCATATTCCTGCTCCTCTCGATATGCATAGATTTCAGCTGTTGTCCCAAACTCTGCCTGTGGGTCACCAGAATCCCTACAGAGAGATATTTCACAGAAGACAGTTGAAAATTAAAATACAAAAACACTTTAAAATCATCTCTGAAGATATACTTGAAAGGTTTGGTAACAATATCCTTATTTTGACTCTATTGACTAAATTAAACCCCAAACCCTGGATACCTCATCCTTCAAAGAAGATGTAATGAAGTTGCAATATGCACAACACTGTGACCTCATGGGACCTTATTTTACTAAAGCATGGTTACATACACAAATATTTTAATATACATTCATCAAATTTATGCCAACTAACATACTTTGGATTTTTTTAAACTCTTAAGGGACATTCTGGGGTAAAATTAATTTAGGGTCAAACACACCATAACATCAAGTTAGACACCCCCTCAAGAGATGAATGTTGCCGACCGCTTGCTTCTCTAGTTATACCAACTTTAGTATCGACCGCAGGATAGCAATACACAGCGGTCTGAGGAGCCATAAACAAACCTCAACCAAAAAGCCACTCTATAGCCACAAATAATGCTCAGAACAGCACCTAACTTCATCAACAGTACATATAGGGTCTTAGCCACAGCACTAGATACCAAGCATCTTTATAGTTTTGCATAATTTCTTTAGCAAAGAGACTAAACACAACTCACCTACTCTCTTCCAGCAGCCGCTTGTTTGTAGCAAGACCTCGAGAGTAGGTGAGTCGATCATTTAATAATAATAATAATAATAGATTTTATTTGTAACGCACTTAACATTTAAAAACAAATCTCAAAGTGCACAACAAGACAACAATAACAGTAAAAACCAAGCAACAGGGCAAAACAATAAAAAATAGTCAGCATAAAAAACAGTCAGCAGATAAAATCAGATAAAATTAGTCTGGGTAGGCTTTCCGAAAGAGGAAGGTTTTGAGTCCTTTTTCAAAAGCATCCACCGACTGTTTGACAGTTTACTGTTGCTCTCGCTCTTTCATTTTTTCTGTTGCTTCTTCTGTCCAGCTTTCTCTCGCTCACTTGGAGTCAGTGATTAGCCTGTGAAGTTTGACCCAACTGACTTTTTTATTTCTCTCCTCTGCCCCCAGATTTTGTTTTCTGTTAATACATATAGAAATCATACAGCGTGTGGGAATATTAAGAGTGGTTTTTGATAAATTTGTGGAAGGGATCCACTTTTGGATGGTTATTACTTCAAGAAAATGATAAAGAAATGATCATAAATGTTCTTCCTTGAGCTGCATCACTCTGCAGCAGTCCATAATGGATTAGCCAGAGATCTCACTACAAACAAGCAGCTGCTGGAAGAGAGTAGGTGAGTTGTGTTTAGTCTCTTTGCTAAAGAAATCAGTCAAAGTCAAAGTTTGGTGGCTACTGCTGTGGCTGGGACCCTATATGTACTGTTGATGAAGTTAGGTGCTGTTCTGAACATTATTTGTGGCTATAGAGTGGCGTTTTGGTTGAGGTTTGTTTATGGCTCCTCAGACCGCTGTGTATTGCTATCCTACGGTCGTTACTAAAGTTGGTATAACTAGAGAAGCAAGCGGTCTGCAACATTCATCTCTAGAGGGGGTGTCTAACTCGGTGCTATGGTGTGTTTGACCCTAAATTAATTTTATGCCGGAATATCCCTTAAAGTCAGTCCATTAAACCCCATGACACCATCAGACTTATTTTCTGAAAATTTCTCCTGAAATGATCGCAAAAGTACTCAGAGCCATTTCATACCTATGAGCAAGCACAGCAAAGGTGCGGTCTTTCTGAATGATACTCCGCATCATGCTGACCTCCTGTGGCCTGAAGAGCTGTAGAGGCAGAGTCTGACCTGGCACCAGCATCACAGCTGTGTGTGGCAGCACAGGGATGGTCTGACAACTGTCATCATCATGGACTGTGCGGCCATGAAACTCTTCCATGTCTGAGCCAAGGTACTGTTGACACACAACATAACATGAGCACAACAGCTGCTGGAGCCAACTTTACAGCTCATCTGACAGCTACAAAAACACCCTTTGAGGGTTAAACTGCTCTTGTATGTTAGTTAAAGTGGAAACTGTCATTGTTTGAAGAGAGTGACAGCTGTGTTCTCACTCACAGCATGTGAAGTGGGAAGACTGGGGTCAAAGGTGATGATGTTTGGCTTCTCTGCGTCTTCACTGTCTCGGTCCTCAGTCTCCATATCATCTTCCTCCTCCTCTGCCTCATTGTCTGTCACAGTACGGGAAGCAAAAACGCATCAAGTGAGACTGGTTATATCGCTTAAACTAAATCTTAAAGCCGCACCTGCACCATCTTTATAAGTGTCTCTCACGTTAAAAACAGAAAAGAAACCGAAAGCAGAGGATCTTGAAAATAAACCAGTCAGGATGAGAGTGGCCTGTTGTGAAAATGTGTTAGCTAGCAGTTCGCAAACACAAGAAATAAACGCCCCTCGCAGTGAAACACAAACTCACAGACTCACCTATCAGTCAGGGAGTTTGTCTGTTACCTGGTAAAAGCTGAAGCTGGTTCCCCATGTTGTCGTCTATGTTGTCTTCACCTCCACCCCTCTCGTCAGCCATATCCCTGTGTTTACAATACTTAATCTTCTTCTGCGGTATTCTCACTGTGCAACACCAACACTGATCCAGCGCGCCCCCTGACGATGTGTCTCGACGAAAACTGTCTACTGAGGGGACGTTTTCCACGATTTCTCAATATTTTTTTCGTTTATGCAGATCAATACTTTAAACTTTCTTTTTATTTTTTTTTTGGAGGAAAAGAGAAACACACAGGCAGCGCATCTGTTTGAGAGGTGAACTCATTAGTACGGAGGCCGAGAACCGCCACTGCTGCAAATAAAAAAAGAAAGAAAAGAAGTCACAATGGAAGTTACTAATGCAAAAAAAAGAAAGAAAAAGAAACCGAAGCTCGTTGCAAATAAAAAAAAAATACGGTGCAGATAAAAAAGCCACAACAGAAGTTAATGATGCATAAAAATTAAAAAAAAAGTGGCGATGGAAAAAAAAGTTTCTTACTGTGAAAATAAAGGGATGCAAATAAAAAAAAGGCACATCAGAAGTGAGTCGCCAGGGACCAATAATGATGATGCACTGGTATTTTACGATTTAGGCAGAGAAGACGACGGCGAGAAGACAAGCGAAGAAGTTAGTGGAAAGGTTATTGTTTAATTTCGCTTCATAAACTTTTCAATGTGTCGTTTGGTTAGACCATGTAGCGCCTGAGTCGATATGAAGTCGAACTGAAGCTAACACTACACCGGCATCCTCCAGTTCAACTTCATAAACTTTTCAATGTGTCATTTGGTTAGGCCATGTAGTGCCTGAGTCGATATGAAGCGAAATTAAACAATAACGTCTTCTCGCCGTTGTCTTCTGTGCCTAGATCGTAAAACACCGGTGCATCATAATTTTTGGTCCCTGGCAGCTCACTCCCATTGTGGCTTTTATTAATTGCATCCTTTTATTTTTGCAGTAAGTAACTGTTTGTTTGTTTTTGCATTACCACTTTTTTCTTGCATCATTAACTTCCATTGTGGTTTTTCTGTTTTTTTATCTGCAGTGTTTTTTTTTTTTTTTTTTGCAGCAGGCTTCGGTTTCTTTTTTATTTATGCATCAGTTACTTCCGTTGTGGTTTCTTTTTTTTATTTACGACATTACCGGTTCTCGGCCACCGTACATTAGTGTTTACCTTTAAATCAGTCAAATCCCCCGGATCAGTATAATTGTCCAAAATCTTATCAGATTGACACATGTGCAGGAAGATTTGATAACTTTAGAGGGCAATCAGAGGGGTAGGGCTATGTCTCAGTGGAGTTTATGAGTAATGTAAAGTCTGAATATTTCACCTTACCACCACATGATGGAGTAAATAGCTGTCAATCCCTGAAGTAGAAAAATACTGACAAATGAAACTTTCGTTAAGTAAAAGCAAACATTCCAGATTAGTTATAAAAGAAGTATAGTAATCTGTACATTGATTTTTACAGTCTTATTTGTTGTTTTTATGAAAACATTCACAAGTTTCTACTTTTATATCAACAACTGTACAATTATAAGGGAAATACAATGTTACTGCCCTTGGTGATGTGAATGGAATAGGTCAATACAGATAGGTGCTTAAAGCTCCTGTGGGGAACTTTAATTTTGTGTTAATTTTGGCACTTCCTGTGGACAAATGTGTCTTTTCCAGTCTTGTCCAAATGTTAAGTGGTGATTTTTCACAAAACTCTCATCCTGCTGGCAAACAACAGTCAATTTGCAATAGAAAATGTAAAGTATATGCAGTTTTTGCTATGTGCTGGTTAACACTCTTACAAACGCCTACCCAGCTGTAGTAATTTTGTACATTGAAATTAATTATCCAGGAATGATAAATGTTGTTTTGATTATCTTGTTTGCTTTCTTAGGTCTTCAGAGAGGCATCTGCATTAATTTTGGTCTGTTTGACAACCAGATGAAAACTCCTTTCAGGAGCTTTAAATAAAAGCCTCTGACATTAGTGTGAATATGCAGGCCCAATGTAGAGGCACTTTTACCGGTCAGAAGACTGGAGAATGGGCTAGTATGTTTACCATTTAAGTGCCATTTGCCAGGACAGACTGTAATTAGAGCAAAATCCTACTGGTGCCAGGGTCCTAACCAACTTGAAAGGATTACATAGTTTGTATTGAACAGTACTGCTAAAATATCCAAGCAGTAACTTTAGTTGAATTTCAAAGGATCCTCCAAACTGTTAACAAGGGGAGGCACATAGGGAAGCAAGTAAGCAATGTAAACAACCTTATGAATTGAAGTCTGAATTTCCAACCAAATAGAACACATTGAAGCATATTTGAAAAGTAGCAAGACCTGCCCTCAACTTTTTAGCTGAAGTGTTAAAATAAGTGCCATTTATGTTTTCAATGTGTTGTCACACTGTGCTTCCACTGGCACACTTTAGTTTGCTCAAGAGCAAAAACTTCATATTCAAACTAATTTTAGTATTCTGTGCTAGATGACTCATCCATCGGGAGTCACAAGAGCAACTGGTTTATATCTTAATGAAATTTTATCCTCTGTCAAGAAGAAATGCAGTTTTTAACTCCCTACAGCCATTTACCATAGTTTGAATTTAAAATAAGGCATTTTCTGCTGTTTAACTGTTATGACAGTTTCAACATTTTACTCATTTGTATTTGCAGCCCAATCGCAATAATTGGTACTCTAGTCCTTTAGTAGAAAATTTAACCCTGTAACAAGCTTATGAAAACACTCATTTCAGTCCAGTACTCTTATAGTGATGGAAAACGTAAGGATATAGTACTCCCTTCAAACTACAAAACACAAATTTGACAGTTGAAATCCCCAGTAATTTACATTCAGAGGCTGAAACTTTAACTTTTTAAACAGTGTACATTTATTGTTCAATACACCACATGAAGGTTAAGAAACATTTATTATGGTCCATGAACAGGTCAGCTTTAGTTCTGATGTTGAGAGACTGTCCAGTGTCTGCCATCTTCCATTCAGGTGTCCACAGCTTGCCCAGTTAGAAGCGCAGTCATCTGATTGAGGTTGGAGGCATTTCTCCGCCGATGGATGTTTCAGTCATCTGAAGAGGCTTTGACAGAGGCACAACTGACAATGATGAGGGCTTACTTTGACCTCTGCCTCATCTTTCGCCTTTTACGCTTCAGCCTGTCAAGAACCCAACACACAGCAGTTTTAGGCTAAATACAGGAGTTAATCACAGCTCTAGACAAACAGAAACAAATTTTTAACAAAAGACCCTACGCCTGCCAGTTATTTAAGGCTAGGGCCCGACCAATATGGATTTTTTTGGGGCCGATGCATATTAGGGGAAAAAAAAAAAAAAAGATTACCAATTAAAATCGACAAATTTTAAACTGCTCTTAACGCCTACAGAAAGACCGACTGATAAAACTCGGACCAGAAAAGCGTTTTCAAATAGTTGGTGGATGAAGACTGTCAAGAGGTCGCTGCGCCATCTACAGGATAAGTCGGAACTTTTCAAATGGCGGAACAATTTTGAGGTGAAACATAATTTTATTTGCCGCATTTTATTTCTGAAAATACCAGCAAAAATCGGCGAGTTTTGGCTGATTACGGATAAGTCTCCAACTGGCTACAATTGGCTGATTTAATCGTCTCGCCAATAAATCGGTCGGGCCCGATTTAGGACAGATATTTAAGTTATTTAAGCCAGTTCTTTAAGCCTGCCAGTTACTTATGTATTATTTTCAGGTGTCGTCACCAATTCTGGGGTTTTCCACCTTATCTATACAACAATTGAACCCACAGCAATTTACATGGCGCAGCTTTTACAGTCTTTGTCAGCGTTTTATGGAACAGTTAATGACAAATTCTGAGTTAAGTTTCAGCCAGACAGCTTCTTGGTCACCTTGCAAAGGTTTCAGAGGTTATTTCAGATTCATGTGGAGGAACTAACTGGTCGTATGATATCTGACAAGATTTCACACCATCAAGCCTGTCTTACAAAAACTAAGCATCTTTAAAAATAATTTTCTCATAGTCAGCTTAAGAATAACATGCTTTACACTATACATCAGTTCTGCTATTTTATGAACTGATTCCTGACACATTAGACTGAAGTTGGGGTCTCAAACTTCATGTGCAAAGCTCTTCCATGTCAGACTTGACCATAGGATAGATTACTATGAAGATACATTTAACAGACCACCATAATGAACTCAAGCATTGTAAATAGCACCACTGAGTTAAATGTCACTTCAGTTTAGTTTTTGTTTCACCATCATATGCACCAGAAGCCTGTACACCGGATCTTTAGTGGAGTGCATGGAAAATATCACATGTGAGGCAACTGAGTATGAATACAAATAAACGAGTTCTTACCTGCGCATGCGCTTCTTCCTCCACTATAATGACAAAAAAAGCATTTTAGTCAACAATTATCAGTCATACTTCACATGTCTGGCCCCCTATTTAACAAATTTACTGATCAATATCACGTGGTGGTACCCATAAACTACATAGACCATAGAACAGCACACCTAGGTTAGGGTACGGCATTGCTAACACTACAGCGTGCATTAAAGCGGGAACTTTAGCAGCAACATTATGAACTGAACCCTAATTTTAAGAGAAAAATTGATTCAAGGGTTAAACAGGAGTAATATAGTTAAAGAAAACTGCAGAAAAGACAAAATAGGGAGCATAATTCTAATCCTAACGCCGAGGGACTGTGTAGAGCAGCCCATTAGCAGTGATTCAGTTGTTAGCTAGTAGCATTAACTGAATCAGGAAATAACTTTGAAGGATTGGTCAACTCACCTTGGCTCTCATCGTGTGGAGAAGTTTCTGTGAAAATAAGACAGATTGGACCGTTAATGGCTGTGGATGACTTAGAAAATGTGGTGATTGATTAGGATTGAGTATGCAGTGAAGTGGTTTTCCGTACCTCAAAGCGAGAAGAGCAACGGAAAGAGGATGTGACGATGTAAAATGGCGTTATTTATACGTTTAGTGACGTCAAACTCGGCATGTTAACTGGTTTGTTGGGAAATGTAGTTTCAATACCCCAATTTCTGTCACAGTATTTTAGAATTGAAATTTGCTTCGATAAAACAACAGTTTCGCAATTTACATTCCTCTCTAAAAGGTCCGGTCAAATGTTTCATTCAGTGGAAGCTACCAGGCCCTCTGTTAAAAAAGACTGTACTTATTTTAACACTTACAACGAAAACGCAATATTCACGACAGATATAGTTGTGATGGGTTTTACAGTGTTGAAAACAGAGGCTGACAAAAAGCAGTTTGGTAGACACAATGACGGTATTGACACATTTTTAAAGGGGATGAAGTCCTTCATCTATTTAACATGAATGGGCCATAAGAAAACCTATTCTGAAGTTGTTTGCGATGTAATAAAAGAGACTGAGATATATGGGAGACTGGGGTAAGTTGAGCCAAAGGGTAAGTTGAGCCACCCCCTGTTGCTTGGAAATGGTAAAAGAAATTGATCATGTGACCAAATATTTAGGAGATGAGCATCAATTCATGGAGTCTGTGAAGGTTAGAAGTACATGGGTGAAGGGGTTAGACATTTATTTCCAAAAGAGTACGTAATTACTCATATCCTAACCCTGTAAACTGAATTCATTCTGTTTCACCATTACATGAGCTGTTGTTGTTGTTGCTGTTGTTACTGCTATCCCGTCTCTCTCTCACCCTTGTTCTCTACTCTCTCTCCCTCCCTCTCCTTACTCATTCTCTCTCTCCTTCCCCTTAACTTGTTCTCTCTCTCTCTCTCTCTCTCTCTCTCTCTCTCTCTCTCTCTCTCTCTCTCTCATGGTGGCTGTCTGGCATGAGTCTGGTCCTGCTCAAGGTTTCTGCCTGTTAAAAGGAAGTTTCTTCTTGCCACTGCTACTCATGTCAGATGAAATGGGCCAAAACCCATCTTAGGTTGGTTCTTGATCCTCAAACAATGAGAGTGGTCCAGACCTGCTCTTGTTCTTTGAAAAGCATCTTGGGATGACGACTGTTGTGAATTGGCGCTATATAAATAAAATTTGATTGATTGATTGATTGATTGATTGAACAAAAAAAACATTTTTTACTCGAGAGTGAATTTAGTCTGTCGTAAATTTTATTAGAATTGTGTTCAGACCAAAAAAAGATCATTTCAAATTTGTTATATACATCAATTGTGGTATCTATGAGCTACAACATGAGGTCAAAAACCAACATAAAAGTCCACCATTTTAGCCTAGAGGACTGATAAAGTCATCATAGTAGTTCTGGGGTAAGTGAGAAAGTAAAGGAGTCTGATGAGAGGATCAGAGTTTCAGTTCAGATTGTTGAAATATGTTACTTTTTCTTTTAAAAAATACAGCTGTGAATGTTCAAAAATAATTCAAAAAAATATTGTACCAGTTGAATAGTGTATAATAAATAAAAGTGCACATGAATGTGAAGATGTGACTGTTAATTAGGGAGAGAGCAAGTGAGGGAGGGCTGGTGTGGAGAGTGGGAGGGGTAGTACGGATATGACTCAACTTACCACTTTTTTTTTGGCATGCTATATTATCAAGACAGTTATGTTTACACTCATTTTGTTGGTTTGCAGGGATGCACAACATCTTGAAATATATGCAGATACACTAGTTAAGAGTCAAAACTATGATTGCCTTGATGTAGTGATCAGAAATATGAAAAATGTCTCATCTGACCCCACTCTCCCCTCACTTCCTCAGTGAGGTTATCCAGAATTCTTATTTTTTTTAGGCATGGATCAAAATACACATATTGTTCTGCCCAACAGATAATCAATATTTTGTCAATTTAAGCTATGGAGTCCCATAATTGCCTGTTATAGTTTGGTCACAAATTTTAGTAATAAATCCTGAGTACGCATAAATATGTCCGCAATTTGTGTGAACATTGTGTTTGTCATGAAGAAAACCTTTAAAAAGTCTTTCTTGTGGCTCAAATTGAACAAAATAAAAGTAAGGTGACTAATTTATGTTTCAAAAATCAAACCTTAATGTTTCTTGTGCAAAAATGAAGTAGCTGGGGTTAATAGACTAAATATACAGAGATAAAGCATGTGGTAATTGAGCAATCTGAGGTTTGACTTAAATAATCAGAGGAAGCAGATTTGTATGAAAATGTTTTTATTTCATAGATGTAAAGTTCCATTGCCCAATGACTGAGCTACAAAGCAGGATTTTACTTTTCTCAACATATTCAACTGTTGACAAATATGACCCTACACTGTCCCAGATCTGAAGATAAAACTCCGACCTGAAATGTTCTCAGTGGTCCATGACAACACCCATGAAACCATCTTTAAAAGCTTTATTAGCTTCACTTTTCATGCTTCACAAGACTAATGACGTATTAAAGCGAGAAACAGGTGTGACTAATAAAAAAGTTGTTCAAAATTGGAACATTTAGGGTTTCTATCTTTTCATAAAATTCAAAGGGAATGGCAGTAAATGTAGCAGAGTTGTTCCCTAAAGTCAAGCTGTCAAACTAGCTTGTCGACTCAAATGTGTTCCAGTCTTTTGTTCGGGTTATTGCTTTAACAAAATCTAGTGGAGATAAAACATTAGCTTTAGCCTGAGGCATGGCAAAAAAAAAAAACCCTCCCTACATTATCATCAACTTTTCTAATATAATCCCTGTAATTACTTTAGTTCTATCATTTTTCTTTGTCATTTCATGAGTGAGACGCACTTATAGTATAACCCTTTACTGCATGATTTTAATGGTTCGAATATTGCCAAGATTTTTTCAAATGCTTTTACCTCTTGTTTCACTAAAAAGAGTTGACAAAGTGCTAATAAATTTTCCACAAAGCATTTGATCAGATAAGATTGTTTTCACTTGTTGCCAAAGGGAAACGGTGTAATGATTCAGCCGTGATCCCATTTTAGCAACAGAACCCAAGACGACTCAGTAAAGAAAAAAAAAATAACATATGCAAGTATCTGGTGGCATCTTTTCAATAATCTCTTATCTATGCTTGAATCAGAAGAAAAAGCCTGATCCACTCCTTTTCATGCCCACTGTTAGCTGCAGCTGCATATAAGAAGGACCTAAGGATTTTAAAATAGGCACAGATTGCACATTTAAGCCTTTGGCAGCAAGACTTCTGAGAGATGTTACACTGTAGCTTCATACTTCTCACTCACATTGGGTAAGAAAAATATGAGATACTTTACTCTGACTCTCTCCAGATGCAGTAAAGGGTTAAGAATACATGAAAGATATTGAAATATTTATTAAACATCAAAGTTTCTGTGTTGAAATCAGGAACTCGCCTCTAATTAGGTTTGTAATGGACAGAGCGCTTTGGGCAATTTGTCATGTTCCTTCTTGCTTCTCTTTGGGGTCTTGCGCGTGTGAAAAGGCAGCTATTCATTAATTTATTATTTATTCTACAGCTTCTGTTTCCTCAGTTGGCTGTCCAGTCGCATTCTCTGCTGTCTTTGAGGCCTGCAGGATAGGAGAAAAGCGAGGTAACCAATCAGTGACATCCAGTATGGATGACAGAAAACAAATAAATCCTTGTTTGTTCCTCACTAAAGTGATGATTTACCTTCTTTTTCTTCTTCTTCTGTGTTTTACGACTGGCAGAGCTCTGTAGTAAAGCCTGTGACAGAGGGGTGGCATTTTGGTATAAAGCAAAAAAAAAAATCTATGCAACGACTTTCAGTTTCACAACACAATCCTACCTTTAGCTCTGGATCCTGAACTTCGTGCTCTGACTTATAGAGCTCTGCGTCAAAGGGTCCATTGGTGATTCTGTGAGGCCCGTTGGCCATCAGCAGCACTGTGAACTTAAACTGAGCTACAAACTCTCCTGAAGAACAAGGCAGAGAAAGACAGCAGCAGTCAGAAAAGAAGAAAACAAAATAAACATGTTAGCGAACTGTTAGCGAACTGTCAACACCCACCTTCTTTCTCATGCAGCACGCTGAAAGGCTGTAGCAGTTCATGTTTGGCACACTCCACCACACCCAGGCGAGCTTTGGCCTCATCTCCAAAAGCTCTGATGGACAAAAAATTTATTAAATCAAATCTCTTTAGATTTGACACAAACTATATGACCATGGAAATCTTAAATGTGCTGTTCATACCGAAGAGTAAAGGGCATTGCATCAAAGCGTCGTTCTACCTCGCTGAAGAATGTACGGGAAGTTTTCATCTTAAGGCCGTATTGCTTGCTGGGGTCCCTCTTATAGATAGTGGTTCTCAGACCTCCATCCCTGGCCTACGAAGGAAATGGCAGAATACACACAAAATGTTTCCTTCCACCTATGCGTCTATTTGCTAATGCAGAATCAGAAGGGTTCAAATAAGAGAGGACACTCACCTTGCCTTCTCCAGTGCTTATCAACACATCCACGGCGTAGACTTCGTGAACCTCAAACTCTGCCTTCTCATGGTCCTTTCTGAGAGTGTCAACAGGAGCCAGACACAAAGATGAGTGACTTGTGAATACTCGGGTGATAGTTTCAGTTGAATGTAAATTTGAGTGTTTTAAAGTTTGTCAGTTGAAATTGCAGTTTAGTTTTCAGCACAAAAACAACTTTCCTTCAATTCCATGATACTGAGGCTCAGACAGGGGTATTAAAGGGACATTCAGGTGTAAAATTGATTTAGGGTCAAACACACCGTAACACTGAGTTAGACACCCCCTTTCAGAGATGAATGTTGCCGACCGCTTTCTTCTCGAGTTATACCAACTTTAGTAACGACCGCAGGATAGCAATACACAGCGGTCTGAGGAGCCATACACAAACCTCAACCAAAACGCCACTCTATAGCCACAAATGCTCAGAACAGCGCCGAACTTCATCAACAGTACATATAGGGTCCCAGCCATAGTACTAGCCACCAAACATCTTTTTAACTTTGCCTGATTTCTTTAGCAAAGAGACTAAACACAACTCACCTAATAATAATATCTTACATTTATATAGCGCCTTTCAGGATACCCAAGGCGCTTAACAACACACTACAAAAAAAAAAAACTAAATACCAAAAGCCTGGATAAACAAGTGTCGCTTCAGAGCAGACTTGAAAGAGTCAAGAGTCTGTGCTTGGCGAATCTCAGAGGGGAGAGAGTTCCAGAGAGGAGGGGCGGCCACACTGAAGGCTCTGTCACCAAGGGATCGCCTTTTCCCATAGCGGACAGTGAGGAGCCCAAGGTCTGCAGACCGCAGAGTACGCGCCGGGATGTAGTCCTTGAGGAGGTCAGAGAGATAGTATGGGGCTAGGACATGGAGAGCTTTGTAGGTGAGCAGGAGGAGTTTGTAGACTCTCTTCCAGCAGCTGCTTGTTTGTAGGAAGACCTCCACCAGTCCATCATCGACTAAGGCGGCCGAACGCAGCTCAAGGAAGAACATTTATGATCATTTATGATTTCTGGAAATGCAATCAGACTGAGACACTAACGCAGAAGAGCTACCACGTCTGCAGTGCAAAATGAATAATATGGTGATTATTACTTTAAGGAAATGATAAAGTAATTATCATAAACGTTCTTCCTTGAGCTGCGTCACCCCGCCTCAGTCGATGATGGACTTGTCGAGGTCTCGCTACAGACAAGCGGCTGCTGGAAGAGAGTAGGTGAGTCTTGTTTAGTCTCTTTGCTAAAGAAATAAGTCAAAGTTAAAAAGATGTTTGGTGGCTAGTGCTGTGGCTGGGACCTTATATGTACTGTTGAAGCAATATCCCTTTAAAACCACAGCACATACAGCTAACACTTATATTCTGCTGGACAGGGTAATGTGCAAATGGTTACATACCGTGCACAAAACAACTTTAAACAGCAGCTTTATAAACTTTTCATCCACATATAAAGAAAAGGGGAAAAATAACAACACAAACATGCTGAGTGGAAAAGGGATTTGACTGCACTAATGGTCTATGCAAAGGAGCAGCTAATATTCTGTAGTTGGTGCACAAAGGCTCCAGAAAAGATTAGAGTCAACAATCTCTTTAATTTCATAATGTCTTTTTTCAGCCTTTTAAAAGGATAAACTGCACAACTTCAGGATGAGATGCGACAGATTTTTTTATGCCCTGTGACAGAAACATTCAGCTAAAGACTGAACCGTTTTGCCTTTACTGGAAAGGAAAACCAAAGACAGGCCAGAAAACAAGAGCAGGGGATGACATGCAGCAAAAGGCGGAAGTAAAGTCAGTGGCTAATACATCAGGAATTACAGTCTCTGTCCTGCATACAGAGAGGGGGGGGGGGGGGGGAGTGCTTTACCTTTGCTGGTCTGAGGGGTTCTGAATGATGGTCTTCTCTCCATCAATAACATGCTGCTTTAGCTGATGAGACAGCATACCTTCAAAACACAGACAGAAGAGTGAACACTGAACAGGAAACGTTTGATTTTTCTGTGAAGCCAGTGAACATTTTCCTATTACATGATCCTGTCTGAGAGGATTTAAAGAGGGTAATAAAGGACAAAGACATCGAAATGCGAATGCTCGTGGTTGGCCTGAATGTCTTTTCCATGACACAGAGGCACACTGAGGCACAGTGTTTTGATCAGACACTCACCCTCAATTGGTGAACATTTGAAGGACTGAGCGATCTTGTTCCAGGCTTCTGTCACTTGAGCGTTCTGAGAAACAGAGTAAGATGCAAACCTTACCTTTATTTCTGTTCTGATTTGCACAAAACAACCAATGTGATACTGAAGCCAATAACAGCTGTAATGTGGTCCACACTAAGCCAATCATGTTAAGTTTAATGATAAGCCATTATTAGGAGCACCATAATTTTATAACTATATATCAAAGGAAGAACAGAAGACAATATTGGGTTTGAAGGATACCTGTTGCCACTTTGTAAAAAGAGACTTGTCATTACAAACACTGAGATAATGGTGACATTTACCTGGTTACCAGGTTTCACAAGGCGAAGAGCTGCCTCTGCACACAGGTGGGCTGCTTTGATAACATCAGCTTTCCTGCCTGTGATGGGATTCTCCTGTACAAACAAGACAAAAAAGGAGGAGTAGATGAAGTTTGTCTTCAAATAAAGACAAAAAAAAAAACTAGGAAAAGACCTTGTGGAGTGGACTCCTAAATTCATGACAGCAGGGGGAACAGCTGAGCTTGGAGAACTGAAGGCTTATCAGTGGGTCGGGTGAAGTCTTTTCATAAACATTTAAGAAAGCTGAGTCACAATTCTGTGGATGTGTTATGAACTCTAGACAAAGACAAGACAGTGATAGATTTAAGTTATTAAAATTTTAACTAAATATGCCAAATCAAACGTGACTTGTTTGTTGGAAATAGCTTGCTAACCGCTACCTTACACTTTCCTCTTCTGTCATGGGTTGAAAAGTCTAGAGGCATTTTGGTCTGACTGACTGACAATCCCTTTTAGATATCAAAACTTAAACTGAGAAGTTGCATACATGAGCTGGTCTTGAGATGTCACGCTAGAATAAAACAGTATTTTAAATGAAAAAAGACTTTTACCTTACTGGCTCCGACAACAAAGCTGTGAGCAACATTGGCGATGAAGCCATCCACGTGAACCCCCAGATCTCTACAGAAAAAGAGTGAAAAAACAGATGTGAGATTAAAAAAGCAACACAACAACGTAAACTGGTCAGACTTCAGAATCATTGTAAGTTTAACTGCCACCCAGCTGTCAAAATTACTCATTTACTAGAAAATAACAAAACAATCAAATCAACTCTGCAAAGACAGGATGAAAACTACCTTCCACTTTGGGAAATTAGTCTCAACAATAACCATTAAAGTTAGACAAAAATAAGGCGGTTAGTGGCCATTAAATTCCAAGGTGATTTTCTTTTTGGCAGTACATCAGCTGGAATACGGTAAAGGACTTATTGTGAATTCAAGGGGACAGCACTGCAGACTCTAGCAAATTGAGTGGACGTGCCCAGCCAGAGGGTCAAGTTGGGAGTGTTCTTAAAGTGAGATGCACACAAACTTACCGTGCATAGCCGTATTACCATGAGCTAACAAAAAAAAGCTTCAAAATATTGTACATGTACACAAGACACAAATGACAAACAGAGGACAAAGACATATGTGGCAACACAACAAATAAAATAAGATGGCATAACACATTCCAGGGGGTTAACTGAATTAAGCAGGTGGATGGCCACCCTAAATTCAATCCAAAACAATTGTACAAAGAAATATTTGTCTTAAAATTTCAAAGTTGATTCCAATACAACTGGACTCAGTTTAGGTTTTCAAACATTCAGTCCAAGTCAAACAGGAAGTCCAGATGCCTTTTGAATTACTCTGTTGTTGGATGAGTCAGAACCCTCACAGACCTGATCACAAAGTGTCCTATCTTACTTGTCATTTGCCACACAGGACAGACAGAAAGACTATACGTCACTGGTGAAGGCAGACAGTCAAAAGCAAAAGATAAAACCCACACATACAAGCCAAGATATGACACACACATAAGGGAGGACCACACACTGGAAGACTTGATACACATGTGGGAAAGAAAGGAGAAACATTTATTGCAGAGCATGGTGCCTACATTTTGACCAGATCCCCATCTTTAAGTGTGTAGTCAGGGTCACTCTTCAGGGGAGAGAAGTGGCAAACACAGTTATTGACTGAGACGCTGGTGGGAAAGGCAATGCCTAGAAAAGGGAGAAGAGAACCACCAAGTCTTCAATTGGAAATCATCTAGCAAAACAAAGTACACATGGATGGAGGGGCTGATTCTTGGCTCAACAAAGAAACATATTAGTTGTCTTAATAACCTGGTAGTTAGAACTAGATGAGCCAGAGTGAACTGTCACTCTGTTTGATGAGTCCACCACTCTTCATTAAAATAAAAACAAGTCAACTTATATTTTCTCTTCCTCACCTTTTTTCATTTCTTTTTCCTTCTTGAAGACCTTCCCAGTCTCAGCCATGATGTATTCATCTCCTTTCTCACACAGGCTAAGCACTGAAACTCCTGGCTTTGCAGTATCCACCACCAGACGTAGGGCCTCTGAATCAGACAAACAGTAAACCATTAGGGGAGGCAACAACAGCAGCTGTAGCAGAGCAAAATCTTTGTATTTACGACAACCAGCAAAAGAATAAACACAAATGCCCACACACAATAAATAAACACCGACTATCTGTAGTATAACACTTGAGATATCCAATGTACTATTTTTACTTTATGTTTATTACTTACGAAAAAGTGGACTGTGGTAGAGCACTGGAGGGTGCTGTGTTGTCAAGTGTTATCCATATTAACACCCTTCACTATAATGCACTCATAAACACCATCAACATAACACCACTCAATATAACTCCAACTACTTTAAAGTCACCTGTCTGAGTATACCAACAAAAACTAAAAATGTAGAAGTGTCATAAAAGTAGAAGAAAAAAAACAAACAAGAAAATGACCTTTTAAATATAATCATTTCCTCTGAACTTACTAAATGTAGAAAATGTTCTCGGATTTGTTCTTATCTTCCTCACTAACGCTGTCTCAACTTTAATATTTTCTTACTTCTCTTCCTCCTTACACACATTTCTAAGCAGCTGCCAAGATTTGTACTTAAAAAAAGTGAAGTTTATGCTAATAAAGGGACTTTTGTACCACATTTTTGTTTCATTAAAAGTTTTTTTTTTTCTACTGCATCTGCACGATTTCTCAAACACACGGTAGCTTTTAGCTATCCTTGACAAATGCGACAAAAAGTAAAAATAAGTCAGGAATAAAATACATTTAAAAACTGACTTACATGTGATGTGTATTTTTTGGGGGAAATATGGTTTCTGGAATAGGCAGTTGACAATCATAAACATTCAACTGTTTCACGGGTGTTAATAATGCAGACAAAAGATCAACAATATCGTAGAATCACGATTTAAATCGAATCAGCATTCAAAAAATCGTACAAGAATCGAATCGGGAGAAAAGAATATCGTCCCAGCCCTACTGATTAGCATCATCACTAGACTTTTTTAGTTCTTTGACCTTTGGGTGGCTGACTTCTTGCCATATTTTGTAGATTTAAATAAACAAACTAAAACAAGCAGATTTCCAAATACCCGGGAGACAAGAAAGTGGATGGAGTAATATTAAAGTTGTAATATTATACTGTTTATAAGTTACGTTACTGACCTTACATAATCTAAAAGTCGATAAAACAAACTTGAGCAGACAGAATAAGAGTTTAAGCTTTATCAAAAAGGTGAGAAATGAAAATGTAAACAGCATGTTATCTCAAATTGTTTCTTATAAATCGTTTTCATGTTGAGCAGACTTTGCTAGGAAACAAACTGAGCTAACGTTAACTTGTTCGCTAGCTCTGAGAGTCAGTAATAGTTGGACGTACACAGTTACTTCAATAATAAGCTCAGTATTGAGTAAATAAACCAGAGGAGTTTCTCCCGACCGAACCAGCTGCAGCTGCTAGTAAGCTAGCGAGCCGGTTAGGATAGCATATGTGCGCTCGGCAGGTAAAAACCACATGGCTGTCTGTCTCTGCTGTGGGGGGACTAACGTTAGCAGGCCGAGAGCAGCAGGTCAGCTCCTGCAGTTACCATCGCCGACTTTGATTACATTTTACTCACGGTTTGCTATGTCACCACCCATTTTGTACTTGGTGACCACCAAATCTTCGGCTATGGTCTGTTCTTGCTCTTCGTCGGACATCTTGGCAGTGAGGTCTCAGTCGCTAGTCGGCCCTGGACGGCAGCAGCAGCTTCTCGCTCTGCTGAAATCTGACAGATGATGCATTCATAGGCCCCGCCCACTCCCCCGTGACAATAATTACGTCATTACGTCAAAGCGACACCAACCCGCGGAAATGCAAAGACGCTGCACTGCATGGGAAAAATGTTCATGTTTTTGTTCAACAAGGTTAATGATGTTTCCAAGGCTCTCAAGTTTTGAATTAAGCTTAGAGTGAGATTTCCTTGGGGTGGGACGGAGTATAAGGGGCACAATTAGAAAAAAAAAACGTTATTAAATCTTAAAGAACAAAGTTATTATTTGGGAGAATAAAGTCATTAATATCAGTATTAAGTCGTTTAATCTGAATTAAGTGACAAATTGATGAGAAACAACTATGAAACTGATAAGATAAGAAGAACTTTATTGATCCCTGAAAAGAAATTCAATAAAATGATAAAACTGTAGATAAATCACTGCATAAAAAGATAAAACACATGTAAAAACAAAACAATCAAGACATTGACAATGTAGAAAAATACAAAAATATACATGTGTGCAGTAGGACAAACAAAGGTAATTCATATTTTCTCACTCCATCATGTTATCACTAATGAGCTACAATGGCTTTGTAGGTGTCTTCTTTTAATTCATGCAAAGTTTGTAGAAAAGTTCAACATGAAAAAACACCTTTACATATAACATTAAAAACTGATGTATCATTATCAGCAAAAGCATACTGAGTAATGCCAAATCATCCACATTTTCTAACATCTTTTCACTCAAAATGACTTAAGTCTTAAGAAGCTGAATGAATTCTAACTAGAGTTCAACACTTTAACAAAGCACCTTCACAAACAACTTTAGCTTACATTTTTGCATATTTCAATATATGCTTTCTTTGTTTCTTGAACTCCTTTTATTTGATTAGTGTGTAAAATTTAAAAATGACTTTACCTGGACTGTAGCTGTTTGCAACCCTCTACCTCACCCCACACCTCTCAATATGAAAAGGAAGACAGTAGCAGACACGGCTGTATACCAGATTCTCTTTGGAGTGCTTTGTGCATCACAAAGTGGCCTGTGAGGTTGAAGTTAGCTCATATTCTTTAGTAGTAGATTCAACTGTTCCAATAAGCCTCTTACTCATTCTCCTTGTGAGCTTTCATCATATTGTTGCTCATGCTTAGCAGTGAAATGACTCCAAGTTCTGTCAGTCTGGTTCTGGCTTCTCCTTCCCAGCCTTTATTGGCCTTTGGGTTTCTGGGTGATGGATGCATGATGCTTTCTACTCGCACACTGACACCTGCAGCAGTCAAGGCTCGCCGGGCTCTCTGCTCAGCCACCCTTCCAACTCCAATCACCATGGAAACGCCCAGTGTCTCCACTACCTTGCACAGTGTAATGTCACACAGGGCCAGGAGCTTCTCCCGCTCACCCACAGGCAGTTCAGGAGGTGTTAGGTTTTTCCCGCTGGCACTCATAAAAATGAGTGGGCATAAGTTGTGCACAAAGCAGTGTTTGAAGAACTTTTCTGGTTCTCCACAAAGTTTCTTGAAAAAACCCCAGAAACGAGCACCACTCACTTCACTCTGAGTGCAAGCGAGTCCTCTGATCTGCCGCTTTGGATGCTCATTAGGAGGATGACCCACTTCCCCGGTGATCTTCAGCCAATCAACAACAGACCTGACTTCACCAAAGGGAACCTGTGGATAGAAAGGTTTTTACAACTTTAAGTGTGGACACTCAAACATAAATAAGACAGAACAGTATCGAGCAGGAACTTTTGACATATTGTGATGTTGCATGTTGAGGGTGTTGTTGAATGGCTGTGTGGAGTATGTGTAGGGGAGAGTGGGGTAAGATGAGCCATTTTTCATATTCCCGATCACTACATCTAGGCAATCATAGTTTTGTCTCTAACTAGTGTATCTAGTTAGAGACAAAACATTTCACAGCTTCAGCTCCTACAAAATTCAGCTGCACGCATGCTGACGAAGACCAGGAAGACAGCCCACATCACACTAATTTTAAAATCTCTGCATTGGCTACCTGTGTCTTTTAGAGTAATAATAACCACTATTATGACTTTATTAGTCCTCTAAGCTAAAATGGTGGACTTTTATGCTAGGGTTTTTGATCTCATGTTGTAGCTCATAGATACCACAATTGATGTATAAAACAAATTTAAAATGATCTTTTTTTTTGGTCTGAACCATAGATTGTATATAGAATGGACGCCGTCTGCCTCCTTGCTGGGTGATGCCACTCCAAGAACAGTACCCTCTGTTGACGGGCTGCAGTATATGTCATAAATCCCGCCTCCGCCAGCAAAGCTTATGGAGCTGTGGACAAACTTTAGAAATTTATTACACAGAATATAAATTTTTCTCCCCCCTGCTTGTGATGTTGACATGTAGTTATAGTAAGACTGGTTTGTGCTCAAGTCCTCTTTTTTCTGTGAAGCTCTGTTTTTAAAAGTTATTCGGGGGTTCATGTTTTCTATGATTGACACCTGATACAGCCTATGGGCGTTCAGGGATTGTGTAGCTCTCCTGGGGGATACGTTGTTTGAGCCGAGCATCATCACAGCGACTTTCGACGACTGCGGTTTCAGGAAATGAAGAAAAATCCCAGAAATACAGAGCGCTTTTCGGCTTGAAATCCTTATACAGGCAGGAGGCGGAACCAAGTTGGCCATAGTATATACAGTCCATGGTCTGAACACAATTCTAATAAAATTTACGACAGACTAAATTCACTTTCAATAGTGAAAAATGTTTCTTTTTTTTTTTTTAGAAATAAATGTCTAAGCCCTTCACCCATGTGCTTCTAACCTTCACAGACTCCATGAATTGATGCCCATCTCCTAAATATTTGGTCAGATGATCAATTTCTTTTACCATTTTCAAACAACAGGGGGTGGCTCAACTTACCCTTTGGCTCAACTTACCCCACTCTCCCCTGAGATATCAAATGTCATATCAAATCTAGTAAAATTAATAGTAAAATTAATAAGTCTCATAATCAAAACCTAAGAAATGCATGTGATCTAAAATATCAGTGTATTCATCACCACAGGTAGAGCCAAGTTTATAAGTTACCATTGCGGTTTGTTTTTGTTTTGGTCCACTTCCGCTTACAAGAGACCAAGGCTGCAGATCACATGGTTTGTTTGTCACCACAATATCAATGGTTATCAGCAGTTTTATACATGCAAAATGAAACATGGATTGTGTAAGAATGCTGTGCTCACCCCTGTCTGTGCCATCCCGAAAGGACCTGGATTCATGCCCAGGAACAGGATCGATTGTCCGCTCTGACAGTACCTCTCCACATAGCAGCGGTGAGTTTCCCAAGCGTACTCCAGAGGGTTGTAGATATAGCGGACGGGTTCTGTGAAGGACAGCCGGCTAAGAAGGACATTCAGCTCCAGTTCAGCCTGCAGAAACCTGGAGGAAGGGGTCAGACGGAGTCCTGCTTCTCCTCCCTGTTTAAAGCCCTGCAGCTGCTCAGACTTCAGCCCATCATAAAAAAGAAAAAAAGAAAAAGAAAGCCCCTCGGTCTGATAAATTTCACCTATCAACTGCTTCATTGAGGAAAAAACATAGACTGTATATAAGATGGACAGAGTCTGCCTCCTCGCTGGGTGAAGCCACTCCGAGAACAGCACCCTCTGATGGTGGGCTGCAGTACAGGTCATAAATCCCGCCTCCGCCAGCAAAGCTTATGGGACTGTGGACAAACTTTCGAAATTTATTATACAGAACATACATTTTTCTCCCCCCTGCTTGTGATGTTGACATGTAGTTACAGTAAGACTGGTTTGTGCCCAAGTCCTTTTTTTTCTGTACAGCTCCGTTTTTAAAAGTTATTAGGGGGTTCATGTTTTCTATGATTGACACCTGCTACAGCCTATGGGCGTTCAGGGATTGTGTAGCTCTCCCGGAGGATACGCTGTTTGAGCCGAGCGTCATCACAGGGACTCTCGGCGACTGCGCGGCCGAATGTGCACAACGCTACTGCACAGCTCTGGTTTCAAGGAAGTGGAGAAAACCCCGGAATTACCGAGAGCTTTTTGGCTTCAAATCCGTATACAGGCGGAAGGTGGAACCAGGTTGTCCATCTTATATACAGTCTATGGGAAAAAACAATAACTCTAATAACCAACCAGTGTGATCTCTTCTTCTGCTCATTTTAGTGACTCTTTTTTTATTTGGTTTAAGCTGCTGCTCCCCCTACAGGCTCACTGGTGCTACTACAGCGAAGAACGACACTAATCCGAGACACCAATGTACCGCCTAAATTCAGCCTTTAATGGTTGATATCGTGAAACTAGAAGCGAGGCCTCTGCACTCTGTGGCAAGCTGGACACCCTGGAGATAGCTTTCATGGCACACTTTTGGGATACAATACTGCAGCGGTTCCGAGCCACGAGCCTGCAGTTGCAGAAACATGACATTGACATACACACGGCTACATAGCTTCTCCTTTCACTTCGTGACTTTGTGGCAGCTTAACTGTTACCGACTCACTCTCCCAAGACTACAGACATGACCTCCAGCGCACAAAGAAGAGCAAATGTATGGCTGATGAAAGTGCAGAGCCAGGTGTTGAATTTAGTGGAAAAGAAGAGTTTCGGATTGAAACGTTCAATGTTCTATTTGAAAAACTTGTGTCCTGTCTTAACCATCGGTTAACTGCATACACACACTTGACCAATCTTTTTCATGTTCTTTTCATGTCTGATAATCTGTCCAACAGTGAGCTCACTTTAAGGGCAGAATCTCTTGGTGCAGCATATCCCACTGATCTGACCTGACCCACTGATCAGCTTGGCAGATGAACTTGTTCAGTACAAATCATTCATTTCAGAAGAACAAAAATGCTTTCCAAAATGTTTACATAGCACTCAGACTGTTTTTGACCCTGCCAATAACAAACTGTGAAGGGGAACCGTCATTCTCTAGACTGGCTCGAATAAAAAATGAGCCCAGGATGAAAATGTGCCAAAATGGGTTGAATTCACTATCCCTTCTTGCAATAGAATCGGAGTTTGTTTGACAGCTCAACTTTGATTAGTTAGTGGACGACTTTGCAAGAAGGAAGAGCAGAAAGAAACTTTTCTAGAATCCTTAGGTACGGTAGGTTGGTGTGGGGGTGGGGGTGGGGTTCGGAGTGTTGGGGTGGAGTTTGGACCCCTCTCTGACCCCTCAGACCCCCATAATCCAGCCCTGCCCCCACCTGTATTCAACCGACACCTGCAATGTCTGTCATGGTAGCAATAACTCGTATGCTATATAACGTGTAGTCAGACGGAGCCGATAAACTCTGCAGCTTGCTCGCATGTTTATTCAACAACAACAACAGAGGACATCCCGTCACTTGTAATAACAGTTCCCCACCTAGTGGTAGCTTAGGGAAACACAGGGCAACATCACAACAGCTCTCACAACACATCCTCCCTTCTGAGTAGGCTGCATACAATAGGCCATAACATAATAGAACACCTCAGAAGTTCACCAGTTGTGTTGCAGATTATCCTTAGCCCATTCTTTTGTTAGTCACTCCAAGTAACTTCCAAAAAAATCAAAATATTCCAAACTGTTTAACAACACCATTGTATCACACTCACTTATCTTTCCTTTCTTTCCCTAACTATGAAGGTGGGGTGGACTACCCATTCCTTCATCTGAGTGAGGGGATTATTTTGCACCGGGCTGGTCATTCAGAGTTACGAGAGTACCTTCTATCTGATTCAAAGTCCATAAGGTACCTCGGAGGGTTTCTCTCTCTGATAGGGTAACGCCTCTCCATCGCTTGGACCCTCGGCAGTGTAGTGTTGGGCCTCACCGTAACCTGGTCTCTTGGATCGTGGACCGGTGCGATGTCCGCTGGCGAAGCAGGGGTCTGTGGGGCTTTAGGTCCAGCGCCAGCCCCAGGCAAGGTGACGAGATGACTTCAGTTGCGCCGCAGATTCCCTCTGGAGCGTGTCAATGATGTAGGAGCGTGTTGTGTCAGCTCCAGCTGTCACTGTCCCCTTCTCCTTCATATCGGTGACCCAGACGCGGTCACCAGGGTTCAGGCTGGCCATGTTGCGGGCCCTGTGTCTGTCATTGAACCATTTCTGCTGTTTCTCTCTCTCCCTCTGTTCTTTCTTTCTCAGGGCTTTGACATTTGGCCATTTTGAGTTCAAACAAGATGGGAGAACTGGAACTGTGGTACGTAGCTTTCTCCCCATCAGCAAGCGGCAAGCGGAGTGGCCCGATATGTCATGAGGGCCATGTATGGGTCAGCGCATTTTTTCAGGAGGTCCTTCACAGTTCTTACTGCTTTTTCAGCCTCCCCATTGCATTGCGGATATCTGGGGCTGGAGGTAGTGTGAACAAAACCCCACTCTGAGGCAAACTGTCAGAAGAGGTCTGCACTGAATGTCCGCCGTTGTCACTCCGTACCTCCCGAGCAATGCCATGACATGATGTTTTCTTTAGTTTTTTTTTCTTCATTTTTTTTTTTTCCTATTTTTTTGCCTGGCACCTCTGTCTGGATGAGCTACTCTTAGTCTGGTCCCTCCCCCAGGACCTGTTTGCCTTGGGTGACCTTTCAGAGGCATAAAGCCCTGACAACATAGCTCCTGGGATCATTGGGACACACAAACCCCTCCACCACGGTAAGGTGGTAGCTCAAGGAGGGGAAAAAACCCTCACATGGGAGGGAAAAACCGCAAGGGTTTTTTTTTCTGTGAAAAAACCCGTTTTAGGGTGTTTTTTTTTTCAGAAAAACTTTTTTTTTGTTTTGTTTCCTATAGTTCTTTTTTATTTTTCTGCCTGTTTTAAGTTTTTTTTCAGAAATACTATTATGTATCTTTATTTTTATTTTATTTTTTAATTTTTTTTTAATTTCCTGCCTATTTTAAGGTTTTTTTATGTTTAAGTTTTCTTTATTTTTTTCAGTTTTCTGCCTGCTTTAAGGGTGTTTTAAATTTGAAATGTAATTTAAATTTTTTAAAAATATTTATTGATTTGTGTTTTTGTTTTTTATTTGTTTGTGTTTTTTTTTTTTTAGAAAAAACTTTTTTTTTTTCAGTTTTCTGCCATTTTTAAGGGTGTATATATGTATATACTTCAATATCCACATTGACAACACCAACCTGCCCCTCACCAGAGACTTCTCATCATGCCTGGACAGTTTTAGACTTCATCAATTCATCAACTTCCCGACACACACTAAAAGACACACTCTGGATCTACTCTGCTGCTCTGGCCTCATCCTATCCAACTGCACAGCCGATGATCTCCATTTTTTTTTTTTTTTTTTGTTCTTTTTTTAGAAATACTATTCTTTTTCTTCTTTTTTAGTTTTCTTTAGTTTTTTTCTGTCTGTTTTAATTTTTCTTAAGTTTTTTTTAATATATATATATTTAAAGTGTTTTTTTCAGATAAAATTTTCTTTCTTTTTCTTTTAATTTTGTTTATACTATTCTTTCTCATTTTAGTTTTCTTTAGTTTTTTTCTGCCTGTTTTAAGTTTTTTTTTTAGTTTTTTTAAAAGTTTTTTTTAGAAATACTATTCTTTTTCTTATTTTTTATGTTTTCTTTAGTTTTTTTTCTGCCTGTTTTAAGTTTTTTTTAGTTTTTTTAAAGTTTTTTTTTTTTATATATATATATATATATATATATATATATATATATATATATATATTAGGGTGTTTTTGTAAGATATAATTTTCTTTCTGTTTTTTTTATTTTGTTTATACTATTCTTTCTCTTTTTTTAGTTTTCTGTAGTTTTTTTCTGCCTTTTAAGTTTTTTTTTAAAGTTTTTTTTAAATCCTATTCTTTTCTTTATTTTTTTAGTTTTCTTTAGTTTTTTTTCTGCCTGTTTTAAGTTTTTATAGTTTTTTTTAGTTTTTCTTGTTATATATATATATATATATATATATATATATATATATATATATATATTTAGGGTGTTTTTGACAGATATACTTTGCTTTCAGTTTTTTTTATTTTGTTTATACTATTCTTTCTCTTTTTTTAGTTTTCTTTAGTTTTTTTCTGCCTGTTTTAAGTTTTTTTTTTTAGTTTTTTGTTATATATATATATTTAAAGTGTTTTTTTCTCAGATATACTTTTCTTTCTTTTTTATTTTCTTCATAAAATTCTTTCTCTTTTTTTAGTTTTCTTTATTTTTTTCTGCCTGTTTTAAGTTTATTTTAGTTTTTTTGTTATATATATATATTTAAAGTGTTTTTTTCAGATAAACTTTTCTTTCTGTTTCTTTTAATTTTGTTTATACTATTCTTTCTCTTTTTTAGTTTTCTTTATTTTTTTCTGCCTGTTTAAAGTTTTTTTTTAGTTTTTTTTTAATTTTTTTAGAAATACTATTCTTTTTGTTCTTTTTTTAGTTTTCTTTAGTTTTTTTCTGCCAGTTTTAAGTTTTTTTTGTTTTATATACATATATATATATATATATATATATATTTAGGGTGTTTTTGTCAGATATACTTTTCTTTCAGTTTTTTTTATTTTGTTTATACTATCCTATCTCTTTTTTAGTTTTCTTTAGTTTTTTTCTGCCTGTTTTAATTTTTTTTTGTTTTTTGTTATATATATATATTTAAAGTGTTTTTTTCTTCAGATAAACATTTCTCTGTTTTTTTTTAATTTTGTTTATACTATTCTTTCTCTTTTTTAGATTTCTTTATTTTTTTCTGCCTGTTTGAAGTTTTTTTTAGTTTTTTTTAAGTTTTTTAGAAATACTATTCTTTTTCTTCTTTTTTTAGTTTTCTTTAGTTTTTTTTCTGCCAGTTTTAAGTTTTTTTTTTAAATTTTTTAAGTTTTTTTTGTTTTATATATCTATATATTTAGGGTGTTTTTGTAAGATATAATTTTCTTTCTGTTTTTTTTATTTTGTTTATACTATTCGTTCTCTCTTTTTAGTTTTCTTTATTTTTTCTGCCTGTTTAAATTTTATTTTAGTTTTCTTGTTATAGATATATATATATATGTAGAGTGTTTTTTAGAAATACTTTTCTTTCTGTTTTTTTATTTTTTTATACTATTCTTTCTCTTTTTTTCGTCTTATTTAGTTTATTCTGCCTGTTTTAATTTTTTTTTAGTTTTTTTTGTTTTATATATATATTTAAAGTTTTTTTTTCAGATATACTTTTCTTTTTGTTTTTATTTTGTTTATACTATTCTTTCTCTTTTGTAGTTTTCTTTAGTTGTTTTTCTGCCTGTTCAAAGTTTATTTTAGTTTTTTTGTTATATATATATATTTAAAGTGTTTTTTAGATAAACTTTTCTTTCTGTTTTTTTATTTTGTTTATACTATTCTTTCTCTTTTTTTTAGTTTTCTTTATTTTTTTCTGCCTGTTTTAAGTTTTTTTTTAGTTTTTTTGTTAGATATATATAAATATATATATATTTAGAGTGTTTTTTAGAAATACTTTTCTTTCTGTTTTTTTATTTTTTATATACTATTCTCTCTCTTTTTTTAGTCTTATTTAGTTTATTCTGCCTGTTTTAATTTTTTTTTAGTTTTTTTTGTTATATATATATATATTTAAAGTTTTTTTTTCAGATATACTTTTCTTTTTGTTTTTTATTTTGTTTATACTATTCTTTCTCTTTTGTAGTTTTCTTTAGTTGTTTTTCTGCCTGTTCAAAGTTTATTTTAGTTTTTTTTGTTATACATAAATATTAAAAGTGTTTTTTAGATAAACTTTTCTTTCTGTTTTTTTATTTTGTTTATACTATTCTTTCTCTTTTCTTTAGGATTATTTAGTTTTTTCTGCCTGTTTTAATTTTTTTTAGTTTTTTTTGTTATATATATATATATATATATATATATATATATATATATAAATAAATATGTTTTTGTTTTTTCAGATATACTTTTCTTTTTGTTTTTTTATTTTGTTTATACTATTCTTTCTCTTTTTTAGTTTTCTTTAGTTGTTTTTCTGCCTGTTCAAAGTTTATTTTAGTTTTTTTTGTTATATATGTATTTTTATGTTTTTTTAGAAATACTTTTCTTTCTGTTTTTTTATTTTGTTTATACTATTCTTTCTCCTTTTTTAGTAATATTTAGTTTTTCCACCTGTTTTAAGTTTTTTTTTAGTGTTTTTTCAAGTTTTTTTTAGAAATACCATTCTTTTTCTTCTTTTTGTAGTTTTCTTTAGTTTTTTTCTGCCTGTTTTAAGTCTTTTTTTCAGTTTTTATTTTTAGTTTTTTTAAAGTTGTTTATTTTCAGAAATACTTTTCTTTTGTCTTTCTTGTTTTCTTTAGTTTGTTTTCTTCAGTTTTTTTTTTCCTATTTTTTTGCCTGGCACCTCTGTCTGGATGAGCTACTCTTAGTCTGGTCCCTCCCCCAGGACCTGCTTGCCTTGGGTGACCTTTCAGAGGCATGAAGCCCTGACAACATAGCTCCTGGGATCACTGGGACACACAAACCCCTCCACCACGGTAAGGTGGTAGCTCAAGGAGGGGAAAAAACCCTCACATGGGAGGGAAAAACCGCAAGGGTTTTTTTTTTGTCAGAAATACTTTTCCTTCTGTTTTTTTTATTTTGTTTATACTATCCTTTCTCCTTTTTTTTGGTTTTCTTTAGTTTTTTATGCCTTTTTAAAGTCTTTTTTTTTAGTTTTTTTTTTAGTTTTTTTTGTCATTTATATTTATTTAGGATGTTCTTTTCTAAAATATTTTTCATTCTGTTTTTTTTATTTTGTTTATACTATCCTTTCTCTTTTTTAGTTTTCTTTAGTTTTCTTTCTGCCTGTTTTAAGTTTTTTTCTATTTTTTTCTATATATTTAGGGTGTTTTTTTCTGAAATACTTTTCCTTCTGTTTTTTTATTTTGTTTATACTATCCTTTCTCTTTTTTAGTTTTCTTTCGTTTTCTTTCTACCTGTTTTAATTTTTTTTTAGTTTTTTAGTTTTTTCTATATATTTAGGGTGTTTTTTCTGAAATACTATTCCTTCTGTTTTTTTATTTTGTTTATACTATTCTTTCTCTTTTTTTAGTATTATTTAGTTTTTTCTGCCTCTTTTAATTTTTTTTTAGTTTTCTTTGTTTTGTATATATATATTTAAAGTGTTTTGTTCAGATATACTTTTCTTTTTGTTTCTTTATTTTGTTTATACTATTCTTTATCTTTTTTTAGTTTTCTTTAGTGTTTTTTCTTCCTGTTCAAAGTTTATTTTAGTTTTTTTGTTATATATATTTAAAGTGTTTTTTTAG